TACCCGGCTATGATACGGAGAGTTCAGGTGTACTTGAGAAACGAAAGACAGTGTTGTGTTTCTCGGCAGAGTCGTCAGGGAACGACCTTTACGACAGAGACAACCTATCTATCGCTCGTGTCGCACTCGTTATAACCTAAAACAATAACACAACAATAACAAGACAGTGTCTGACCGCATGTTCCAGCTATTTATGAATGAGATGCTCAGTCTATATTTTATTTTAAGTCTATGCCATCAGCGGATTTTCTTATTTGATAAAATAAATTGTTTTGCCCTTGAATGAGCCGACAATAGATTGCAGAAAGAAATGGTTCCCTTTTTATTAAGGTGGCTGATTGTTCTGTAGTTATTCTGTGGTATAATAGCTATACTTGCTATTATCTTATTATTTTAAGTTGTGTAACAAAATATATTTTAACAAAACTTCTGTATTAAATCTTAAAACTCCAACACATGACACTGGTGCGGTCAGAACCTTCTTAGGTAGGTCTTTTAACCATGGATATCTTTATTGTCCTATTGTAATATGACGATTTTTATTACCCTATTATTAATGTCCCGGATGTGTCCATCTACAAATGCAGAAAATGCCTTAAAATAAAATTTGTACTATTTTTTGGCATGTTACACTGTACACAAGAAAACGCCTTTTGCATGTATAGTGAGGCTGTTGTGCTCTCAGGCTTTTAGAAATATAGTATAACGTCGACATTTGGATGAAAATTGGTGTCTGCCGCAGGCGGTAATTTAGCCAGTTTGTTTAAAACCACATAAAAAATACCTTTTACTAGTAAATCGACTGCTTCATTTTTTGTACAGTTTGGATGGAACCAGGGAAAAACAGTATTTGGATCAATGCTATCATCAAGATCCTCGACCAACTCTCTAAATATCATTCCTAAGAAAAATTAATTAGAACAGGTTCATCATATAAATTAAAATTTTCAGATACCTTGCTCCCCAGTACGATGAGCTGTCACCCATAACCATCCATTATCCATGTCGTTGTGTACAAAAAATATGTCCCCTTTTTTAAATGTCAATTCATCCGTATCAGGCATTTTAGTATAGGGTAATATGGCAACAACTCTCTGTTAAATAATTATTTAATTAACGACTAATTAATTAATTATTTGTTAATTATCAAATAATTAATTAATGATTAATTAATTACTCATTATTTAACTTGACAGTCGTTAATCAATTAATACTTTATTAACTTCTATAATATTACATAAATTAAATACCAATTTTAATCAAGGCATCTAAGACCAAGCCTAGGCTTGTGTCTTGTTAAAAATTGGTATATTTATAAAAGATAAAAAATATTTACATAAATGCAATTACCTTTTTGTCATTTACAGGCTCGGGGGGAGCTACAGGGTGAACTAATCTTTCTCTTTTTAATAAGTCGCTACATTCTGTATAGTATCCTACTAGATCATTCAAGGAAACAAACTGTCTACCACCAATATAAAAGTCACCACACACAGCAGTTATTCTAAAAATAAATATTTATCTCAAATTTATTTAAGAAAAAAAAATCATTCTTATAAAATTATAAAAATATAATTAAATGATTTAATAATTCTACAAATTTATATGATTTGCTTACTGTAATACTGTTTAACAAAAAAAAAACGGCGTTCAGTTGACTTAAAAATTATGATATTCCCCATTAAATCTTAATTTCCAAGCCATCTCTGACACGGTTTTTTTTCGATCATATGGTATTATATTTCAATAACTTGGTTAATATTTGTCTTTGTAATAAAAACATAGATAATTTTTTTAATGCACAATGGATGTTTTATTTGAATCCCATGAATCATTGCCTATTGTTACCTCTGTCACCTTTTAATCCTTTAATTAATTAATTGTTATTAGTCATACTGTTATGCGATATTGACAATAAATAGATTAAAGCCCCTTACACGTCACACAACTTGGATAAAACGGATTAAAAACTAAAGTAGACAATAAAAGTTTTACCCGTGAAAGTTTTATCACTTGTATTGTGCTTAGTGCAGTCGAAAAGAAAAAACATGTAATTTTGTTACAAAAATGTTTATGTAAACATGCAAAGCTAATTGGTAGACAGTGAATTAGATGATTTTTGGAATTGCACATTATATTTTTATCATAAAAGAATATACTCTACCTGAAATGATTCATTCCTGTACGTCCCAAATAAGACAAGACATAAGATCCAGGTTTACGATCACTTTCTCTCACTAAATAAGATCCCAATTTGTTGCAGTTCCATAGTCTCTCCTCAGCTTGATACCTATAAATGGTTCATTAAAAAAATGCTCCAAAATTAATTTTAGTTACTTTATATACCTGTCAAGCCGACCATGATACCAGAGTGTCTCTGCTGGGGCATAATGTGCAGAGTCACCCAAGTCTGGATCTTCTGTTTCTTTCGCTTGGGCCCCAACTGGTTCGTTTGGTTCGTTGCCATCATCACTTCCTGTACTTGGAGACCCAAGTTGTTTTTCTTTCTGTCTTAAATCTGACATGGTTGTATTTGTAAAAAAAACCTATAGGCATAAAAATTAATACATAAATTAAATTCTAAACTCAAATATTAAAAGTTCAATTTATTCCCCTTGTTGTGGATATACGTGAGATATTGTTTATTCAATTTCTAATTAATGCATTAAGTATGCAGTCATGTTCATATAAACAACTTAAATAGTACCCCTAGCCTTTTTGAAGCTAGGTAAATAAACACAATAAAATAAACATTATAAAACCAACAGGAACCCACGAATCTCTTTGTCTGTCTTTTTTTTAAACACAAAAAGGTTCTTTTCAAATAATAATTATGGAAAAACAAACCAAGCCAACATGGCCTTAAAATTACAGAAATATTTACCTGAAAAACAATAGTTCAGCAAAGTTAAATATACATTTCGAGTTGTTGACAGGGCGAACACGTCATTGGAAAATCGTGGATTAAGAACAGAATTTTAGTTTTTCTTTAAATCTTCGGGAAACATCGAAGGAAAATAAAATTATTGACGTTTTGTTAGAAGAAACTTCATTATCTTCTGTCACGCAAGCGCTTTATCAGCTGTTTGTCAATTCATGAATTCGAATGTACCAAAATCAGGCAACCACATATACATGTAATATTTTTCACTCTTCAAGGTGGTCCACTTTTTCTCTTAACTGTAAAATTATAGTAAAACAAACGACAAAAAATATGAAAACAATATATTTCCTATAAGTACCAAATACAACTGTGCATAAACAAATTGTAGAAAAATAAGTCGGTAGTATATAAAATTCTCAGTACAAGTAGAATGACTAGTGAACATACTCTAATCAACATAAACTTAGTAGAAGAAAAAACAAATATTTTTATATAAATAGTAGTCAATAAGTTGGTTTTAGTATAATATATATTATAAAATTCAAATATGAACAATCCTACGTTGAAAAACAAATTTAAATGTGATATTTTCTATATTTAAAAATATAGCTATTAAAGTAATGTTTATTTTTGTTATATATTTTTTTCTTTTGATAATATATAACTTTTTTTCTATAAAATTATCCACAGGCACTGGAAAGCAAATGTATATATGTATATATGTATTCAAGACTTTTAAAAAATCTACTAGGCACTACGTAATCCTTCAATTTTGGCGCAAAGCTCTTCTTTTGTTGCTGGATTTGATATAAGTATAGTTTTTATAGTATCGTTTGAACCAAACAGTTTCTTCTTTTTCGTGTCTGCGGTAGAAATAGATACGCCTTTGGGTACTACTCTAGCTGGTTGTTTCAGTTCTTGCCAGGTATATGACCAATCGACCTAAAAAATATCTATATTTAACAAATATCTTAGAATAAGTATGAGTGAGACTCTATTTCCCGCCAATTTGTACGAAACTGGCACCTCTCGTGACGGAATGTTAAATTAAAATAAGTTAAGGCTAATTTTCTCAAGTGACTTACATGTTATAACTCGCGAGTGCCATACAAAATTTTATCCAACAGCAGAACTGTTTCATGTCCAATCTCAATAGAATAATTGATTTAAAAGGATCTACGAGTTCGGCTTTCATTGTTGCGAATTAATAAATTATCAGGGTGCGTTTATGTTACTATGCAATATAGATGTGAGTTTTGTTTTTTTTGTAAATAATAAATAGCCATAGATTAATGAAACAAGTTTAGAGTGTCTAAAAAATCTTTCAAAATCAAAACCGCTCTCATTGAACAAATTCCGAAAATTGTTTATAGCGTCCATTTTCAAAGTAATTATTGCTATCTTGTGAGTTTAATTTAAGTTTTGTTTACTCCAACCCGGGATAATTGTGAAAAAGTGGCATTAAAAACTTTAAAAGCTGTGCTGTGAACTGCGAACTGCAAAAACCATCGTGGATCGTGGCATAACGCCGGTTTCCAATGTTTCATAGGTATTTCATACATGTCCTTATATAAAATAAAGTTTCTTGTATGCAACACACTGTATTTTATTTATAAAATTAAAAGAAAATAACTTTGAATAAGAAGACTAAGGAAGGAGCATAATGCTATCCATGTATTCATGCATGGTGGGCGGAAAAGCCATAAAATAATTAACTAGAAAGAAGTGTCAACTCTGTGTTAAATCGTGGAAACACGATACGCCACCGAAAGCCTTCGTTGTCGTCTGTCGTCTGGAGAACTAATTTTCCAATTGACAGGTTGACATGATAAGGACATGTTGGCTTAATTTTCATTTCCGTTTCCGGTTATTCAATGGCGGGCCCTCTTTCAGTTCAAATGTATTTTGTATTTTTTCTTTTCATAAATAAAACCAAAAAATAATTTATTCATATATTTATTTGAAATATGGAACAACGTGACTAAATAAATATAAAAATATAGAGGATTGTATTGTTTCAATACCAATTAGTTAATTACATGTACTTTTAACGGAAATTAGTTAAGGTATAAGCATGACTTACATTAATTTGTAAATAAACACACGTATTCGCAGACTTCAAGGACAGAAAATGGACACAGAAACATGAAAACGGGAGCCTTATACAAAAACCTGAAAACAGAAAAACAAATTTTTTTATACTAAAATTAACAATGTAAAAATATCAATAGGTATAAAATCTAAATATACTGTTTAAAAAAGCGTCCATTATTCCCAAAGAGACCTGGCTTATAAATCAAAAAGAAGCAAAAAGAGACTTTTAGTCGGATAACATAATCAGATTATCAGTCCGATTTATTGCATTATTGACAATAAGTCGCACATACTGGAGATAACTAATGTTGGCTATAATTAAAAATGTCATCTTTCAAAAAATCAGATCAAAGAGATCAAACACCATTTCTGCATCCAAAAACGAAAACAGCAGCCTACCTACCACCCCATCTCCGCTACACGACATACCTACAACTGCTGAAACGTCATTTTCTCCAGGGATCTTTGCAATATATATTTTATATACTTTATTACCTTTATATTTATAAATTTTTATTTATAAAATAGTGTTTGTTGAACTTTTTTCCAAAACGAAACTAAAACGGCAAAAATTAAAAATGGCGTCAACATCGGAATCTGGTTCCCCAGAACAACCCAGCCGTTCCGAAATGAAATCCGTCAATTCTAAACTGTGAAGTTAGATAACAAATAGACAAAACAATTGTCCTTATTCCAAGTAAGCCATACCTGGTCGGTGAGAAATGACAAGAACGACACTACCGTGACTATTCCCCACTTTCCCATTCACCGTCAACTCCAGCCCCGCAGTTGGTGGAAGTTAAATTAGGTATTTCCAATTAGCGTAGTTTGTCCCTTTTAATTTGAATAAGAGCATCTGACTGGCAAAATTGGTGAAGTTATTTTAATTAGTAGAAAAGGTAAAAACCTTTTTAACTCTTCCCAAAATTAATTCGCGCCCAAAACTGCGCGAAATAAGCATTTTTGGCTTTTGATTATCATCCGTCAAGAGAAATTGTGGTTAGAAATGAAAAGTTTATTGTTTTATAAGCTAAATATTAGGCTCTCTATGGATACAACCTGATACAACTGACTACCGCAAGCTGTTTCTAGAATATTCTATTAATTTTAATTGTGTTTTTATGGTGCGTTTAGACTTGAGCACGCACGCACTGATCATTCGCGAATGCTCAAGTGTAAACGGCTGTGCGCACACGCTCACTCTGAATCTGTCTGTGTGCGAGCAGCCGCGAACGTGAGCCGTCTGGTGTCGGTTTTTGGTCCGTGCTTAAAGACATTTTATGTGTGCGCGAACGCTCAGTGTGCACCGGCAATTTGTTTTGTCTGCGTTCGTGCGTGCGTGTGTGATTTTTTTTTCGTTTTCTTTATTAAAATTATGGAGTGGACAATGAATCTTCGTTATTATTAATTGAAGAATATGAAAAGATGCCTATATTATGGGATGTTAAACATTCTTCGTATTATTAAAAAACCAAAAAAAAACAATATCGCATGGCAAGTAAATAAAACTAATATTGAATATGTCGATATTAATGAAATTACTATATTAAAATTTGTATCTTTTGTTCGTAATTTTTGTTGTTATTAAATTTTGTAAATATTCAAAGTCGGGCCCGGTCATTCTTGTAGAGTTTTTGAACTGATCATAACCCTCTTTAGACATTAAGTTGTTGCAGTAAATTATACCGATTTCTAAAAATTTGTGTTTGCCACCAGCGACGATGTTTTCGATTTTTCTTCTTTTTAATAATTAAGCTGTGCATAGCAATGACTGCAGCCCAGGATTGGCAAATATCATGATATTTATATAAATATCAAATATCGGATATATATCCGATATATATCTGATATATATCCGATATATATCAAGTTTTGATATTTATTTTTATTTTATTTTTTACGTAAAACTGCGTTTAGTATCAAGTAAAATCAATAGCTCAAGCAAAGATTTTTATTTCAACTTAATTATTGTTGCTTTGCACATAATAGGAACAACATTAAAACAAAAATATATAAAAAATATATAGAAATTCTAAAAAAATAAACAGAACTTCTAAAAAATAAACAGGAATTCTAAAATATAAACAGAAATTCTAAAAAATAAACAGAAATTCTAAAAAATAAACGAAAATTCTAAAAATAATCAGGAATTCTAAGAAATAAACGGAAATTCTAAAAAATAAACGGAAATTCAAAAAAATAAACAGATATTCTAAAACTAACAACAAAAAAAATTATATTTGATTTAATAATTTTATTAATGGTAAATCATCGTCAATCAATATTAATTATTTCGTGCAGCTGAGGCACGTTGACGCCGATTCACGAGAGCCGAGCCCGAAACGAATTCGGAGAATCATATAAAGTAATAAAAATACGTTGTTCCGTAAACATGTTGACTTTTTTAACTTAGAAATTTAAGAAAAGAGTTGAATTTTATTTTTTTACAAATATGATATATATCAAGGTATAAATATGATATTTATATATATATATATATATATATATATATATATATATATATATATATATATATATATATATATATATATATATATATATATATATATATATATATATATATATATATATATATATATATATATATATATATATATATATATATATATATATATATATATTATATATATATATATATATATATATATATATATATATATATATATATATATATATATATATATATATATATATATATAAATGTAGTATAATATTGGGAGCGGTCTGTTTCAATTAAACTCACTTTAATCTAAGTAGCTCTATATTTCGACATCATTTATGTCTTCATCAGGAGCGTCAGCTAAAAACAATTGTCATTACAATTGTAACTTAGGAATAAAAGTTTTTTCATTAAAATACGTTACAACAAATTAATAAAACAAAACAAAAATAATACTTAAAATTAGAGTCAAATTTTACAAAAAAAACATACAATAATGTAAAATAAACTAAACTACTTTGATCTACAAACCACCATTGACAACGTACGTATATAAAATAAACATGAAGTGTATTAATATCAAATTCTTTCGCTTTAGTGAAGAGCGAACGCTCCAAGAAACAAACAACTAAAAAAAACTATAAAAAGATTGTAAACTGCACATTTGCAGGCATCGCATCCCATCTTATTTTTGCTGCTATATTTAAATGTATGTGTGTTATTTTATTTAATTGATTTATAATTCCCTTAATAAATTACAATATACGGAACTGAGGCTGTAAATATCCGATCTTGAATTTATAGCTTTGTTGTTATTAATGTGAACCATTTCCAAAAAAAATCTTTTTCGGAAATTGCCTTCCTGTTCCAGTATAGATGCACTGTCGTAATCAAATTGATGATCTTGGTTTCTGAAAGTGAATAGCTAGTGCACAAGACTTTTTTCCGAGACGGCAGTCACTCTTGTGTTGCGTAATCCTCTGTTTAAGATTTTGTGATGTCTGGCCTATATAATATTTATCGCATTGCAAACACGGAATATTATAAACAATATTACTCCTTTGCAATATTGGTACCCTATCCTTAGTCCTAGAGAAGCAATTTTTAGATGTTAACGAATTATATTTAGCAATTCTAATATCATATTCTTTTAAATATGAAATAATGTTATCTGTTAAGTTCTGTATGTAAGGTAATTTTTTATAAACAATATTCAAACCCTCCGTGGTCTTTGTTTTTTTTTTCTTAGTTGTTTGTTTCTTGGAGCGTTCGCTCTTCACTAAAGCGAAAGAATTTGATATTAATACACTTCATGTTTATTTTATATACGTACGTTGTCAATGGTGGTTTGTAGATCAAAGTAGTTTATTTTACATTATTGTATGTTTTTTTTTGTAAAATTTGACTCTAATTGTAAGTAGTATTTTGTTTTGTTTTATTAATTTGTTGTAACGTATTTTAATGAAAAACTTTTATTCCTAAGTTACAATTGTAATGACTATTGTTTTAGCTGACGCTCCTGATGAAGACATAAATGATGTCGAAATATAGAGCTATTTAGATTAAAGTGAGTTTAATTGAAACAGACCGCTTCCCGATATTATACCACATTTATTAAATCGTACGGTCGAGAATAATTAACAAATATATATATATATATATATAGGCATATATATATATATATATATATATATATATATATATATATATATATATATATATATATATATATATATATATATCAATTATATATATCCGATACACAGGGTGTTTCAAAACAAATGCGAAAAACTTCAGGAGGTGATTCCTTGTTCAAAATAAAGGGTAGTTTGCTTTATAAACGTTGGGTCAAAAGTCAACCATTAGGGAGATATCGCGGTACAAAGATGGCGGAAAAATAATGTTTTTATTTTTTATCTTGAAAACGAAAAGAGATAGACTAATGAAATTTTACGGAAGCATTACTGTTATGAAAACACACTTTCTGGTAATTTTTTAAAATGAGTGGAAGGGGTTGAAATAAACTACCCCTATCATTCTTGTTAATGAAATTTAAAGAAAAATCTTATCAAACACATGCAAAAAAAAATAATTTTGATAGTTCAGTTTATTTAGAAACTTTTTTATCTCTTGTGTTTTTTTGATAAAACTCACCGATTTGAAATTAAAAAATAAAATGTAAAGCATTACATGTCAGGACAAAAAACATTTTTAGATAAAGAATCTAGTGGGCAGCTGTAATTTTTTTAGGAAAAAATCTAGTCGGCCGCTGTCACTTTTTAGGATGTTTCTAATATTGTTTTATTTGACATTACCCTACTGCAATACGTTATTATCTAGATTTTTTTTTAAAATCTCTCGCTTTTTGCGGTTGGTATTAAGGAGCATAACCGGGTTTTATCGGCCAAGGTTATTAATCCTTTACTAAATATCTTCTAATTATATGACAGGTGCCCAGAATAGCTGCCTTTTGTGCAATTCCTGCTAATGAGTTCTTTAGATTCAGCGTTTGTAAGTTGTTCATGAATCTTCTTTCAATGAGTCCGTTGCACGATATGATGAACGGCAATATTTGAACTTTCTTCAGTTTGTACACGCGTTTTAATTCGTAGCTTAGGTCTCGATACTTATTATTTTTTTCTGCATATGTTTTTCCCAGATTATCATCAAGTGGTACAGCTATATCTACCAGTTGTGCTATTTTTTGTTTTTTATCAATAAGAAGTATGTCGGGTTTGTTGTGTGTTATTTCTTTGTCGGTTATTATTGATGTGTCCCAGTATATTTTCCAGTTGTCATTTTCAACGACTGCCTGAGGAGTATATTTGTAATAAGGGGTTGTTGATGAACTCAGTTTTTTCAGGCGGCATATTCACTGTGAATTAGTTTTGCTATGTCGTTATGTCTGTCCAGATACTCCCTGGGAGCTATACTGCTGCAGCCACTACTTATATGTTGTATTGTCTCTATTTGTTTATTACACACTCGACACAATTCGGATGTTACGTTTTGTTTCAATATATGTTTAGCATAGTTCCGAGTAGGAATTACTTGGTCCTGGATAGCATGAATAAGCCCTTCTGTCTCGCGGTCTAGTATTCCCTTCGCCATATATTTTCCGGTGTTTTTATGATCTACCTGGTCTCCTGTCAGAGTTGCATGAAATCTGCCGTGCAATACTTTAGATCGCCATTCGTCAACATGTCTTTTATTTACATTGGTTGAGATATCTTCTTCAGATGGTTCCGATAAGTTTAATGCTGTAAAGTGTTTGTCAACTTGAGATATACACCGATACAAGGAATGTTGGTGCTTTTTAAAGTGCCGCCTTAGTTTATTTATTTGTACTTCGTACGCGTCTTCTAAGTTAAGTAGACCTCTACCCCCTTGATTTCTAGATATATATAGTCTCGATGTCGACGATTTTGGATGATGACTTCGGTAATCAGTAAGTGTGGTACGTATTAGGCGATCGAGTGTTTGCATATCTGTTTTTGACCACTTGAGAACTCCAAAGGATGCAGTTATAATGGGTAAAATCCAGCAGTTAATCGCTGTTATGGTATTCCTTCCATTAAGTTGTGTACTTAATATTGCTTTGAGTCTTTGTTTAAGGTAATCTTTCATTTCTGCTGTTTTAATATTTACGGCTTGCTTGAATCCTTTTCTATCTAGATTATTATTATTATCATCATTATCACTAGATTCTTAATCTAAAAATATTTTTAGTCCTGACATGTAATGCTTTACATTTTATTTTTTAATTTCAAATCGGTGAGTTTTATAAAAAAATACAAGAGATAAAAAAGTTTCTAAACAAACTAAACTATCCAAATTAATTTTTTTGCGTGTGTTTGATAAGATTTTTCTTTAAATTTCGTTAACAAGAATGATAGGGGTAGTTTACTTCAACCCCTTCCACTCATTTTAAAAAAGTGAAAAAAATACCAGAAAGCGTGTTTTTATAACAGTAATGCTTCCATAAAATTTCATTAGTCTATCTCTTTTCGTTTTCAAGATAAAAAATAATAATATAATAAATAAACATTATTTTTCCGCCATCTTGGTACCGCTATATCTCCCTAATGGTTGACTTTTGACCCAACGTTTATGAAGCAAACTACCCTTTATTTTGAACAAGGAATCACCCCCTGAAGTTTTTCGCATTTGTTTTGAAACACCCTGTATATCATGCCAACCCTGCTGCAGCCCCGACTATTTCTTGGTCGTCCATTATTTTCGACAACACAACTCTGCTGTGCGCGCACAAGTGGATCACTTCATTCGTCGAAAAATAAGTTTTTAATTTGAACGGAGCCGAGAATGCCGCGCACACTCAGCTCGCGCGTGCTCAAGTCTAAACGCACCATTAGACATTGTGAATGATTAAACTAAAACGTATACAGTGTAATTGAAACCACTAATTTATTCCACTAATTGCGAGATTCTGAATATAGAAAAATAGAAATAATTAATAGTTTTGTTATAGAAAAAATTAACTAGAATATTTTCATATTTTTATTAATTATTAAGAAGGCATTCTTCTCAAAATGTCAATAATAAAAAAGTTTTTTTCTTTTAAAGACAATCCGGGGACATACTGTATATAATATAGTTATTATGTTTCAGTTATACATAACCACAAAAAACAACGTGAATTTACGCCAGATGTCTGTCGTTGCCAACGTTTAGCCCAATTTAATGTTATCCTTATATTGCCTATTATTCAACATATCCTTATTTATCCATATATTTTACAACATGTGGCAACCACGCTAACTGAATCTTTCAAACTCACTGCTATCGTCCAGGGAATGCTAGCATTCACTAGTAAAAGTTGGTTTAAAAAATAGCTATTGAACTTTTACTAGCGTAGTACTAGCAATTGTTAACAATCACTGATTTCGAACTTTTACTGTAACATATACAACCTTTCACCTCTAATTGCACACCCTTGGAGGACGAATTATCAAAAATCGCTTCTCAGTGCTCAATTTACGTCACTTACTAAGGTTCATATTCCTAGTACAGATTTTAACAAATTTTGATACATCTTCTATTCCTAATTTCACCCCCTTAGGGTGTGAAATTTCAAAAAATTACTATTTTCTAAAATTGACATAGCCCATTCAGTAATTTGTGTTAATTTTCCTTGTTTAATTTTCTAGGAAAGGTATGCATCTGTACCTTACCAAACATCAGTACAAAAATACGTTTACCGAAGATCTCTGGGAAGCGTTGGAAGAAGCGAGCAAAAAGCCCGTGGCCGAAGTCATGTCCACGTGGACGAAACAAAAAGGTTTCCCAGCGGTGACAGTAGACAGCCGACCGTCCCCAGGCGGTGTAACTCTTACCCTTTCCCAGAGTAAATTTACCAGCGACGGCTTACCTCCTTCCGAAAACTACATCTGGATGGCCCCCGTTTCAATATCCACATCCAAAAATCCCGGTAAAGAGGTCGCTTCGATCGTACTGAAAGAACCCAAGACGGAGTTGTTCGTACCGGACGTAAGTGAATCCGACTGGATAAAAGTCAATCCTGGAACAATCGGTTTTTACCGTACCAGGTACCCGCCGGAAATGCTGGAGCGTTTATTGCCGGCTATCAGGGATCAAACCTTACCTCCTCTGGACAGGTTGGGACTCATCAATGATTTGTTCGCTATGGTCAAGGCCGGTCACACGGGGACGGTGGAAGCGTTGAAATTGCTGAAAGCTTTCGAGGGGGAGACGAACTACAACGTTTGGTCTTCCATCAACGGAATATTGGCCAGGCTATCGCAACTGTTGGGCGGAACAGAATATAGGCAGAGTTACGAAAAGGTAAGTAAAAAAATATCTTTTCCATGGGAACTTTTTTTTTCCTGTTTGTAATAAAATCTAGGTTAATCGCAAAACATTTTCCGATGCACGTCATCAATCATATCGAAATTGTCACGAAAGCCTATAAACCTGACTAAATGAAATTTTGGCAAAAATGTTTTAAGTTTATTGTATAATTTAAGATACCGTGCAGTTCTTCATTTTACTTGCTAGAGCAAATAATGATGGTAAAATAGATGGGGCTGTTCCCCGAACATTTTGCGCTGGATGTATACCATGATAGTAAGACCCATGATTATTTATGGAACAGTTGCCTGGTACACAAAACTAGAGCAAGGGACGGCAAGGCTAAACCTGTGCAAAGTCCAGAGACTAGCATGCGTCTGCATCACAGGAGCCATGAGAACCTGTCCAACAGCAGCAATGGATGTCATTCTAGATCTAACACCACTGCACATTGTCATTGGTAGATATGCCAATGCGAAAATTATTAGAGGGGTCACTAACGGAATTAGTACTGGGAGAATTGTCAGATCAGGGGCTTGGAACACCCTCAAAAAGGAAATACGACTCCTGCAACTCCCAGTGGATGATATGCCAAGAACGTACAACTCTGAGAAACATCTCAATGTAGTATTGAGCAATAAAAAGGATTGGAAGAGCGAAACGTCTGCCCAGCAGTTAAAAGACCATACCATAACTTGGTATACTGATGCTTCCAAAACCAATACGGGAACAGGGATCGGAGTATTTGGGTCGAGAACTAAATACTCCGAACCAATGGGCACTTACCCTAGTATCCTACAGGCAGAAATCTACGCTATCGAAAGATGAGTACAACTTATCTTAGATAGGAACTATTGGAAACAAGAAATAGCCATCTTATCTGATAGTCAATTTTAATCAATTCAGTATCAATCAATTCGAAATTGGTCAAAGAATGCATAGAGAAGCTGAATAAATTAGGCAAAGAAAACAAAGTCCTCCTACTCTGGGTGCCTGCTCACCAAGGGATAGAAGGCAATGAAAAAGCAAATGATCTAGCTAGAAAAGGAGCGAACACTCCACTAACTGGACCAGAACCGTTCTGCTTTCCAAGTGGTAACCAACTCAAGGTGGAACTCAAGAACTTGGAAGATTCCGTCCGCAACCTGGAATGGGAATCTTGCAACGGTCTAAGACACTCGAAGAAGTTTCTGAAGGCTTATGATCAAGAAAAATCACAGATCTTCCTGGGTTTAAGTAAGAACAATCTTCGGATTGTCACGGGGTTTTTAACAGAACACTGTCTCCTCAATGAACACCTCATTAGATTGAAACTAAGAAGAAACGGCGAATGCAGATTCTGTGGGGAAAATGGGGAAACACCAGTACACCTCATCACTGAGTGCGCCGAGACGACAACCATTCGTGCCATGAACTTTGGTATGACTGATATTGGAGACGGAGAACTACCCTCTATAAAACCGTCCCACATACTGGTTTTTGTCAAAGCCCTGGGACTGTATGATGAGTTATAACTCAAGAAAGGGGGACACAATAGATCTGTAAGGTCGCAGTGGTTAACCCCCCTCCCACTCATTCTAAATTCTAAAAAAAATTCTAAATAATGATGGTAACAGATATTTTATTTAGAAGAAGCTGCAAAAATTTCTCCAAAAAAATCCCTTATGGGTAATTCGCCACTGCACTGCAAGAAAATCTACAAAATAAAAGAATTATTTTTTTTTGTAAACACTTCTGCATTAAACCTAAACGGACACTGCTTGTCAGAAGTTATGTTTACAGTTATACAAATTTGCCTAACAAAGAAAAAAATGCTTAACGTTTCGGAAAGTTTATCTCTTTCCGTCGTCGGAAGCAAAAAAAAATACAAAGAATAAAGAAAAAAACTATTTAAAATATTTAAATTCGAGAAACTCCAAAAAACTATTCGAGAACACTTTACTTTTTTAAAACAGATACGTCTACAAAAAACCGTTGACGTTCTGTTAAAATGACATTATATCAAGTTAAACTTCAAAATTAACAATTACTACCTGATAACAATTATTTAATAAGGTAAAACCAAAAAGCCCCAAACTTTCTGTATGATTATCTTAATTAAATTATTAAATTTTACGTATGGTATGTTTATTTATGTTATGTTCTTTAAAATCAAAGAAACGATTGTCATACATTACTAACATCTACAGGTGCATGAGCAATACATTTATTTTTATTAGATTGAATTAAAAAAGCCGTTTTTATTTTTTTTTAGAGGCTATCGCTTCTTTCATTATAATTTTGGCGTTATTAAAATTTATTCTGTGCCCTGTGTCCCATGAATGCTGACAAATCTTAGATTTGTTAAAAACTCCCTTTCTTAAATAATCTTTATGTTCTTTAATTCTAACATTTAAGGGTCTAGATGTTTCACTAATGTAAAATTTATCGCATTCACATGGTATTTGGTATATTATATTTTTTGTTTGTTGTTCTGTATTCATTGGTTTAGTATGTGATAAAATTGATCTAAGTGTATTTTGTGTTTTAAAAGATGTTCGTATGTTATATTGTTTTCCTATCCTCCTTATTTTTCCGAAACGCCTCGTATGTATGGAATTGTAAGTTGTATATATTGTGTCTATGATTTGGGGTTTGTATTTCGTTTAATGTTTATGAAATACCCATAAAGGATTTTTTTGGAGAGATGAATCCGCCACATAGATATAGACGTTTTTTGCAAAAATTTGTTTAAATCGATTTTTATTTTTCTTCGAAAATCTCCCTTTCTTAAATAATCTTTATGTTCTTTAATTCTAACATTTAAGGGTCTAGATGTTTCACCAATGTAAAATTTATCGCAGTCACATGGTATTTGGTATATTACATTTTTTGTTTGTTGTTCTGTATTCATTGGTTTAGTATGTGATAAAATTGATCTAAGTGTATTTTGTGTTTTAAAAGATGTTCGTATGTTATATTGTTTTACTATCCTCCTTATTTTTCCGAAACGCCTCGTATGTATGGAATTGTAAGTTGTATATATTGTGTCTATGATTTGGGGTTTGTATTTCGTTTAATGTTTATGAAATACCCATAAAGGATTTTTTTCGAGAGATGAATCCGCCACATAGGTATAGACGTTTTTTGCAAAAATTTGTTTAAATCGATTTTTATTATCGCCATGTTGGTCACATTGCACCGTGATCAGCAAGTTTGTCGTTTATTATTTGACAATTATCATAATGTGAGTCATTATTTTGTATACTATCGTGTCGTTGTTGAATCTTTGGGAATAATTCTCATTTTTTGACAGATTTTCATATATTTTTTTGTTTAAATTGTACTTTTAAACACAAACAGTTCTTTTAAGAACTAAATTTTCGAGTTTTTGTATTGCATTTCTTGAAATTGTGTGTTGAAAATATACCGAAGCATTTAAACAGTCGAAGCAAAGAGCTTGTAGCTTTCCTGATAAACTGTTTGGAACGAGAACGTGACAATAAGATCGTTTATTACCCTTGACTGCAGTCAGAGAAGTAAGTTTGATTGGTAAGCACCATTATACCACTTTCAAAGTTATTTCTACTTATTTTTATTTCTAGCGAGTAGCTGCTGCCTTAAATTTAAATACTGCTACTGTGAGTGTTAGTGATTACTGTAGATAAATTAATTAATTAGTAAAATATTAAAAATAAAACGTAAAAATCTTTAAAAAATTATATAATAAATATATTGTTTCCTAATTTTACATTAAGATTCATCTCATAAATCCATCATCAATCTGGCGGTGCTGTCGCCACCGGTTGTCACTCAAAGTTGATCACGTGCATCGGGAATTGTTTTGTGATTACTTATATACATTTTTAATCATTAGAACTATAAAAAAATTAATTAAAGACATAAACGTTAACATTAATTGCTTATGCCTCTACAAGCCAAGAATTGCCAATATTCTCGTTGTAAGTATAGGCTTAATACATTCTCTGCTAGTACCACATTTTTTGGAGCTTTTTTCCAAAGCAGACCTACAAAATACACAGGGAGTTTCAATATTCCGTGGACATAGAATAATTGAAGGGGTGGCTGAAATAACCAGCTTCTATGACTGCAATCAAGCGTAATAGGCACTTTTATTGCCACGTTTTCGTTCAAAATAGTTTATCAGGGAAGCTAGAAGCCCTTTGCTTCGGCATATTTTCAACACACAATTTCAAGAAATGCAATACAAAAACTCGAAAGTTTAGTTCTTAAAAGGACTGTTTATGCTTAAATGTACAATTTTTTAAAAAATAGTATGAAAATAAGCGAAAAAAAAACGAGAATTACTCTCAGAGATTTAACAACACGATATGATAATTATTGTCGAATAATAAACGACAATGTTGCTGAATACGGCGCAATATGACCAACATAGCGATAATAAAATTAGGTTTAAACTATTTTTTTGCAGCTTTAATCTAAATAAAATATCTGTTTCAATCATTTGTTCTATAAAGTAAAATAAAGAGCTGCTCAGTATCTTAAATTATACAACAAATTTAAACATTTTTACCAAATTTTGCCAGTACCATAGTTCTTCACTGATTGAACGAATTAATTAAATATATTAAACTTTCTGTTAAAGACTGACAACTGAGGTTGGTCTAATTAAAAACAAGTTTTGATCTAGAAGGTTTGTTTACTAAGTGACTATTGTTTTTATAGTACCAAAAGGAATTATTAAGCAACGTTTATAATCGCTTGGGCTGGAAGAGTAAATCTGGCGAAACTCATCTCGACACTTTACTGAGAAGTTTAATTTTGTGCCGAATGGCATTGCTAAATGATCCTAAAACTATTGAAGAGGCCAGAACAAGATTAGATAAGCATGCAGAAGGAAAAGAGGTATAATCCATTAAAAAAAAACTAATTGTTGGTGGTGAGTAATTCTGACTCTTTTCAGGTTTTGCCTGCTGACTTGAGAACTGCTTGTTATAAAGCTGTTCTTCACGCAGGAGGACAACAGGAATTTGATACTCTCTTGAAACTGTACCGAGCAACTGATCTACACGAAGAAAAGGACAGAATAAGTCGGTCGTTAGGATCGGTTAACGATGTAGAATTATTAAAGAAAGTTTTAGAGTTCGCCATGTCGGTAAGTTGTTTTTAATTCGATTTGAAATTGTTTTTAATGGCATTAAAAATTCGCTTTGAATTTAGTTTTAAAGATTATTATCGAAAAGTTCAATGTTAGTCGATGCGACATGATGACTTGCATGACCATTTTTTTTTATTTAATTAGACTTTTAATTTTTTGACATACATTTGCTAGTACAGTTTAGACATAGGGATAGGAGGACGGGGATGGGAGTATTTGGGCCGAAAACTAAATACTCCGAACCAATGGGCACCCACCCCAGTATTCTTCAGGCAGAAATTTACACATTCGAAAGATGCGTGCAATTTATCTTAGATAGGAACTATCGAAAACAGCAAATTGTCATCCTATCTGATAGTCAAGCAGCACTAGTGATGTTAATATTTCAGAAATTTTTGATTGTTGCAGGAAATTTCTGAAACTTTCGGAAACTTTCGGAAATTTATGAAATATTAGGAAATTTTACAATTTTACATATTTTTTGTCGATACAATAAAAGAATAAATTAGACAGACATTTGATACCAACAAGGAAAAAAAAACAATACCAAGTGGAAAAAAAACAATAAACATAATATTAGTTGTTATATTTTTAATAAACAATACATAACCCATAAAAGCCATAAACATAACCCATAACAAAAATCATTTATTAACATTTGTATTTTGTGCATAAACCACGAACTATAACTATGAATTAAAAAAAAACAAAAAAGCACGAAATATAAATTTAAAAAACGTAATACACAAATAACTGAATTATTCTATTCCGGAATATCAGGCGCCGAGCTGGTCCCATCTTCATAGGGTATTATAGTAGTAGTAGTACTGTCTTCCGTCAGTTTCTATTTCCAAATCAGATATATTTGATGTATCATCTGGTTCTGATTCTGAAGGATGGACCTCTACTTCCACGAGTTCTATTGGTTCTGGAGGAATTTCATGTTGTTGAATATCATGCTCCATATCCACTTTTTGTTTTTGTAGTAATAATTTATTGTTATGAGCTACGAACGTTATTTTACCGGTTCTTTGTGCAGTTAAGCGATTCCTTTTTTTAGTATGGATAAAACTGTAAGTACTGAAACTTCTCTCTGTGGCTGCAGATGACGTTGGTAAAGACAGCAGAGCAACCGCTAAATATTTCAACCTCAATTTCAACTGAGTGTTTTTTCACATTGCTTGCCACCAACTTAGACAGTCTACATTTTTAACTGACATCCAAATGTAGTCGAGAGCCCATAAACCCGATTTGACGCAATAATTTGTTACATCTGTAAAAATGGCTTATTATTGACAAACTGAGGATGATTGTTGGTGATATTGTTGATAAATTCCATAGCGGCTATGTCACATAGCCTATGTGTTCTTCATTGTTAAGGTGCTCTCCCAGGAAACAGGGGTCCAAGAGATTCGCAGCAAAATGCATCGGTTCAAGAGCCATAGGTTTTTTATTTTGTAAGGCGGAGAAGCATTCTTTTTTTTCTGACTTAAGAATCGGCATACTTGATACACTTTCGTTAAATTTTTACTCAATGTCTTGAATTTTGAAAAGAAATTTCTTGCAAAATTCGGATTTTTGCGAATATTCGCGATTTTGGGACCGAATATTTCGGAAATTTCTGAAATTTCCTGCAAAATTCGAATGAAAATATTCGCTACCAACATCACTAAGCAACACTAAACGCGATCAACTCAGTAACCATCAATTCGAAGTTGGTCAAAGAATGCCTAGTGAAGCTCAACAAATTAGGCAAAGAAAATAAAGTTCTCTTACTCTGGGTGCCTGCTCACCAAGGGATAGAAGGCAATGAAAAAGCAAATGATCTAGCTAGAAAAGGAGCGAACACTCCACTAACTGGACCAGAACCGTTCTGTTTTCCAAACGGGAACCAACTGAAAGCGGAACTGAAGAATCTGGAAGACTCCATCCGTAACTTGGAATGAGTGTCCTCCAACGGTCTAAATCACTCGAAAATGTTCCTCAGAACTTACGACCGAGAAAAATCAAAGGTTTTCCTTGATTTAAGTAAAAATAATCTTCGGATTGTCACGGGGTTTCTAACAGGACATTGTCTCCTCAACAATGAGGCGACACCTCAGTAGGCTGAAGCTGAGAAACAACGGCGAATGCAGATTCTGTGGGGAAAATGGGGAAACACCAGAACACCTTATCATTGAGTGCGCCGAGACGATGACCATTTGTGCCATGCGCTTTGGTACAGCTGTTATCGGGGATAGAGAGGTGGCGCCGTCTCAGATACTGGTTTTTGTTAAAGCCCTGAGACTGTATGATGAGTTATAACTCGTTATAACTCAAGAAAGGGGAACACACAATAGATCTGTAAGGTTGCGGTGATTAACTCCCCTCTTAAACATTCTACATTCTACTACAGTTTAAATCTCCTATCCTAAGATAGTATATTAGAAAGTTTTCTCACTAAAAAATACATTTAAAAATCGATTTTGCGCCGTCTACCAAACCAACCCAACTATCGAAAACAGGAAATAGCCATCATATCCGATAGTCAAGCAGCACTAAACGCGATCAACTCAGTAACCATCAATTCGAAGTTGGTCAAAGAAAGCCTAGATAAGCTGAACAAATTAAGCAAAGAAAATAAAGTTCTACTCTGGGTGTCCGCTCATCAAGGGATAGAAGGCAATGAAAAAGCAAATGATCTAGCTAGAAAACTCCACTAACTGGACCAGAACCGTTCTGTTTTCCCAGCGGAAACCAACTAAAGGCGGAACTGAGGAAGCTGGAAGACTCCATCAGTAATCTGGAGTAGGAGTCCTCCAATGGTCTAAGACACTCGAAAAAGTTCCTCAGAACTTACGACGTTCTACACGCGCATAAACGATAATCGGTTGGGTATTTCGCGTTCAATCTAAACAAAAAAAACTTAACCCCCAGAGACTAACCAACGCAATCAAAACACGCCTACGGCCTATTTTGATTGCTATGACTGACAACTGTAAACAAATAAAAACAGTTGTGGTAAGAAAGTAAAAAAAACAAAGTTTTGGTTTGGGTTCGGACATGATCCTGGGACCTTTTGTTCCCGAAGCGACGGCCTTACCAATGGATCCACAGCTTTTCTTGTAAAATTGACTATAGCTAGGCGTTACTTTCCGCCGTTCTTAAAACCATTCATAAAATAAGGTGACAGCAAACGGCAACATTGTTGGGTATGCGAGTTGACTGGTGGGACGTAGAAGCTTTTATAATAATTTCTGTTATACATCTATTTCTTTACAGGATGAAGTTCGCACCCAAGACAAAGTTTTCGTCATAATCGCCGTGTCGCTCAACGCCAAAGGCCGGGACCTGGCTTGGGAATTCTTCAAAACGAACTGGACCAAAATCAAGGAGCTCATCAGCGGTTCTCTGCTGACCAGTTTCGTCAAGTATCTGACCGAGAACTTCTCCACCGAGGAAAAGTTGCGCGACGTAGAACGCTTCTTCCAGGAGCATTCGACGCCCGGTACAGAAAGAACCGTTCAGCAATCAGTCGAAACGATACAGCTAAACATCAAATGGCTAGAAAGGGACGGGGAATCGATCCGGAAGTACCTTAGTTAATATTTACTGCGACCTCAGCGTGGTCACGAAAGGTTGGTTGAGATGGCAATTTTTAAATGAAGATTTTTTAGTCTAGAAACATTATTTTTATTTTATGTATTTATTGAATAAAAAATATAGAACTTAAAGTACAGTCTTTAGCGCGAAATTGTTTATTATAGAATTTCATGAGCCTGGAAAGGATAGAAAAACTATATAAAATAAAAAAAATATCAGTGTATCTATTTTCAAATTTAGCACATTTTTCTTATATCATTATACTCCTTAGTATAATTCTACTTCATTTCTACTATTCTTACGTTTTATACGGTTTTAATTTACACTTTATTTTTACATTAATTTATACTTTCTGTAGGATTGTCAAAAATTCTTAAGAGTCCATTTCACTAGTCCGAAAAAGTAGCAAAATAAGCGTCCGGCATTTAACGTGTTATGTAAAACTGGCTAGGTATTTTTACACAATAAATGAAGAAGGATATTAAAGATAAATGATTATACTATATCCGTATTGTAGCACATTTTTAGACAACTTCTTTATTTTTAAGATTTTGATGGTCAAACATCAACAAAATATTCCTTATGTTTGGACTAAATTTCCTCGAAAATAAAGACATAATTTAAAATTCTGTTACAATACTGAAATAGATTGAAGTCTTGTGATTACAGTGATATATAATTTATATGGTTTTGTAACAAATTGCTCGCTATTTTATGGCAAATGCTCTGCAAACCTTAATCAAGCGTTAATCAAAGCACGTGTGTTTGGAATTTTGGGTGTGGCTTAACTCGACAGGATCGAACTAAGCCTTAGGCAGATTTCTGAAATATAATATATATTTCCTTCAGCCACACACTCGATGTACCCGAGCCCTGAGAGCGACCCGAAAGTACATCATAATAGACTCTTAATACCAACTGGTAGTAAGCACGATTAAAAATAAAGAAGAGCTAGGTAATGATGTCTAGGGTTTGACCTTGACCGAAATTATTATGATTATCATTCCCCAGCCGTCTTTAACGTTTTTTTTTCAATCGTATATCTACTATGCCATACAATACACTGATATATGATTGCCATCTCTTACCAAATGATTTGTTAGGGCGTTGTGAAACGCAAGCCATATGAAAAAAAATCAATTATAATAGTTATCCACTTGTCTTTAGTTATCACCCTGACCCAGACAGCACAGTGACATTTTAAAGACATCTATAAGACAACTTGCTTGAACATTACTGACATCAAAGACGTCTATTTTCGCCTTTAGACGTATTAAAGGCATCTTACCAACGTCTGATGTTAAAAAACGTAACATCTTTAAGACGTCTTGAGTAAAATGTCTTTAAGATATATTTTAACAATGTACTTAAGATGTCTTTTAATGTGAATGAAAATGGGATACAATGGTGAATTATAAAATATAACACCTCCTTGGACTGGCATTGTCTTTAATTTTCAAATTAAGCATGTTTCTCTCAGATGTTACACTGACCAATATGAAATGAACAGTTAACATTTTATAATAGTGATATATCTGACCGAAACGTTATGTATTGGTATTTTCTTCTTGGACAACCACTGGAGGTACAGATGTGTATCATCACTACTATCTACAGATGTGTTATCATGCGCATCTAAAATATGAATCATAGAAATAAGATAATTGTTCAAATATATCTAACAACCTAAATGTTTTAAACTCACCTGGCTTACCTACAATATCAGCTTTAACTTCTTTGATCAGCTTTAATGATTTTGGTAAATTCTCTGATGAAACTTTATATCACGTCCCTTTGCTAAACGGTTTTGCGCGCCTTTTTACAACTCACAACAACGACAAGAACAAACATTTTCCGCGAGATTTTCCAGAGATTTTCGATCACATAACCCCACATCAACATCAACACAACCACAGAAGATAACTGTCACGCCTGTCAATCGTCATATTTGCGCTTATACAGGGTGTCATTGAAATGGTGTAAAAAAAATCAGGGGGTGATAGTACTCCTAAAAATAGTAAAAAAACGAGATAAAATTTCGAAAAAAATGCTTTGCCATAAATTTTGACCCTAAATCAAATGGTGATACTGAAAAATTATTTGGAAAAGCGGAAAGGGTAGTTTTTGCAAGGGTAGGGGGTTGTTTCGTGAATAACTTCTTAGAGGTTACTTTTTCCTACAAAAAAAGGTACTCTTGTTGCACATCGCCCAGAGCGATGGTTTTCTAGAAAATTGAAGGCAAAGAGTTTGCTCTGATGGGTTGGTATCAACATAAACTTACGAAAGTTATGGCGGTTCAAAAGTAACCAAGTAGTTATCAAATAATTAATTGAACAATCAAAATTTTATGATTTTTAAAATATCTTATTGCTTTAAAAAACGAAATAATCCACTAGATTTCTACTTCTGAGGCCACTTTGAAAGCTTTGGTTTACTCAGTGCCGATTAATACTGAAGACCAACTACGGCAACGCATTATTGACTCTTCCAATCAAATTCGGACAAACACCAAGGATATTCCACAGGGTACGCAGATCTTGGAGAAGAAGAGCAGATGTCTGCATTGAAATGAATGGTGGTCATTTTAAACATTTACGATGAATGAATTAAGGAATGCATTATTTTAATAACGAATTTTGGTAATTGGTTTATTTCGTTTTTACAGCAATAAGATGTTCTAAAAATCATGAAATTTTGATTTTCCAATTAATTATTTAATAACTACTTGGTTACTTTTGAACCGCCATAACTTTCATAAGTTTATGTTGAGTTAACAACCCATCAGAGCAAACTCTTTGCCTTCAATTTTCTCGAAAACCATTACTCTGGGCAATGTGCAACAAGAGTACCTTTTTTGTAGGAAAAAGTATGTAGTTTTCAAGAAATGAACCCACGTTGCAAAAAAAATAACCTCAAAAAAGTTATTCACAAAACAACCCCCTACCCTTGCAAAAACTGCCCTTTCCGCTTTTCCAAATAATTTTTCAGTATCACCATTTGATTTAGGGTCAAAATTTATGGCAGAGCATTTTTTTTCGAAATTTTATCTCGTTCTTTAAGCCTACAATTTCAAAACAACCGTTTTTTAAATTCACCCTTTCAGTGTCCCTAACTCCCTTAATATGCATTTTCCGCCCTATACTTATAGGAACTTTTTTTTTATTATTTTTAGGACTACTATCACCCCCCCCCCTTAAATTTAAAATTTCTAATCATTTCTAATATTTAGAGACGTCCTAAAGATGTTTTATATTTCGTCATCTTATGAATATCTTTAAAATTATGTCGAAAAGTTGTCTTATTTTAGTCTTTAGGCTTTAAGATCTAATTAAATATATAAAAAAGACGTCTTTAAGATATTATGTGCTGTCTGGGGGCTTACCTGTACTTAGCTTTTGTACTTAATTTTCATTGTTGTTTTCTTTTTAATTTTTGTAAACGGTTTATGTCATTATGCCAGTTACATGTACCTAGATTATTTTTAAGTTTTTTAATGATTTAAATGAAAATTGATTAAATGTTTTTTAAAACTACTTGTTTTTTATTTTTTCTTTATATTGGAGATTGATTTTCATTGGATTTTCCTATCTAATATATAAAATTCTCGTGTCACAGTTTGGAAGATACGGCTTGACCGATTTTGATGAACCGAATTTTTTATATATATATCGAGTAGGTCTGAGAAAGGTTGTTGTTATTCTAGGTCGTATATGCTTACGTGGATAAGTGAATCACTATGGAAACTGTCGCAAATATAGACTTAAAATAAAATATAGACTGAGCATCTCGTTCATAAATAGCTGGAAAATGCGGTCAGTTAAGTTTAGTTTAATCATCTGCTGATGATGCTAACATGGTTAGCGAAACGCGCGTCCAGTGTAAAGGTAAAAGTGTTTTGGTGTATTGTGCTGATTTAGTGTTTTATTTTGCCGTGTAACACCAAAGGTTCCAACCCCCAACTGTAATATGATTTTGTTACAAAAACCTTTATATAAATGATTATGTAATAGAAAAAGCAGCAGATTTAATATATTCTAGAATAGAGTTAAATAATTGGAATTCGATAAAAAATGCTATAATAAATACATTTTCAGATCAAAGATCGATAGACTGTGTTTTACAAGATATATTAACGTTAAGACCGAATAAAAACGAATCATCTCAACAATCTGATATTAGATTGCAAGATATGAGAAGTTTACTATTTTCAAAAATAAATATGTCTGACGATCCGCGAGAAATTAGAATATTAAAAATTAGAGAATATGATAATTTAGTTTTAAAAACATTTATTAATGGTTTAAATTATAATACACAATTAATTGTCAGATTAAAAAATCCTATTAATATCGAAGAGGCAATGAGTTATGCTTTAGAAGAAGAAAATTTTTTGTATTATAAAAATAAGACCACATTATACTGCTAATGTAAGCAGAAATAATAATAATAATTTTTCAAGACATAATAACAATTTTTCTAGAAATAATAACTTAAATAATAATTTTCAGAATAGACAAATGCATAATTCAAATTTTAATAGAAATAATTTTAATCGTTTTTGTAATCAAAATTTTAATAATTTTAATCATAATAACAATAATACTAATCGAAATAATTTTACAGGTTTTGGTCAGTTTAGATCAAATTCTGGCAATGTATATAACGTTAATAATACACAAAATTCAGCTAATAGAAGATTTACTGACTTAAATAATAATAACTTCAATAAAAATAATTTTAATAGAAATAATAGAGTAGAACCAATGGATATTTCATCTGGCAATACAATTTTAAATGATTACCAAAATAACAGATACAGTAGAAACAATCCTAATGGAAATCCATTAATATTTGAGGATATTAATAATCATACAGTACAATCTAAAAATGATAAAAATTCTGTAAATTTTCCAGAAGCTTCAACGTCAAAACACCCAACATAATAATATTAAATAATAGTAAATATTCTAATTTACCAATTATCTTTATCCCCGATATAAAAGCAAAAGTTTTAATATGTTAGAGATATATAACAATCGATCTCTATAACAGTAGATTGTTTGTTTACAGGTGATAATATTATATTGACGTTTTAGTAATAAAGTCGTCAGAAGTTTAAATATTTAAATCGAATTTATTTCAAAAGGAATTTTGTAAAAGAGATAACAAATTCAGAAGTGGAATAATCGTCCGACGTTCTTTTATGAGAAGTATGAGTGAACAGGATAGTGAAATTAGCCCAAATCCTGTACTGAAATCAAATTTTGAAAAATTTTACCGCAGTCAAGTAGAGCTGCCTATTAGTAATAATACACAGACACGACAGGGTGAGCCTGTGAATTTAAATACCGTATTGGATACGATGCAGGCTATAATCCAACAAAATGCCATTATACTGCAAATGATGAACGACCGTCAAAATCAACAACGGGATATTCCAAATTATAATATGCCTGATTTTTCGAAATCCATTCCATTTTTCGACGGTATTGACTTGAAGAAAAGTAAATTTTGGTTAGAAAGTATAGAAAGTGCCGCACAACTCCATAACTGGCCTCCAGCATTTATGTTGGAAACTGCGCTTTCTCATTTAAGTGGAGTAGCATACCATTGGTATGATTATAGAAGAGAATACTTAAATTCTTGGAGACAATTCAGATAGTTTATGATTTATTATGTATCATCATTATGGTAATTATGTATCACCGTTATGTTAATTATGTATCATCATTATGGTAATTATGTATCATCATTAGGTTAATTATGTATCATCATGATGTTAATTATGTATCATCATTATGGTAATTATGTATCATCATTATGTTAATTATGTATCATCGTTATGTTAATTATGTATCATCATTATGTTAATTATGTATCATCATTATGCTAATTATGTATCATCGTTATGTTAATTATGTATCATCATTATGGTAATTATGTATCATCATTATGGTAATTATGTATCATCGTTATGTTAATTATGTATCATCATTATGCTAATTATGTATCATCGTTATGTTAATTATGTATCATCATTATGGTAATTATGTATCATCATTATGTTAATTATATATCATCATTATGGTAATTATGTATTATCATTATGTTAATTATGTATCATCATTATGCTAATTATGTATCATCGTTATGTTAATTATATATCATCATTATGGTAATTATGTATCATCATTATGGTAATTATGTATCATCGTTATGTTAATTATGTATCATCATTATGTTAATTATGTATCATCGTTATGTTAATTATGTATCATCATTATGGTAATTATGTATCATCATTATGTTAATTATATATCATCATTATGGTAATTATGTATTATCATTATGTTAATTATGTATCATCATTATGCTAATTATGTATTATCGTTATGTTAATTATGTATCGTCATTATGTTAATTATATATTATGAACCTATTGCTAGCTTATTGTATTATTATGAATTTCTTATGGTCTTTATGTCATTGTTATGTTTCTTATGTCATTATTATGTTTATTATGTCATTATTATGTTTATTATGTCATTACTGTGTTTCTAATTTTACTATAGATCTATTGTTATTTGTTATCGATCGGGGCGAGCGAGTGTCAGGTTGGCCGATCTGTTAGAGATATATAATAATCGATCTCTATAACAGTAGATTGTTTGTTTACAGGTGATAATATTATATTGACGTTTTAGTAATAAAGTCTTCAGAAGTTTAAATATTTAAATCGAATTTATTTTACAAGGAATTTTGCAAAAGAGATAACAAATAGATACAGGTAGTGGAAAAAGTTTTATTAAACCAGAATTAGCATATACATTTTATTCTAAATATATTAAAAATGAAACATTTTCAGTAAAGGCAGCTCACACAATATCAGTTCATGATAAAGTAATAAATATTCCTATTTTTAGTTGTTTCAATACAAAAGGTTTTCATAAATTTTACTTATTTGATTTTTCTCATAAATATGATGGTTTAATAGGTATAAAATTTATAATTCAAATAAACGCAATAATAGATATAAAAAATAATTGTTTACATACATCTAAAGTTAATATACTAGTTTATTTTGCCAATAAAAATATTGATATTTCTAAAAATAATCATTTGCCTTACGAAATAATTTTACCAGCTAGATTTAATATTAAAACAAAAATACCAGTAAATTTTTCAGAAGGTTTAGGAATTTTAAAATATAGATTATTTGGAAAAGCTGAATCCCCAGAAGCTCTTGTAGAAATAGATAATTATTTTGCTACAACAATGTTAATTAATCCTTGTGAAAATCCAGTAAAATTAATTTTTAATGAACCTGTAGAAATAGAATTAATAAATCAAACAGTATCTAATTATTTAGAAAAATCAGAAAATAATATTTCAGAACTCAATAAAAATTTAGATACACTGAAAAAACAAAATTCTAAAAATACACATTTTAATAATTCTAAAAATAAGTTACGTAATAAAAATAGAAAAGGAAATATATAAATCATTGTAAAATTAATAAAAAATTAGGTCATGAAATTAGTAGTAATAAATTAAAATATAACTTCAGTAAAAATACTAAAAGCATATAGCAATACTTTCGCATGTTTCTAATAATAAAACTAATTTAAAAAATACTTCTTTAAATTCTCTTAAAAATAATAAAAAATCTGGTTACAAAATAAAAATACTAAATATAATTTAAAAAATATATCTTTTGATCAATGTAATAATAATAAAAAGAAATATTTTAATTATAAGAGATTTCGTAAAAAACATAAAAATTTAAATAAAGAGTTATAAAAATTCTTATTATATAAATTCAAATAAAAATAGAAAATTACATTTAGTTACACCAGTTATATGCAAGAAAACAGCTGCTTAAGTCCAAGAATACGGAGAACGCTTAATAAACGCTTTCAATCATACAAAACTGTAAGGTCTCGTAAGAGCACCGCCTTTTGCTATGTGTCTCTGCCAAGTGCACGTTGTATTTTACTAAATAAATTTTTTAAAAACAACACTCGTCGTACAAGTGATTTAATTGGCGCAGTCGGTAGGATCATGTTGTTTCCCAGTTTCGAGTCTCGCATCGTGCGGTAGATCTGTGAAATTCGCGGTTTTTCAACCCCTAAAACGTGATTTTTACGAACAAATTACTTCGAACTTTCTGTGGCGATCACTACCAAGCAGAACTGTGCTGAGCGAGCTACATTCGAGGCAGTGCAGTGAAACCTGTGAGAGTAAGAGGATCAACCCCAACAGAAATAGACGAACCACCACCAGGCGAGCAGATAGCAGAAGTCCGGTGAAGGAAAGAAGCTTATCAAGGTAGGTGCCATTTCCTTTTCGCCTCTCCTGAACCCTCTGTATAAGGAGTCAGTCTAGAGATAATTATAGGTCGCAACTTATCGAAAGCACTAATTTACAAAGAAAAATCAATCAATCAATAAAATAAAACGAATTAAATAAAAATATATGAACAATCTAGAAACGATTGTTGAACAAATCAATAATTTAAGTTTAAGTGAAAATAATTTAAATACAAAAATGCAAGGTTCCAGTAGCCAACAACCCAAAATAAATTGGGACATTTTTAAATCTAAGCTAGACAATATTAAGACGTATGATGGCAATAGTAATACGTTAAATAAATTCATTTTTAAATGTGAAAATTTAATGTTAAGATATAACAACATTGAAGACGATGAATTTAAACAACACATTTTCGAATGTATCCATTCTAAGTTAGTCGGTAAGGCAGAACTAATGGTCGGCAACAGAACCGAACTCAGTAGTTGGGATGCCGTAAAAGCTGCTCTTATTCAGTGTTTTTCGGATAAAAGAGATTTAGACTGTCTTATACAAGAACTAACCAGGATGAGGCCATTTACGGGTGAACATTTGACAAGTTTTGGCAACAGAATTCAACTTAGTAAAAGTAGTGTAATTCAAAGGGTGAGCAATGACACCAGCCTTTCAACAGAGCAAAAGATTTGTCAAATTAGTCACTACGATAAAACCGCTTTAAATACTTTTATAGCAGGGTGTAGTGGTCAATTACGAAATAACATGTATATTATAAAAACAGAATTACTAGAAGATGCGATAGCTTTTGTTGATGAGTTTGAAAATTTCGAAAGATTATACGGTAGTAAGCAAAATACAAATTTAAATCAAAAACCGAATAATCAATCAATGCAAAGACCGAATCCAAATTTTAGAAATTTTCAAAATAATCCTCAAAATAATTTCCAAAATCAACCAAATTTTAACAATTATAACAGAAACCAAAATTATCAACAAAATTACAACAAACAATATAACCCTAATTATCAACAAAACCCAAATTTTCAATCGAAACCAGTTTTTCCAAGTCAACCTATTGATTTACCCCCATCTCGACAAGTACCCCAAAGAGTTCCCACTAACAGAGAAGTTTTCGGACCCCCTCGTAATGTCTTTAAACCTAGACCTATACCTCCACACGAACAGACTAAACCTGAACCGATGTCGACTACATCACACGTTCCTTCTACGATGTATAGTAAAAGAAATTCTCACATATAAAATTTTAGGCCAAATTACCAACAAAATCCAAACCAAAATTTTATGTTCCAAGAAGTTTATTCTGACGAAAACGATTATAATAATTATAACGATTCTGATTACAATAATCAATATTGTTCTCAAGACTATAATCAATATTATTCTGATGAAAATCAATACGATCAAAATAACGAATATTTCGAAACCGAAAATTTCGAAAAATCAAACAAATAATGACTCTTCGCAATCGAAAGAAAATTTTACGGAGCCGAGCCTCCAAAAGACAACGACATGATAGAAATTAAAAACCCTAAATTAAAACTACTAATAGACACTGGAAGTTCTCGATCAATTTTAAGACCATGTATAGCCGAAGAATTTTTTCCAGATTGTATATATCAGACAACCAACATCATAAAAACAGCTGTAGGTAGCCAAGCGGCTCAATATCAAGCCGATATTAATTTTTCAGATTTTAAAAATAATCACGAAATTAAATTCATTCTTTTTGATTTTCATGATTATTATGACGGTGTTTTAGGACTGTCAGATCTGATAAAAATGAATTTAAACATCGATTTAAAAAATAAAAAATTAATTGGACAAAACATCGAAATTCCATTTAAATATAGGCAACCTAAAGAGACAAGTTTTTCATTTTCTGTAAACTCACATGAAAAAATTATAAAAAAAATTCCGGTAAGCGTATTTAGTGGCGATATAATAACAATTTCAGGCACGAAAAATGATTTATATATACCCCAAATTTTATCATATGCTAAAGAAGGATTTGCTCCAATCGAGATGCAAAATTTAACGAACAAAACAATTTGTGTTACTTTAAATGAACCGATACCAGTGAACTCGTTTCAAGCAAATCTTTACGAAACATATACTGTCGCAAATTTTAAATCTCGGGTGACTAGATTAACCCAAAACCACCCAAACTATCCCAATAAAAACAACCCGTATATTAAGGATTTGATAAGAACATCACACATGGATTCCGAAGAAAAACAACAGAAGATCCAATACAAGAAAGGAAAATACAACCAAGCAACAGACGCACTCTCCCGAATTCCTCCGAGTACTGAGCTGAATGCTTTAGAAACCTCATCGATATGCAACAATCCAGGCGATATAGACGAAACTATCGAAGAACTGATAAGACACGAAGAGAATCTACCAGACATAAGTGAACTAGAGATAGAAGACTTTCTAAAACCGAAACCCAAAATTAATATAATATCGAATGTTTTAATACGACCAGCAGATAAACCAAAACAAAAAGATTCAGAAGATCTAGAAACTGTCCACACAGCGGAAGAAGATCCGATATTTGGAATACCAATATCTGAACGTTCGTTAAATACCTATAAACACCAAATAATTATGACAAGTGGCGATATCGAAAATCTTCAATATAAATTCGAAAAAGTATTTGAAAATACGAGAGTATACGTCACGATTTCAAAAAGAAATTCAAAGGAAAACATTATAAAATTGCTAAAAGAATTTATAGACATAAAACAAACATATGCGCTATATTTTAAAGATCCAATTTTAGCACGTAATTTCACAATTACTCTCCAAAAACTATTTAAAAATTCTTCCTACAAATTTATACATTGTTCCAAAATTCTTACTGACGTAGAAACTTTAAACGACCAAAAAGAAAAATTAAATCTCAGATTTACTACCACCAAAACATGCCACCGCGGAATTAATGAAATGAAGCAATCTCTCACATCTAAATATTACTGGCCGAAAATGTCAGAACATATCGAACATTACATTAATAATTGCGAAGTCTGTCAGAAAAATAAATACGACAGGAATCCGCCTGTTATAAAATTCAATCTGACCCCAACCACATCCAAACAATTCGAACACATACACATCGACACCTTTAAAATATCGAACGAAAGTTACCTAACTATAATTGATACATTTTCTCGATACGGTCAAGCGTACCCACTAAAATATCTTACAGGACCAGCTGTCCTAGAAAACATTTTTAGCTTTATTACCCATCACGGTATACCTAACAAAATAACGACTGATTGCGGTACGGAGTTTAAAAACAAAGAAGTGGAAGATTTTTGTAAGATTCATAAAATCGAACTACATTACACCACAAGCAAAAACAGTAACTCGAATTCACCAGTTGAGCGATTCCACTCCACGCTAATCGAACATTACCGTTGTCTGAAGGAATCGAACACCCAATTTACCCCAGACCAGTTAATAAAAAGAGCGATTTTAGGTTACAACAATTCTATTCATAGTGTAACTAAACACACTCCATTTGAGATAATAAAAGGTCATATCGATAGTATTGATCCATTCGATCTAAACGATCAATTAACTGTATCAAATTACGTAAGTAACCATAAAGAAAATGTAAAAGAATTATATCAGAATATACAAAGAGTAAACGCGGAAACAAAGGAGAAAATAATAAGTAAGCGAAACGATAAATGGTCAGAGCCACCGAAATATAACACCGGTACAGCCTACGTCAAAACAAAAGCTCGTAGTAAAGACCAACCGCGCTTTAAAAAGACGGAAATCAAAGACGAAACCGATATAAAACTAATAACCGACAAAGGGACTTACCACAAAAATCTGTTTAGAAAACCTAAAACTAAACAAAATTTAAAATTTCAGGGAAAAATGACAAAGATCCTCCTGATAAAGATCCCAATCCTAGTACTTCTCGTACTCCCTGTATATAATACAGAAGAAATATCTTTAAGTAGAATTAAGAATCCTATTTTACCTATGAAGTTAGGAAATGCTAAACTCATATATAGCAAGCATACTTTTTTCCATTATATAGAATTAAAACCTATTTTTAAGCAGCTACTTAACATAGAAAAATATTTTAACGACTTAAAAAGTCATATAACTCACGAAAATATTACTCACCATATTTCATATCATGGAATATCTCAAAATGCTATCATCCAAACACAATTTCTAATCGATATAACACAACAAAAACTTAGAAATTTAAATCCACATTTTAGAAATAAAAGAGGATTAATTAAATTATAGGGGAAAGTAAATAAATGGCTTTTGGCTCTCTCTAGACTCGAAGATGGAGATATATATATATATATATATATATATATATATATATATATATATATATATATATATATATATATATATATATATATATATATATATATATATATATATATATATATATATATAATAAAAGCTAGCTATTCATTAGAGAATAAGCAAAATCAGCTATCAATGAATTGAATTTACAAATATCGTTGTCGAAAAAATATAATTAAAAATTATAACAGAAACAATTTTTACTTTTAAATTCAAACCAGCAAAAAGCTAGAGCAAGGTTACAGTTTTTAAAAGAAACGATTTGATAAGAGAATAAACAGAACTGCAAGAGATTACATCAGTCTTCAAGGTATTATATCACACATTAACTTAAGCAACTGGAACTTAATCACGTTCCATGATAATAGAGAGGACGGTATTACGTTTGCTACAAGATTAAATACGTTACATAATGCCGTAATAGCGAGCAACGAACTCGAAGAAAATATCAATTACTTAAAAACGATATATCAAGAAAAAGAGATTCCAAATTTTAAAAATATATTGACTTACTATCAATTTTTAGGTACACAAGTAGTATTTTCTGATACAAGATTAATATTTGCTGTTCACATACCTATAATTAGATCTGAAATACTCTCTTTTTACCATTTTTACCCAATAATCCTAAACAAGAAAACTTTTATCCCAAAATAACCCTACCTGGCACAAGAAAACAACCATCACCAGTTCAATGAAGACCCCTGTACAGTCCAATTACTCTCAGAACATTTCGACAACTGCACTGTCATCAAGATCCAGATGGAAGAATCGATCATCGAACAGATCACCAAGGAAGAAATTTTAATATTACGAATCAAAGAAGAAACGATATTTTCGCAATGCCAAACCGATCAATACATGAAGATTAACAATCCAACATTGGTCAAGATTCCCCAGAATTGTAAAGTAAACATCAATTCAAAAACGTTTTTCAACGACATCCGAATTCAAAGAGGGAAACCTTTATTACTACCAGAGGTTTCATTCGAAAATATACCGCGCTTGAAGATATACAGCACGCCAAATTTAACCAAAATAAACTTCGAAGATATTTACAAACTGAAAGATATGGTCAATCAATTATCGCCAATCGAAGATAATGAAGAACCAATCAATACTTCGAATATAATCGATATTATTATCATTATATTTATCAGTTGTATTATTACTCTACTTCCTAATGACGAAATCAAGATCGATCAAGAAGCTGAATTCATTTTGTCAAAAGAAGAAAGAAGCCAAGATCGAAGAATCGAAGCCCATTGCCGAAAATCACTCCCTGATTTTCTCATCTTAAGGAGGGAGGAGTTATATGCAAGAAAACAGCTGCTTAAGTCCAAGAATACGGAGAACGCTTAATAAACGCTTTCAATCATATAAAACTGTAAGGTCTCGCCTTTTGCTATGTGTCTCTGCCAAGTGCACGTTGTATTTTGCTAAATAAATTTTTTAAAAACAACACTCGTCGTACAAGTGATTTAATTCACCGGATTTTAACCTGATAAAATTAATTTAATAAAAATGATCCTTTACCTAATACACAGAAAGAAATTAAATCGTTTCTAGGATTAACAGGTGACTATAGAAAATTTATAAAGATTATGCAAAATTTCAAAACCACTTACACAATGTCTTAAGAAAAATTCTAAAGTTATTCATTCTAATAGTTTATTGATTCATTTAATTTATTAAAAATATGTTAATTAATTCTCTATTCTTAAATATCCGAGCGAATTTTGAAAAAATTTGTTTTTTAACTAGTGCTTCAAATGAAGCTCTAGGTGCTGTTTTATCTCAAGGAAATCCACCTAATGATCAACCTATAGCTTATGCATCACGTACTTTAAATGAAACAGAACAAAAGTATTTAACTATAGAAAAAAGAACTTATTTATGTATAGTTTGGGCATGTAAATACTTTCGTCCGTATCTTTTTTGGAAAAAAAATTTAAAAATTTACACAGACCACAGACCTTTGGTTTGGTTATTTAATCTTAAGGAACCTAATTCTAAATTAATTCGGTGGAGATTACGATTAGAAGAATATGATTATGAAATAATTTATAAAAAAAGTAAACAAAATACGAATGCAGATGCATTGTCGTCACGTATACAAATAAATGCTTTAGAAACCGATTCATTAATTAATTATCCTGGAAATATTGATGAAGATATTACACAATTTTTAGATCAAAATTTTAATCCTGATTATATAACAAATGAATTAACAGAAAAAACTCTTAAAAATGTTGAACCTAAAATTAAAATTTTGTCAGATATACAAATTCGTCCACCTGATAATCAATCTTTAATTTCTACAGCTCATACAGTTAACGCTAATAATAATTATAATCAAATGACTCTTTTAGATGACATAATTAATAATAAACCTAATCAAATTATAGTGAAAAAATCAGCATATAATTCTTATACTTAAAATAAATAAGAAAACTTTTTTGATGGTGCAATATACTTAATGTAATTTTCTATTTTAATTATAGATTTACAAACAATAACTAATTTTATTAAAGAATATGTAACTGGCAAAAATACTCTTCTATATATTTTCATTCTCAAGAACTTAGACCTTATTTTAATGAAAGTTTATGTAATCATTTTCAAAATATTAAATTAATAGAATGTACAAAATTATTAAATAATGTTGGCCTGAAGAAAGAGATTTACTTTGGAAATATATACATATTGCCACATGTACATATATTACATCCATCTCATTCCAGCCTTGAGGATAATTTTAGTTTCTTTTTCTAAGGGAATTAAATTCTTGTAAACTCAGTTCCACTATAATTCCTAACTACATTTGCTCTTTTGCACTACAGATAATTACAGATATTTCTAAATTATAGAACATTTAAAAAATATAATCCAAAACAAATTAAGTAAACAACCACGCATCTAAAGTGAAAGAGCGCTCAGGCTTTTAGATGTTTTGGTATTACTTTCATTAATAGCTAACTAGATAAAATATTAGATCTATTTAGTTTCTTTTTTTTCTCATGGAAATGAATGTAAATATATTTTAAACGAATTTAAACCACACTTATTGGTAACTAGTTCTGAAAAAAAGGATTAATTATATTAAAAAACGAAATGCTAACCCCCATTGTGTGGGCTGGAAAATAAACCCTGTATATTTATTTATTAGTAGTTATAAACTTGTTTTGAGTGTTTAAACTTCACAAAGAATAGAGACAAACCATTGCTATTAAAGACAAAAATAAATATAACAAAAAAAAAAAAAAAAAAACATTTTTTATTTTTACAGCCAATTTAAGTACACTCTGTATACATAATTCCATATTCTTTCTGAATTAAAACATCACTTATATACTTGGGAAACCACATTTAACAAAAATAAATCAAAAAAAATGTAGTAGTAAGTTGAGAAATTATTTTTGCCACTTTCAAGTGTTTCTTTGTATCACTGTATGGCGCCGCAGGGACAGAGGGCTACATTTATTTTTATATAAAACAATAATAAATAAATAGGTACAAGTACACTCAATTATCGTAAATATTACTAGATTCTTAATCTAAAAAAAAATAAAATAGATAAGTTATAAAGCCCAATCTTCACAAAAGAATTACAAGCGCCTCCTACTCAAAACAGTGGCCATCTCACCCGACTTTACCCTAGTTCATCCGAACTTAAAAATATATTATTTTTGTAGACTTATATCTACCTATCTAAAGTTTTGATAGATTTAAGCTTTCTTGATTTTCATCCATATCCGATAGATGTTAAATGATACGATATTTATTGGTTGATTTTAAATACTTCGATTGGTTAACTGTTTCTAAACTTTATCTAAAGCCCTTAAATTCAACCAATTACCTTAGATTTCGTAAATGCATTCCAAACATACTGCATGTTCAAAACAAACAAAAATGTTGGCTGTAATTTTTTCTTTGCCTCATTCTTAAAAATATTTAATTCTTTTATAAAAATAAAAAAAAAAAAAAAAACATAATATATAAAATTCAACACATTTTAATGCTTTTATTTACAAAAATCAAAAAAATATTTCTTCAAAAATATTTTTTCAAAAAAAAAAAAAAATATTTTAATAATCATTTTAATAATGGTACTTTTAACAGATTTGTTATCTAAAGCTACACAACTCTTATTTTCAGAAGTGCCTTGTTAAGATAACGATGGAAAACAAAATTATCTGGTTAAATTAAATTAAATAAAATAATAATAATTTTTAAACAAGATTTTAATTAATGTTAATGTGTAGAGAAAATGTCTCGGTAGAATATTTTGCCAAAAACTGCGCAAATGTGAAAAAACGCCATCATTGTATCTCCACATGTTCAGAAACCCTTAAAACGCACGAAAATGAGACAGCCTGTACCCATGTGGATGCGCAGTAGTGAAGGTAACGTCTACCGGCAGCCAGACCATCCTAACCTATCTAATAATAAATTACTCTCACAATTTCATAAACCTGAGATCTTGTCTTAACCATGGTTCGACTTAATATCGAGGATTGTAGCAAAAATATAACTAGTGATTGCCTCTGCATACTTTCCTGGTGATGGGCAGACACCGCCCCCGGAAGTAGAGGAGCTCGCGCGATTCTGCAGCCAACAGCGACTACCTCTGCTATTGGGATGTGACTCCAATAAGCACAATGAGGTATGGGGAAGCACTAATACTAACACTAGATGTGAGTGTTTACTAGAATTCCTCTTAGCATACAACTTGAAGTTCTCAATATAGAGAACACCCCCACGTTTGTAGCAAAAACGCGGGGGGAAAGTATTATATTTAATAAACGGGAGTGCTAGTGTAACTAGTTACGTGAAAGATTAGAGGATCTCAACGGAACCTTCCCATCAGATCACAGAATCATCGATTTCAAATTAGGAGGAATCATATTCCAAACTGAAATTCGAAGGAATCCAAGAAAACCCGATTGGGAACTATACCACACCAATCTCGTAGACAACCTGGATCAAATAGATGCAGGTAGGGCTAGAAACCACCTGTATGCAGGGGAAGGTACGCAAAGGGCAAGTCAGTGGTGCAATTGGATGCATATGAATCTAGCTGCCCCACAAGTAAGTGTATACCAAAAAGTAACAACAAGCCCCGGTGGAACAAGAAGTTGGCCAATCTTAGATCGAAGGTCCGACGACTCTTCAACAGAGCCAAACCCAGTGGCGAATGGCAGCTCTACGCCGAGAAATTAACTGAGTATAATAAGATGATTAGAAGGGCAAAGCGGTCTGACTTCAGATGCTTTTGCGAAAACATCACTTCAACTACTTATGCAGCTAGGCTACAATAAGCTATGGCCAAGAGTGAATCTATCCCCAACATGGCACTTAAGAAAACTGATGGAAGCTACACGGAAGTAGATGAAGAGAGAGCTAATCTCCTACTTCATACACACCTTCCAGGTAGCATATCTATTGATACGTAAGTAGCTCCGACCGAACCCCACAATCCTCGCAGGGAAGACTGGGAGACAGCCAAGCTAGTAATAACAGAACAAAACTGAAATGGGCTATTGACACCTTTCAGCCTTATAAAACAGCAGAAATAGATGGGATTTTTCTTCCCCTTCTAAAGAAGGGTCAGGAAATAGCTACACACCATCCATTAAACATTACAAGAAGCAGCTTAGCGATGGATATATACCAACCATCTGGAAAAGAGCGAAAGTCATCTTCATACCCAAATAGGCAAAACTGACTGGGCTAACCCAAAATCATTTAGGGTCTAGTCCTACATCGTTCATATTAAAAACGATGGAGAAAGTAGTGAACAACCATATTAGAGTAAATCATCTACATGTACAGGTACACTGCACGATAGTCAGCATGCATATAGAGCGGGCAGATCCACAGAAACTGCTCTGTAAAAGTTAACTGAGCTAATACAGGCACGCCTGGATAGCAAAGAAACAGCACTTTGTGCCTTCTGGATTACTGCAGGCGCCGTTCAATAATATACCGCTGGGTGGTCGCTGATCTCTTTGAAACAAGAGGGTGAATAGTAACGATAATCTGCTGGTTTTGGGAAATGCTCTCAACACGAACAGCAGAGGCTGAGATAGGTACCAAACCTGTAGTTGTTAAAACAACGCAATTAACTCCACAAGGTGGAGTGACTTCCCCCCTACTGTGGAGCCTGGTAGTGGATGAACTACTGGAAGAATTAACTCTAGCGGGAATATAATAATAATAAATACAAAAAAAAAAAAAAAAAAAAAAACAGGAAAAAAAATACATAAGACGGTAACGAAATTGCATGTCTGGCGTAGTCTAGCTACTCAACTTAACCAGAACATGCAAACTCAATAATTAAATATAATGTTTTACAAATTAAAAAAAAGTTTCAAATGTACAATGCAAAGCAAAGTAAAAAGAAAAATATGAAAATATTTTTTTTTTTTTTTTTTTTTTTATTTTTTCTTGTATTTATGCTTAAACGCATTCTCACCCAAATTCAACAATTCTGTTGGTAACGAGTTATACCCCTTAACGGCATTATATGAAAACCCGCGCCGAAAAATGGCTGTCCGATGATGAGGCATCGTCAACTCACCTCCATTCCTAATATTAACTTCGTGTATGTCACGTCTGAAAATTAAACGCTCTTTAATAGATAGGGGAGCAGCGGGGTTGCTAATTATTTTCACAACAAATGTACACAAGTGTAAAGTTCTACGCGAGTCCATTTTTAGCCAATTAAGTTCTTTAAAAAAGAGAGTCACATGATCAAACTTTCTTATATTAAAAATAAAACGAACACAGGCATTTTGCACCTTTTGAATGCGCAACCTACTCTCTAGATCCAGACAAAAACCATAAATAAAATCGCCATAGTTAAAGTGAGACATTACAAGCGATTCACAAAGATTTTTCTTTTGGTATACATTTAGAATATGTTTGTTGTTGTATAATAGCTTTAAAGCAAGGTATGCTCGTTGTAATAGTTTTTTCAAGTGCTCCTTAAATCTAAGTTCCACATCCAAAAGTAATCCCAAATTTTTAACCATTAACAAAAGTTAGCTTTCCATTGTCTATTATTATATTAAGATTGTTTTCCAAGAAATTAATTTTGTTGCTGCTTCCAAAAAGTAAAATGTAACATTTAGAACTATTCAGTGCCAAATTGTGACCTTTGGCAAGTTGGCTTAAGATCTCTAAATCTTTATTTATATTTACTTCAGTTTCCAGATAGTCATCCATCTCAAAGCAACTCACAATACACTGCATAGGGTACGCAGATGACATAGTCATCATTGCACGGGGGAAACATGAAGGCACCCTGTGTGATATTATCCAAAGAGGACTCCGCATCGCTGAGAGATGGTGCAGGACTCGGGCTGAGTATTAACTCAGATAAAACCGCAGTAGTGCCGTTCACCAGAAAGCGAAGTTTGAAAAACTTGAAAAGAATCCATCTAGATGGAAAGGAAATACTGCCATCACAGGAAGTGAAATATCTGGGAATAACCCTGGATAGTAAACTTCTCTAAAAAAACTTCATAGGCGTGTTTCTGGGATTGAATTATACTACCAGTTAAAATATTTACACTTATTTCTGGGACACCCTGTATAACCGCCCCGAGACTCGACTTTATTTAGTGGCACGGCGGACGCGAAGTTCCGTAAGCCTATTTCTGATTATGTGCATTGTGAAATTTAGTGCAATTTTAGTAATTTAGTAAATTACGTGCAGTTTGAAATTTAGTAAATTCTGTACGTTATAAATTATTTAGTTATGGACTGTTTAATTTGCAGAAAAACTATAAACGATAATGATAAGTTTTTTATTAAAAATCCTACTATACGAGACCTAAAAACTATCATAAATGCTGCGGAAAAAAGCAAGATGTCTAAGTATTTATTAAAGTTTATAACCGTTTATGACCATCAAAAATCGTACATTTCTATTATTATTTATTAAAGTTTATTTTTATTAAGGCCGACTCTGACGACTCGTGTACTTGTACAAACATTTGATAGATACTTGCCATGATGGTGTGAGTGGTTCCTCGTGCAATTATTTGTCACTCGCCGCATAGCGTGAGCGTCAAAAAAATGTTGTTTACAAAAATAGTATACTTGCCAAGTACGCAAATATTGGCGTACTTGCCAAGTACACGAGTCGTCAGAATCCGACTTTATATACTTTATTTTGTACGGAAAGCTTTCTGGATATGACGATTTATTTACATATGATGCTAAATACCACAACGTTTGTTTATATAAATAATCCCAAACAAATCAAGGCTAAATTAACAACATTTTTAATTAAGAAAGCATACTATACATTGGAAGAATTTTTCACTGACTCAGATAAGCATTTTTCCCCGCTTTTATTGTTTGTGAAAAAAATGTGCTGTTTTCTTGGGTGCTTTTTTTAAATAATTATAGTTTTTGTGTTATAAATAGCAAGTTTTACGCATTGTAATTGAAAGTATACTTACTTTTAGTAAATATTTATTTAATATTAAATGCGATATACATACCTATGCATATATTTTTATTCAACTGTAGTCATATAATGTAAGTATTATTGGTTTTTAGGCTTAAGTTAATTCAATTTTAACAATGTCCCTTGTTTATTAGGCTTTTTAACAATACTTTGTTATAGTTAGAGATCAAATAAATATTATCTAGCCTAACATCCTTCATTAAAATCTATAACGTCGGATAGAAAAGTATCTAAAAAAAAGATTCGAAGAAGAGAAAAATCTAAAAAAGAATCTAGCATGGCAAGTAAAGTAACTTTTTTAAACTGGGCTGATTTTAACAACACTTTAGTTGACAACGAAATTTTTGTTTCCAAAATATTATACTTGCCATTTATAAACAATCCACCTACCGAATGTGATACCATATATACTTCGATGGTGAGATTAGTAGATTTATTAGCTCAAACTTTAAAACAAAATATTTATATAACAGCACACTTGGTCATTTATTCAAAAGCTCGCGAAATATTACAGAATAATCCTAAATTATTACATGGGAAATTAACATATATGCTAGGCGGAATGTACCTTAATCTGGCGTTTTTTATCAGTATTGAGTATATTCTTGGAGATGGAGGCCTTTTTTTCCATTTTTACGGAAACAGATAATTACGTCAAAAATACTTGTAAAATGATGTAGGATAAAAAAATTATATTTCAGGGCTAGTCGAGGACTAACTTTAGTTGCCGATGCTCTTTTTAGGCTTTTGTTTAAATCTTTATGTAAGTGGTATAAAGAGCAAAAGCAGAAAACACAAATGATAACACCTACATATATATTAAAAGAAGAAATTCGTAGTTTACTAAAAGAGTTTCAATCCTATGCAAACTTCAAGATATGTCCTTATTATGTAATAAAAATAATGTAATCATGTTTTCATAAAAAATATTACAAAAATATGTTATATTAAATCGACACCTAGATATATGTGCTGCTAAGATATTAAATAATTACTTTAAAGAATTACTTTCTTTAAAGTAATCATAAATCTTACTTCTTTTACTTACTAAAAGAATTTTCTACATTTACTCTAAAACATAAATTAATGCCACATCTAGCACGCCGTACAATGTGATGCAGGCCGAGCGGTATAGCGCGGTGTCTCTAACTACAGCGCACGCACGGGTATTGATAACTTTAAATCAGAATAACGATAAAACTATTAGTCTATTACTAAGTTTACTGCATTTACTATGGTTTTCGGTAAGCGAGAAACTTGTTTATTTGAAGGAATTTTTACATAGTATCTGCGTATGAAATAAAGAAAAGATATTGAAAAAGTTTTTAAAACTTGTTACAACCTTCTATTATGGTTGTAAAAAAAACCAAACCAAACCAAACCAAACCTTCTATTAAGGTTGTAACAACTTTTAAAAACTTTTTCAATATCTTTTCATTTCATACGCAGATACTATGTAAAAATTCCTTCAAATAAAAAAGTTTCTCGCTTACCGAAAACCATGATACAATAAAGTTAATGTTTGAAGTTTAATCCATTTTCCAAAAAAGAATACCCTTACTATGGAACTTCAGTTATCACCGCCTATGTGTTCCCAATCGATTAAAAAAAAGAGTACGTGAATAAGTTGATTAATTTAGGAGTTATCGCGTAGGAAAGGTAAAAAAACATGGTTATACATTTTTGACAGATTTTTGACATTTTCCGGGATAAAAAATTTCCGACCCCGCCAAAAAGGTCGTAATTAGTCATTTCACATGCACAAAGCTCTAACCGATCATTTCATAACGAGTTTATGTGGTTATACCTAAAAATTTTTTTTTCGAGAAGGAAGCGACTTTTCTCAGTGATTTCACTCCACTATATACTTTCCGTTTTAAGTGTCCAGGTTTCGCATGCATGGGCCATGACTGGTAGTACACATTGGTAGAATGTTTTCTTCTTTAGATAAATTGGCATTCTAGATTTGAATATGATTTGAGTGTCTTCCATGAGTACTACGATCCATGTTAACTTAATTCTTCGGTTGATTTCTTGTAGTAGAGATCCCGAGCATATGTATTCTTCTACTATTTCCAGTTTTGTGTTATTTATTAGAATGTCTTTTCTGTCTACTAGTTCACTGTACTTTATTACTTTAGATTGTGCTAAATGCATTTTGAGACCTACTTCATTGCTGGCTGTATTTAGTTCGTTAATTCGTGTTTGTAGTTCTTCAGGACTACTGACAATTAGGACTGTCATCAGCGGATCTTAGATGGGTAAGATATTCTCCATCTATTTTTAATCTTTTGTTGGTCCAGTCTAGTTGACAGATTTCTTTCTTTCTTAGTTGGAAGATTTCTTCTAGTGTTACTGTAAACAGCTTTGGGGATATCGCGTCTCTTAAATACTATAAATTCAGAATTAACCCTTTGTCACTCTATTCAACCTTAAACCAATGTTTTATTCAAAATATGTTTTATTGATAAAGTATTTGTTATAAGCCTTTACTTGTGTGCTTATAACAATTTTTAATAACAGTTTATTTCACTCAAATATCGCCAAATTCGCCAATATATCAAAATTTTTAATATCAAACAGACAGAAGATCAAATCAGAAACAGACTATTTGAAAACGAGAGTTGAGAGCACTCGAGAAGTTGAATCTCTAAATGGCAATGTGTTTAGTACACTACATAGCAGATTCGAAATGTATTCAATTCTCAAAACTATTTGAATTCGGAAATATTTGAAATATATTTATTTAATTCTAAAAAGCATTAAAAAAATAGAAGGTATTCAATTATAAAAATAAGCCGAGTCTCCTTTCACTACTTAAGAATACTAAAATAAACGAAACATATAAAATAGAATACCTTATAACCTGGAGCTCTAACTAGAGTTTCCTTTGGTTTGTTCAATTGCAGTCCGATTTTGTAAGGTGACATGAACATCAAATCCGCTTCAACAGCTAAAACTAACTCAGCCAATTGTCCTTCTGCTTGACATACTCCGCCAGTTGTCAGTCTGTAACCTTTGGCACATTTACAGTGGGTCTGATTGGACTTCTGTATAAAGAAAAGGTTAATTTAATTACAATTTCTCTAATATGATCATAGCGTACCTCTTCTACGCAGATATGAGTGCAAGTATTCCACTTGCACGCCGAAGTTTCGCATTCTATCTCGTCGCTGTTATCCTCGCAGTCATTCCTACTATCGCACATTACCTGCTTGGCGACGCAGCGTTTGTTAGCGCACTCGAATTGATCTCTAGGGCAAACTCCCTGTTTCTTGCAGGTATCTCTGTCTTCGTCACTGTCGTCTCCGCATTGGTCTTCTCCATCACAGAGGGCGTTGATGGGAACGCATTTCGAGTTGTTACATCTGAAATGACGAGTAGTTCAAATGTACTAATTGATTTGACGTCTTAATGGCTGCGACTTTGGTATTTTAGGAAGTATTTGTATAATTATTTTCATAGCCGATTGAAGTATTACTGAGGCGTCCAGAAGTGAAATCATTCAAGTCCTAAAAGGTAATTGTGGAGAAAATGAGAGTTAAGGTTTTTTAATGTTACTTAATTCCAATAAAACAAGTTGGATAAACAGGCTATAGCTGCTTAATGCGAAAAGTATGACTTGAATCATTTCTCTACTGGATAATACAATATTCTATAACCGTATAAGGACGATTATCATAAAATAGTAGAAAATTGGAATTGATCCATTTTAATTCTGACCACTCCATATGTCGCTTACTTGAATCTATTTTCGGGACAGGCATGCGCGGTGCAGTTTGCCTCGTCTGAGCCGTCAGGACAGTCTTCCTGTCCATCACAACGCCAGAATTTGTTGATGCAGCCGCCGCTTTGACATTTGAATTTGCCTTTAGGGCAAGGCAGAGGACAGTCAGCTTCATCTGAACCATCTGGACAATCCAACTCTTGATCGCACCTAAAAAATATGAAAAAATAAAACATAATATCCATCAAATAAACGACGTTTCTTACTTGAAGCCCATAAAAATACATCTTTTACCACTCATGCACTGGAATTCATTTTGTTTACATTCAGATGGACAGTTTAGTTCATCTGACTGATCGTCACATTGATATTCGCCATCGCATTTCATATTTCCGCGAATACATTTGCCATTTCCACATCTAAAATACATAAAATAGAAATATAATAGTGGTTTAGTTCAAATGTCAATATGTATTAGCTCACCTGAATTCAGACTCGGAACAATCTCTAGGAACGCAATTGATCTCATCTGACCCGTCACCACAATCCTGATCGAAGTCGCATCTCCACCTACCAGGGATGCACTTGTTATTATTACATTTGAAATAGCTAGGCTCGCAAGTGTGGTACTCTGATTCGCTACAAGTAGGCGGTTCGTCTTCACCTTCGCCACAGTCTGGGTCGCCATCACATTTCCAAGACAAAGGGATACATCTTTAAAATAAATAAAAGAGAATTATGGAGTAGTTTAAATGTACTAATCTTTATAATTAATCTAATACACGGTAATTCAAATTCGACCTCCAACCTCCACCATTGAGATCTAGAAAACTACCTATAGGACTTTGAATTAAAAGATTAAGAAAGGAGCATATCAAAAATCTTAGAACGACTGCGACGGGGTCCTAGAATGGTCGACTTAAATTCCAGTTTATCAGTGCCGTTCAAATTTTATTCCAAACGTGTAAAAATATGATGGAGTAGAATAAATAACATAAAATAAGCTCAGTAAAGACTGACGAATCTACAAAATTTCAAATCAAATTCAAATGTTCATAATGTTAGTTCCGAGTAGTTCCGGAGATATTCGAAAAAAAACCAAAATTGAAGATTTAGATTTTACTTTTTTTCTGATATTTGACAAGGTATAGAAATGCGTTTTGATTTTTAGGCGTAGCCACTTAGACAAGCAAAAACTTTTATGAAGAATATTAAAAAGTTAATAATAAAAAAGTGTTTCCTCTTGTAAAGACAATCCAGGGACATACTGTAGTAAAATTACACGATTTAAAACTTTGAAATGATCTGCACAAGAAAATTTAGAGATAGTAAAATTACAAAATGACTATTGCCAAAGAATATCTTAATACCCTAGAAGTCTCGTCTGGCCTCAAAATCTGACCTGTCGATGGGGCCTCGCTTTGGCGAGCGAGGCCCCAACTTCGTGGAGCCTCGCTATTTTGCTCGGAATTGAACGAATAGACGCGCGGCGTTGCCTTGTTTTGTGTGTACTTTCTTGAATAGTTTTAAATTATAGTTTTAAATTTTATCTATTGCTATAATCAGTCTTTCCGTTCTCCGCACTCCGCCAGTTTACATATAATATTATCTTATATAATTCCCGTGTTACAGTTTTCGTTACCGTACTCCTCCGAAACGGCTTAACCGATTTTGATGAAATTTTATATGTATATTCAGTAGGTCTGAGAATAGGTAGTTATATATTTTTTATACCCTTAAATGATAAGGGTAGTCCACCCCCATTTTTTATTTTGTAAAAAACAATATTTTAATTTTTTTTTATTTGGCATTAAAAATACAAACAACACTAAATTTTCACCGTTCTACTTTCATCCCCTATTTTTTAATAGGGGTTGTTTTTTTAATTTTTGTTACCATCTCCGAAACGGCTTAACCGATTTTGATAAAATTTTATATGTATATTCAGTACGTCTAAGAATAAGTTGTTATCTATTTTATACCCTTAACTGATAAGGGTAGCCGAGAGGGTAACCCACCCTTATTTTTTTAGTTTTTGAAAAGAAAAAAATGTTTTTATTTTTTATTTGGCATTAAGAAATACAAACAACCCTAAATTTTCACCGTTCTGCTATCATCCCTATTTTTAATAGGGGTTGTTTTTTTGTTGCCATCTCCGAAACGGCTTAGCCGATTTTGATGAAATTTTATAAGTATATTGAGTAGGTCTGAAAACAGGTTGTTATATATTTTTATACCCTAAGTGATAAGGGTAGCCCACCCCCATTTTTTTTTTTAAAAAAATATTTTTATTTTTTTTTGGCATTAAAAAATACAAACAACCCTAAGTTTTCACCGTTCTACCATCATCCCCTATTTTTTAATAGGGGATGTTTTTTTTTTTTTGTTACCATCTCCGAAACAGCTTGATCGATTTTGATGAAATTTTATATGTATATTCAGTAGGTCTGAGAATACGTTGTTATCTGTTTTTATACCCTTAAGTGATAAGGGTAGCCCACCCCCATTTTTTTTTATTTTTTGAAAAAAAAAATATTTTAATTTTTTTTTGTCATTAAAAAATACAAACAACCCTAAATTTTCACCGTTCTACCATCATCCCCTATTTTTTAACAGGGGTTGTTTTTTAAGATTTTTTGTTACCATCTCCGAAACGGCTTAACCGATTTTGATAAAATTTTATTTGTATATTCAGTACGTCTAAGAATAGGTTGTTATCTATTCTTATACCCTTAAGTGATAAGGTAGCCGAGAGGGTAGCCCACCCTCATTTTTTATTTTGGAAAAAATAATTTTTTTTTATTTGGTCTTAAAAATACAAACAACTCTAAATTTTCACCGTTCTACCATCATCCCCTATTTTCTAATAGGGGTTGTTTTTTTGATACCATCTCCGAAACAGCTTGGCCGATTTTGATGACATTTTATTATGTATATTGTGTAGGTCTGAAAATAGTTTGTTATCTATTTTTATACCCTTAAGTGGTAAGGGCAGCAGCCCACCCCATTTTTAATTTTTGAAAAAAAATAATTTAATTTTTTTTTATTTGGCATTAAAAAATACAAACAACCCTAAATTTTCACCGTTCTACCATCATCCCCTATTTTTTAATAGGGGTTGTTTTTTTTAAGTTTTTGTTACCATCTCCGATTGACCGATTTTGATAAAATTTTATATGTATGTATATTCAGTACGTCTAAGAATAGGTTGTTATCTATTATTATACCCTTAAGTGATAAGGGTAGCCGAGAGGGTAGCCTACCCTCCCTCATTTTTAGTTTTGAAAAAAAAATATTTTTTATTTGGCCTTAAAAAATACAAACAACTCTAAATTTTCACCGTTCTACCATCATCCCCTATTTTTTAATAGGGGTTGTTTTTTTAAAGTTTCTTGTTACCATTTCCGAAACGGTTTTGCCGATTTTGATGAAATTTTATTATGTATATTGAGTAGGTCTGAAAATAATTTGTTATCTATTTTTTATACCCTTAAGTGATAAGGGTAGCCCATTCCCATTTTTTTATATTTTGAAAAAATATTTATTTTTATTTTTTTATTTTGCATTAAAAAATACAAAGAACCCAAAATTTTCACCGTTCTACCATCATCCCCCTATTTTTTAATAGGGTTTGTTTTTTTAATTTTTTGTTACCATCCGTGAAACGGCTTTGACCGATTTTGATAAAATTTTATATGTATATTCAGTACGTCTAAGAATAGGTTGTTATCTATTTTTTATACCCTTATGTGGTAAGGGTAGCCCACCCTCATTTTTTATTTTTTGAAAAGAAAAAATGTTTTTATTTTTATAGTTGGCATTAATAAATACAAATAACCCTAAATTTTCACCGTTCCACCATCATCCCCTATATTTTAATAGGGGTTGTTTTTTTTAAATTTTTTGTTACCATCTCCGAAACGGCTAGAACCGATTTTGATAAAATTTTATATGTATATTCAGTAGGTCTGGTTTGGTTTGGTTTGGTCACAACCTATTCCTAGGGTGTTATCTATTTTTTATATCCCTAAGTGATAAGAGTGGCCCACCCCAACTTTTTTTTTATTTTTTAGACAAATTTTTTATTTTAATTGTTTTATAGGGAGTGCTTATTTTTTAGGGGGTACATGTCCAAAATTTTCTTCTGGGTACACACTTTCATCACTTAAGGGACCTCTGTACAAAATTGCATACTCTAGTCCTAGAACGGATTTTACATAAAAATTATACAAATTTTTACCCTTAGTTTTACCCCTTAAGGAATGAATTCCAAAAATCGCTCTAATTATTCAATTACGCTACATAATAAACCTCTGTGCAAATCATCATATACATCATAATCATATTCCTTGAACAGAATTTATTGTTCCAGAACGTTCAACCCTTCATTTCACACCCTTAGAGGGCGAATTTCCAAAAATTGCTTCTTAGTGCTAAATTACGTTACATAAGGAACGTCTGCAAAATTCATACTTCTACAACCGATTTTAACAAATTTTTGTACAAATTTTCATCCCTTATTTTTTAGGGGATGCATGCCTAAAATTCGCTTCTAGGTACTCACTTTCATCATTTAAGGGACCTCTGAACAGAATTTCATACTCCTAGTCCTAGAACGGATTTTACATAAAAAAATTATACAAATTTTCACCCCTAGTTTTACCCCTTTAAGGAATGAATTCCAAAAATCACTCTAATTATTCAATTACGCTACATAAGGAACCTCTGTGCAAATTCTCATATTCCTTGAACAGAATTTATTGTTCCAGAACGTTCAACCCCTCATTTCACACCCTTAGAGGGCGAATTTCCAAAAATTGCTTCTTAGTGCTAAATTACGTTACATAAGGAACGTCTGCAAAATTCATACTTCTAAAACCGATTTTAACAAATTTTTGTACAAATTTTCATCCCTTATTTTTAAGGGGATGCATGCCTAAAATTCGCTTCTAGGTACTCACTTTCATCATTTAAGGGACCTCTGAACAGAATTTCATACTCCTAGTCCTAGAACGGATTTTACATAAAAAATTATACAAATATTTTCACCCCTAGTTTTACCCCCTTAAGGAATGAATTCCAAAAATCACTCTAATTATTCAATTACGCTACATAAGGAACCTCTGTGCAAATTCTCATATTCCTTGAACAGAATTTATTGTTCCAGAACGTTCAACCCCTCATTTAGAGGGCGAATTTCCAAAAATTGCTTCTTAATGCTAAATTACGTTACATAAGGAACGTCTGCAAAATTCATACTTCTAAAACCGATTTTAACCTTTTGTACAAATTTTCATCCCTTATTTCTAAGGGATGAATGTCAAAAATTAGCTTCTAGGTACTCACTTTCGTCACTTAAGGAAACTCTGTACAAAATTTTATACTCCTAGAACTAACACTTTTTGTACAAAATTTCACCCCCCAGTTTCACTACCCTTAGGCTATACATTTCCAAAAATCGCTTATCAATGTTCAAATGCGCCACATCTGTGCAAAGGTTCATACTCCTAGTAGGTACAGATTTTTTTGTATAATTACATCCCTTTATCTAATTACACCCCTTATGGGTCGAATTTTAAAAATTACTTAGTAGTGCTCATCTTAGAGAACGAATTAATATTCTCCGTATTTACTCCAGTTTCCTAATACTAGCACAGATAACACATAATCATACTAGTTAATTTTTTTATTGGAATAGAAGTAATTTTATTAGAAGGTACAAAAAATTAAAAATCTAAAATTTTATTTTCATAGCTACGTTTTTTTTTCATAGCCTTAGGATGCCTCATGTACTATCGAATATACGAAATATATAATCAATACATATTTCTTTAAATATCAAGAAATAAAATATGTTTGGCAACACCGTACGAAATATCGCCGCGCGTAGTCCTCAAAATTTAAAATATTAGCATTTTCAGGCTTCGATTATATTCAAAAGCGCCACCGTATGACAAATCACTAAAGCTTCCACACGAGAGTTCTTAAAACTATAATATTCTTTGCTATTGCCAATGGCATATTAATTATAACATTATAATTGATAACATGTTCAAATTCTTTTAGGCTATGTCCAGCGATTTAGCATTTTTACAGTTAAACTTGAAGGAAAATTATCTCCGATGCTAAATTTTTTTAAATTCCCCGGAAAAATCCAAGATAAATGTAAAATATTCAACAATTTTTTGGCAAAAAGTACCTTATGGGTGTGTTTCTTGGATCAAAATATGCTATTAGATATAATACTTGCACTTATTTATATTTATAAGTTAATATCATCATATATTAAAATAATCTAAAGTATAGTTTTATTATGAAACTGAGGAGTAGTTCAACTTGTATTATGTGGATTTTTTATAATTTCTTCAAGTTATAAAAAATACTCAAAAACGTTAAAGAAAAATTAAGTTGTAGAGTAGTTCAACAACCTACCTTCCAGAATTACACCTGAAATGTTCCGAAGTGCAAGTTCTAGATTTACAGTCCTGCTGTTCGTCAGAATTGTCGCCGCAATCGTTATCTTTGTCGCACACCCACACAGCAGGAATACATTTATCGTTGTCGCACTTGAACTGGTTTGTTGAACAGGTAACCGGAGGACAGTCCAGTTCGTCTTCTCCCAAGGGACAATTCTTCACCTTGTTGCAACGCATGGAAATGGGAATGCACATGGGGGACTGAGTTGCATTGCCTTCACATCTAAATTAACAAAATGTATGTTAATATAAATGTATGTTTTAAGCTAGTGGTCTTACCTAAACTGGGTGTTCAAACAGGTGTAATGTTCACAATCTTTCTCATCTGAATTGTCACCGCAGTTGTTAACGCCATTGCACAGGTCTCCAGGATGGATACATTGACCATTCTGGCATTGGTACTGACCAGGCATACATTTAAACGGCCTGCAGTCAGGTGGTTCATCCGACCCATCTCCACAGTCATCTTGAGTATCGCATTTCCACCAAAAAGGTATACATTTGTAGCTGTTTTTGCACTCGAAGTGTGACGAAGAACAGTTAGCTTCACAGGTCTTGCCATCTTTACCCAACACGTAATTTTCCGGACATTCGCATGAATAGTAAGGCTCTACAGGCGACAGCAAACATAAGGTGGAACAGTTCGCTGTCTCGCATGGGTTTTCTGCTTGCGGTTGTCGATAAGGATGCACTACTCTGATCTGCATAGGTCTGTGAACTACGGATACCAAAGATTCACAATGTTCTCCGGTATATTTGTGACATCTTTCTATGGTTTTCGTTTCCCAATCCGTCCAATAGACGAAATCTTCCCAAACGTCAATGGCGAATACATGATGTAGCTGGAGATCTTTATTTATCTGTCTGCTTGCAACTATTTTAACATTATTTCCTAAACGACAAAATAAGAAATAAAAATTGTGTAAAAAGTACAATATTTATGCGATGGCTATGAAATGAAGATCGCTGTCATTTTATATGTAAATTTATATGAGAAATGTCATTGATTGTCATTTCCCAGCTAACTGGACGCCGTTTTTTTCGATGATACGGTAGTAATACCTTCAAAATCTGCTACAGCAATGTAATCTTCTTTGGCATCCCCCCAAAATATTTCTCCAGTTTCGTAAGAGACCGTAAGGGCATTTGGCCATCCCAAGTTTTTGCTGACAATCACTTTGCGATTAGAACCATCCATTCCAGACTTTCCTATATGTGGTTGAGCGCCCCAATCTGACCAGAACATGTTCCTATTGATCGGATCAAGAGCTATGGCACGAGGTTGTTCCAGATATTTAGTGTGTAAGATTTTTTTGTGCTTCCCAGCTAAAGTTGACACTTCTATAGATTTTGATCCCCTTAAAAAATGCTTATTATTATAACTGTAGTTGAAATAAAGTTATAAATAACTTAGATAGTTTCTTCTATACATACTTGTCGCACCAATACAGATTCCTTCCTACCCAATCTACAGCGAGACTATCTGGATTTTGTACAGTAGATGAATGTATCATTTCGATATTTTCGATTTGAGTATCGTTGTTTCTGTAATCGCATAGACGCCTGATGGTACTACCCAAATGAGTCACATCTGACCAGTAAATACATTGGCTGATCCAGTCATAATCCAGGGCCACGGCGTTAGTGAGGTTATGAACGACCATTCTCGAGAATCCATTAAGGTTTAATTCTCTTATGTAGTACCTGTAAACAATATTTTAATAAATATCACCATTAATAAACAATTTGTTACACAAGGTTTTTATTTCATACCTATTTGCAAGTAAAATCGTAGTTTTGACAGTAGAATTCGCCTTGCATGCCCCATTATCCAAAATATAGTTTTTATGACAGCTGCAATGATATGAACCTCGAACATTCTTACAGATCTGGCTGCATGGCCTGTTCAAACATTCGTCGATGTCATCGCAGCGATGAGGATCTTTGCTAGATACCTGTAAGGAAAAAATATTATATTAGGTAGGCATTTGTGACATTTAACTGAACAACAAGTATACCTTGTATCCTGGTTCACACTTGCACTCATACCCAACCAGTTTATCCTCACAAATATGAGCACAAGGAGATGGATCTGAAGAGCATTCGTTTATATTGCACTTTTCTTCATCTGAGAAGTCTCCACAGTTGTTTTCACCATTGCAAAGAAGTGTTTCGTTAATACAAACACCATTAATACAGTGGAACCAACCTAAATACCAAACCAAACCAAACAAAAATCATTTATTTGTACAGAATGAAACAAAATATATTATTTTGTATACCTTTCTCTTGACAGTACTCTTTAACATGGCATTTTTCTTCATCACTGTTGTCACCACAATCATCTTTTCCATTGCATTTGTCTAATTCAATAATACATTTACCGTTAGAGCACTGAAATTCCCCAGGGGCGCACCGACGATAGCAGTGTTCGGGTTCGTCTGAACCATCACGACAATCCTAAAAATACAGAGTCGAAAATTCCTATTGTAACTAAATTTAAATATTCTATCGCGAAGTGCGGCAGAAGTGCCCTGAGTGTTAGACAGAGAAGAGTGAGGGACGACAGTCCAGCTACGTAGAAACTTCGGTTCCCGATATATCACAGAAACTTTTTGAAAAATTTCGAAATTCAGTACAAAATGCGAAAAGCAGGAAAATTTTGACGAAGTCGACGCATTTTACTACATTTTCAGATCATTGGTAATATAATTTTTTTATATTTACCTTATACCCATCACAGTAGAAGTCCATGTTAACGCATTCATTGCCACACTGAAATTGTTGCGGTGTACAAGCTACTTTTCCTAGGCAACCTTCATCAGGATTCTCGTCTTGTCCATTGACACAGTCCATATCACCATCACAAACCCAGGAATTAGGGATACATCTACCAGTGGCATTACACCTATAAAAAATGTGTTATAAAATATAAATCATATTATTTTTTAAAAGTACCTGTATTCTTGAGGACCACACACTGTCTGTTTACAGTGTTCAGTCTCATCTGATTGATCCTTACAATCTGGCCTACCATCACATTCCCAAGACTTTGGGATGCATTCTTCCTGGTTTTTGCATTGAAACTTGTCGAATCTACGGTAAAAATATATCACAAAACGTACAGCGTCGACAAACTAATAACTACCCGCAGAGATTTTGGCAAGACATTTCATCACTCTCATCCTCGCAGTCTTTAACTCCATTACAGTACCAAGATTTCGGTATGCATGTACCATCACTGACGCATCTAAAGCTCTGAGGACTACAGGATGAAGTTACAGTGCAAGAAACTTCGTCAGATGCCACTCCATCCTGAAAAATACGGTTTATATAAAAAATAGATTGTAATGATGAAATTGTTACGAAAGTCGTAAGTGGAATCATCAAGTTATCAAAAATTACTAATAATTAGTCGTTATTGTAAGACTTTTGTAGTGTATTGGAGTATTAAGTCGTTTAATAAACTAGTTAAGGGTGTTATCGTGTGTTCAAATACCCTATCGGCAAGCAAATTCTTCGAGTGTCTACATGTCTAGAAATGAATCACTTTGGCGATCTCGAAAAATGCGAAGTATTTATGGTATAACCACTTAATCCGACGTTAGATTTCATGCGCTTGGAAAAATAATAATAATAATAACTTTATTTGCAATTCAACAATATGAAAAATGAAATAAAATTAAAAAAAAATAATACAAAAAAAAGATAATACCATTTTACAGATCATAATTGCAAAAAAGAAGCTGAAAGCAATAAAAATTGATCTTGTTCAGCCCCAATAAAATATTTAAACACTTTTAAACATTGACATTTTTTAAATTATTAAAATTTAAATAATTAATTACATATCTTAAATGTTTTAAACATTAACAATCAAAGAATAAACAATACAACACAAGCCCACAGATAACGATTGAGTCCTTAGTAGTACGTGAACGGGAACAACATGTGACAAAAGAAAAATAAATTCAGTACATATAATTCAGTATATTATCTTCTAAGAGGGAAGAGTCATTAGCATATTCTTAAGTTTACTTTTAAAGCTATGTTTTTGTAAGACTTTCAGACACGGTAGAACACATCAGTTATAAAGTTTAAAAACCTGGTAGGTGAAATATCGCGTAAACAAAGCAGTCTTGTACAGTGGCAGAGAGATAAGTCCCCTAAATCTTAAATTCAACGTATGAACATCCTCTCTAAAGATTATCTTATAGGTTAGATACGGAGACGATCCACTTAATATGATCCTGTGAAATAAAACCATTGAGTGTAGTACCAGAGTTTATGGCACAAACGGTTGTCGTCTCGGCGCACTCAGTGATAAGGTGTTCTGGCGTTTCCCTATTTTCCGACAGAATCTGCATTCGCCGTTGTTTCTCAGTTTCATATCTCTATCTATCTACTGAGGTGTTCGTTGAGGAGACAGTACAGTTGATTGTCATATCCTTAACCAAGACTACCAGCCATATCCTTAACCAAGAAAACAAACCCAATATGGAAGCACTCAACATAATACCTCAGTATAACAGCCTCGATGTATTAGACATTCCAATAACAGAACAGGAAATAAAGGACTCCATAAAACAGCTTAAAAACAACAAATCAGCTGGCTGTGACGCGATTCCGGCGGAAATCTATAAGTGTGCAAGTAACGATTGAGTCCTTAGTAGTACGTGAACGGGAACAACATGTGACAAAAGAAAAATAAATTCAGTATATTATCTTCTAAGAGGGAAGAGTCATTAGCATATTCTTAAGTTTACTTTTAAAGCTATGTTTTTGTAAGACTTTCAGACACGGTAGAACACATCAGTTATAAAGTTTAAAAACCTGGTAGGTGAAATATCGCGTAAACAAAGCAGTCTTGTACAGTGGCAGAGAGATAAGTCCCCTAAATCTTAAATTCAACGTATGAACATCCTCTCTAAAGATTATCTTATAGGTTAGATACGGAGACGATCCACTTAATATGATCCTGTGAAATAAAACCATTGAGTGTAGTACCAGAGTTTATGGCACAAACGGTTGTCGTCTCGGCGCACTCAGTGATAAGGTGTTCTGGCGTTTCCCTATTTTCCGACAGAATCTGCATTCGCCGTTGTTTCTCAGTTTCATATCTCTATCTATCTACTGAGGTGTTCGTTGAGGAGACAGTACAGTTGATTGTCATATCCTTAACCAAGACTACCAGCCATATCCTTAACCAAGAAAACAAACCCAATATGGAAGCACTCAACATAATACCTCAGTATAACAGCCTCGATGTATTAGACATTCCAATAACAGAACAGGAAATAAAGGACTCCATAAAACAGCTTAAAAACAACAAATCAGCTGGCGATTCCGGCGGAAATCTATAAGTGTGCAAGTAAAGCACTTATTGGTCATCTTAAGGCTCTCTTTGATGTCATATGGGAAAGCGGAGAGGTACCACAGGACTTTTGCAACGCGAATATATAGTGAATATATTTAAGAATAATATATATATATATATATATATATATATATATATATATATATATATATATATATATATATATATATATATATATATATATATATATATATATATATATATATATATATATATATATATATATATATATATATATATATATATATATATATATATATATATAGGGTGATTCCTGTAAGTCGGTCATGCTTTCGAGGAATGATAGGGGACGTCGAAATATTAATTTTGATATAGTACACTATGGGTCGGAAATGCCTCTTATGCAAGATACCGGGTGTTGAAGTTTTTGAAAAATTAAAGATATTCTTTAATAGTTTTTTTAACAGTTGAAAGTATCGTTATAAAATTTTATTGTAGGAGTTTGCCTAACAGAGACACTTTAAATGTATAAAGAAGAGGTTTTAGTTTCAACCAGTGGCGTAGCTGTGATACGCATCGGCTAATATTTTCAAAAAAAATAGTACGTCACTGATAAAAATAAAAATTTCGGAATTTTTTTATTTACTCGGTTTATTTCCAAGAAAAAAATGTCTCTTGCAACTTTTTTCTATCTAACACCATTTTGTCACAATTTAAAAATAAATATTTTTTTAATGAGAATCTTAAATATGCTACGAATTTTGTTATTAACAATAAAAAAAATTCCAGTTTAAATTTATAATTTTTTAAAAATGTATTTAGTGCTATAAGTAAAAAGTACTAAAGTTACCCAAGATGAAGGGAGCTAACGATGCACATGTGTTTCTGCCCTCTAGTTATAATAATTCGCTGTATTTAAGATTCTCATTAAAAAAATATTTATTTTTAAATTGTGACAAAATGGTGTTAGATAGGAGAAAGTTGCAAGAGACATTTTTTCTTGGAAATAAACCGAATAAATAGAAAAACTCCGAAATTTTTATTTTTATCAGTGGCGTACTATTTTTTATTTGAAAAAAATACCCCATGCGTATTACAGCTACGCCACTGGTTGAAACTAAAACCTCTTCTTTTTACATTTAAAGTGTCTCTGTTAGGTAGATTCCTATAATGAAATTTTATAACGATACCTTCAACTGTTAAAAAACTATTAAAGAATATCTTTAATTTTTCAAAAACTTTAACCTGTATCTTGCGTAAGAGGCATTTCCGACCCATAGTGTGCTATATCAAAATTAATATTTCTACGTCCCCTATCATTCCTCGAAAGCATGACCGACTTACAGGAATCACCCTGTATATATATAGTGAATATAATTAATAATAATATATATAGTGAATATATTTAAGAACAAAGGAAGTGCATCAGACTGCGGAAACTACCGAGGAATTTCACTACTGGCTATCGGAGGAAAAATTCTTGCAAAAATTATGTCAAACCGCCTGCACCCACATATAGAAAAAATCGTCCCAGAATCGCAAATGGGTTTTCGCACCAACCGCGGTACCGTCGATTCCATATTATCCATCCGGCAACTACAGGAAAAAGCAAAAGAGCAGCAGTCTAAACTTTACGTTGCACATCGATCTAGAAGAATTTAGAATAAGTGGGAGGGGGGTTAATCTCTGCGACCTTAGAGATCTATTGTGTCCCCCTTTCTTGAGTTATAACTCATCATACAGTCCCATTTTTCATCGATCGAACAAAAGTCTTCGACTCTGTGAACAGAGATGCACTTTGGGCAATTATGGAAAAGTTCGGAGTACCCATCAAATTTCTTACAGTGTGTAAAAGCCTTCATAACAACAAATCAAGAGTGTCATATCATGGATCACTGAGCGATCCCTTCCTAACAAACACAGGCGTTAGGTAGGAATGTGTCTTAGCGCCTCTCCTATTCAATATATTCATGGCAGAGCTCTCCATTATAGTGGACAGCAAACTGCAGGAGAGAGGTTTGGGCATTAGATACAGATACGACGGCGGTCTGTTCAACATAAAAAGACTCAGGGCAAAAACACGTACAAAATTCATCACAGAACTTCAATACGCTGATGACTGTGCTCTAGTTGCAATTACGTTACAGCAATTGCAAGAAATGTTGAACACATATACATGGGCATACGAGGCCTTGGGACTTAAGCTGAACATCGATAAAACTAAAATCATGTGCACTCCCCCGGAAGATCACAACAATGCTATAAAAATCGGAGATGAGCTGTTGGAATATGTAGCGGAATTCAATTACCTCGGCAGTTTGATTTCGGAAAAGGCCAATATCCACTCTGAAATTCAGCACAGGATTAGCAGCGCCTCAAGAGCATTCTGGAAATTAAAAGACAGGGTTTTCTACAATCATGACTTGAGCACAAAAACGAAACTTGCGGTGTACCGAGCGATAATAATTCCCACCATGTTATATGGAAGCGAAACCTGGGTGCCGTACCGCCGACACATGAACGCATTAAACAAGTTGCAACAGAGACATCTTAGACAACTTTTAAGAATAAAATGGTTCCATCATGTCTCAAACGTATCGGTCCTTCAAAAAGCTAACTGCGAGAGTATTGAAGTCATGATTACAAAGTCTCGCTTAAGATGGGCTGGTCACGTGTGCAGAATGCAAGAAAACCGCATACCAAAATCTCTGCTTTACGGTGAGCTTGTAGACGGTAAGAGGAGGCCGGGTGGACAACTCAAAAGGTTCAAGGATATTCTCCACGAAAACTTAAAGGGAATTAACAAACAGAATGAGTGGGAAGAGGCAGCTCATAATAGAAAGGTATGGAGAAGAATTGTAAAATCAGTTAAGAGCGACAACCAAAAAGTAAAGAGGCAACAAAGTAATGAGATTTTTGAATGTCTGGAGTGCGGTAGACAGATAACGTCACGTATCGGGCTTTTCAGTCACAGAAAAGCTCATGAAAGAAAACGCCTTGCGTGACCATCTTCTGATGCGTGTCAAATACTCGTCAGCGAGTAATGGCGGTATGTATGTATGTATGTACAGTTGATTGTGATTTTTGATTTTTTCTCGGTCCTAAGTTCTATCCTTAATGATAAGTATACCCTTTTTAAACACAGACATACATGCTCTTTGAAACGAAATTTCCTATCAATAAATAGACCCAAATTTCTAGTGCATTGGGCGAAATTCAACTTATCTGCTATTTTGACTTTATTTAATTCCGAAACTCTCTCTCTCTCTCTCTCTCTTGCTGCTTACCACACATCATAACTTTTGATTTAAGAGTATTAATAGCCAGACCATGGAAGTCGGAGCTTTTCATCAACATATCTAAATTATTATTTATTAAAATTTCAGCCTCCGACCAGGATCAAAAGAAAAGAGAAGCTAAGTGTCGTCTGCATAGTAATGCGCTGTAACATTATATAGAGTTTTGCTACATTACTTTTATAAATTGTGAAGAATAGTGGTCCCAAAATGGCCTCTGAGGAACAACACAACTATTCATTTCACAAGTCTTCACATACTGCACCTTATTACATAAAAACTTTCAACAAGTAGAATGGCACTTTCCGAAAATCTTACAAAGCTCTATATGGATAGTAATAATTTGTGACTAATTCTATTAAATGCCTTGGAATAATCCAAAAGCACTAATATAGAAGATTTGCCCTGATCAGAGGCTCTTATAATATCATCAATTATGCTTAAAAGGGCAGTTATTGTACCGCTATAGTCCTTACGGAAACCCGATTGATTTGGCGGCAAAACATTGTTAAAATCGAGAAAGTTACATATTTGATTGTTCATAGTATGTTCCAATATTTTTGTAACCCAGAGTAAAATACTCATTGGTCTCAATCCACTAACCGCACAAACAACAGCATTCTTTGGCTACGGAGTTATACACGCTATTTTTCACTGATCGGAAAAAGTGTTTTCTAAAAGACATGTATTAATGATGTTGGTGATAAAGGTTATATAAGGATTCTTGGACAACACATTCTCAACATTTCAATATTATTTCATCTGATCCTATTGATAAAGATTTAATGTTAAAAAGAATAGATGTTACATTATTAATAGTTACAGTCGAAAAATTAAATATATCAAGAATAATCCCTCTATCCCTTGTCAAAGATTTTACATTGATATGTACTCACACTGTGTTGGAGAACGTTTAGATATCAAGAATAGTTCTTTTTATTGATGTTTATAATAATTTATCAGATTGTCATCTACTTGCTCTTCTTTTCTTATTCAGTAAATCTTATTGTGCTAAGCGTATTGACCATATGCTTCGTACATACGAAAATCAGCACTCAAGGCCAGAGATGCCGACCCAGTATCTATAACATTATTATTTACCTGACAATCATCCTGTCCATTACACCTCAAAGTGGTGTTAATGCATTTTCCAGAAGCACACTGCCATTGATATGCTAAATCACACATTTTGTGAATTACTGGACAATCTGAAATAATTAAATGAAAAACGATTATAAGAAAAATAATTTAAAAGTAAAAATGTACCTTTTTCGTCGGAATTATCCCAGCAGTCATCTTCGCCATCACAAACCCAATCCCTATGTATGCAATTGGTAGTAAAATTACAGTGGATGTAGTCTGGACCGTGTATTTTTGTGCAACTGATCGGAGGACACCCCATTTCGTCAGAATTGTCCTTGCAATCGGGATCATTATCGCAGCGCAGATTTTTCAGAATGCATTCGCCATTTTTGCATCTACATAAAAGAAAGACGTGAAAATAATAATTTATGTGAGAAGGATTACAGATATACGGGGTGGTCCGAATTGTATTCGGGAAACTTCATTGTCTAAAATTCTACCAACGCCCCATTAATATAAGATACCACCTATTTTCTTCCCAACAAAACATTCCTAATATCCCTGTATCCCCCTTTTCCGACACACTGCCCCCTCCATTGAAGGATCCTATTTCAGTTAATATGGAACTTTGTAAATTAAAAAAATCTGAAACATCCAGATATCTTTACAAAACTAGTCTAATACAAATTTTAAACCAAACATATCGTGACTATATTTGTTTTTACACAGATGGCTCGAAATCTAACCAAGGTGTTGGCTGTGCTTTTTACAGCCCGGTTGCTAATAAAAAAATCAGATTACCTAATTTGTCTGGCATTTTAACAACCGAACTCACAGCTATTTATCAGGCTCTTATCCAAATTCGGAGCATGCCACCAATTGAAGCATTAATACTATCTGACCGAGCAGACAAACTTACTAACGATGCAACGCTCTTACAGAATATTGAAGGAACTCCATCCGTTGTCGATTTCAGAAATTTCCACAAAAAAGTGTTCTTCAGTATACTTCAAAAGAATGGGACATCCTCAAGGGAACTAATAAACTTAAATCACATATGCCACTTCTTCGTCTGTATCAAAATATATATTCTCTTGAACGCGGATCTTTCTGTAAAGTTGTTAGAACCTTCACAGGACACTCATATCTTACCAAATCATATATTATCGGAAATGAACCCCCTCCGAAATGCACCTTATGCAATAACTTAATGTCAGTGAGACACATTCTTTTTTAATGCTTACCTGTTGCCTCCCATAGGTCTAGATTCTTTAATGCTGTTACCTATCAGAATGTTTTCGCGCCTTTTAACATATCGAAGATTAATAAAGTTATGGAATTCTTAGACAGCATCAACATAACGAAATACTTTAATTTCTAACTTGAAATAATTTAAAATAACCTCATATTAAATAAAGCTTATTATTGAGCGCTAAAAAACCCTCGCTGTTGACGCGCTCCATAAATCAATACCCCCCCCCCCCTCTCCCTTTCTACCTTAAGCTGTCAACCATTCAACTTATAATTTTGTCAATGTCAAATTATATTTCCTAAATTTTAGTCTCTTGTCTAATTTGAACAAGTTTTGAATTCCAAAAATGCATATCTGGCACACTAGTTGTAGGTACTATAACATAGTAGCATAGATCGCATAACTATCATAGGTTGACAACTTAAGGTATGTCGACATTTGCCTGGTTTTGCATTGTTACCTGTTCAGATTTAATTTAAAAATAAATGCATTTTTCTTAAATTAGTTAAAAACGGCTCGAATAAAATTGTTTAAATTTGACATGTGTATTCAGCATACCGCTGACCTTGAATAAACCCATTTACGACTTCGCTGTAAAATCAATAGGGGAGCCAATATTTGGATAGTTCAAAATTTGCATGGGATTTCCTACGTCTCCAACGCCGATGCACGACCCGGTATAAAACGTTCAATTTTTTGCAAAAATAAATCCCATAAGCATGTTTTTGGAATCGAAATATATAAAGTTAAAAAACTCTTATAGAAACTATAGATCCTTATAAACTCATTTACCTGAAATGTGAGACCTCTGAGCAGTTACAGTTGATTTCATCAGACGAGTCGCCACAATCATCAACTCCATCGCAGGCTACACTCACCGAAATGCATTTTTTGTTTTGACACTTCACCCAACCCAAAGGACAAGTTCTATAGCCACAATAACCAGGTTCTTCATCAGATCCATCTGCGCAGTGAGATATTCCATCGCATGTCAAGTGGAACAACACACAGCTACCATCAGAACACCGGAAACTACAAAAAAAAATTAAATACCCTGCTTTAGAGGTTCTCAGTAAATATAATGTTACCTGTCCTCAGTTATAGTACATTTAGTACTGTCTGTACTGTTGCAACGGCCATTTTCCAATATTCTACCATCCCTACAAGAACATTCCACTTCACCCTTTACTGTCAAATCGCAGTATTCTTCACACCCGCCATTGTTTATGAGACAAGGATTAGAGAAACAGTCCTCGGAATCTTCAGCAACTGCTACGATACCCATTGGCCTAAACAAAAGTCAAATATACATTATAAAAGCCACGATGTTAAAGCAATGCACCCTAAAATCTTAAAAGCCACAACGTCTTATCAAGAAAACACAGAATAACTCAGCTATAGCCGACAGCTATAGTAACTATAGGCCTTGGTACATTTCAGTTGATTTCAACAAATTCCTTCCGCAGCCCTTCAACGGCAGAAATGAGAAATTATCAGGAGATGAGTCAGTATGCTTTTCACGCCGCCGCGCCGTCATGTTGATCGCATTAAAATAATATTGAAATCGTGGTTTTGTCATAATATTTAAGTATTTTAGTTTTTTGCTAGTGCAGTTATTGAGACTATAAAACATTCAAGTACGAGGTTTGTGTGATGTAACGCTGTTTCGGGTAGTAAAAAATAAATGAAAAAGAATTCGAACTAGGCATCTTGTTGTGTTGTGACAATTTCAAATGATAATAAAATAGCCGAAAAAATGTTAAGCGTGAAGGACAGCGTAATTAGGGCGTTGTTAGGTGCAATAACATTCAACTTTCCCGGATATTCAACTCTCCCGAAACAATATTTTATAGCTTCATGGTTTCTCACACCAATTTGATCAAAAGCAAAAATGGATTAAAGCAGTTCGACGACACAAGAAACAACTCGTTACATAATCAAAAAATTAAATAGACATATAACTATGAGAAAATAAAATATAATTTACCATATTAATAGTATATACTTTTTTAATCAACTAGTGATTAAATGTTTTATGAACATCTTCTAAAATTATAATTATGTACCTTTAAAAAATTTCGTCATAGCCGAAATAGTCCCAATTATGCCCCACTAGCAAAACTGGTGATTAAAACTATGCTCGCTACCGTAGTTGAACTAATCTAAAAAGGTTTTTAACTGAAATAATAAATTATAATATGTTAGATGAAGTATATCAAAATATTATTTATTATATATTAAATAATAAATTTTTCGTATACTCGCTATTTAAACCCATGTATTTGTAAATACTAGTTGTTTACGATATTCTCCAATGCTGGCAGCATCGGCGGAGAATGCACCAGGCCTATAGACTCAGCTTTAGCCGACAGTAAGCGTCGACTCCTTTTATACCGCTTTAGCAAAGGAATCTCTAGCATGGGGAGGTTTTCAGTGCGATAAAATAAAAGATGACAAGGCTGCAGCCACCCAGCAGTGTCGCTTTGGCCCAAAATTTTACTATTAAGTTTCATATCTATCTTAATAGATGGTTATTTTCTTTTATCTACGGTTATAACAGAGTTGATGTCACGACGTATAGCGAAGGCCTTAGTTTCTAGGAGGCAAATAGTTTGTTACATACTTGAGAACGTCTCTACGTAGAGTGACGACATATTGACCAGTGTATTTGTCTGCTCTGATCACTGCATGCGATATCCAGTCAGTCCAGTAGATGAAGTCTCCATAAACAGCAAGAGCAAACGGATGTTGGGGGGTAATTTTCGCTAAAACCACCCTCTTAGATCCGTCATATTCACAGCGTTCTATTTTATCAAGACGAGCGTCTCCCCAATACAGTTTTTGAGCTTTGTGGTCCAACGTGATGGCATTAGGCATCCGAATTTCAGTAGTAATGATGGATTCTTTATCATAACTGTAATAGAAAAATTTCAAAAATGAAACATGATTATTCCAAAAAAGAGAAATATAGTATATATTCCGTTAAATAAAAAAATTAACGAAGGCATATCAATAAACTTAAGGACTATCGCGAAGCTGGAGTAATATGGCCCATTTAAATTCTAGTTTATCAGTGCAGTTAAAATTAACTACTTCTGAACAAAACCATTTGTAGAATTAATAATAAATAACATAAATAAGTTCAGAAAAACTGCAAAATTTCAGGTCAATTTCAGATATGCCGATTAAAACGCTAAACAAAACTGTCCAAAATGCTGTGTCTGGGATTTATTCCTCCTCTATTGCATGAATATAAAAATAATATTAGACACGTTCCTTAGTCTTTGTCTAATATACATATAATATGCTCACCCTGTAGAAAACGCTCTATCTATACTAGGCTGATGGGCATTCCAGTTGGTCCAGTACACCCTTTGGTCGCAGGAATCCACTGCTATACCCCTGGGTTTGTCTTGGGTTCGCAATTTTACGATGGTTTCTACGGCACTAGCGTTGGTCATTTGATTGGTCATGTTCACTCTTCTTATTGTTGCATGACTGTTGCAGGTCCAGTATAGAGCGTTGCTTAACTGAAAAACAATTTAAATTTCAACTCAGATAAATAATATAAATAAAAAACCTTACTACAAAACGAAAGTTCCCGAGATATACACGCCTAAAACCAAAAGAATTTTTCTTTTTACATATAAAAGCAAAATGCTGCCGCTGATTTATTAAAAGAAATTATGAAAAAAGATTGTAAATGATTATTATACATATTAATGATAGTATTATTCACTACATAATAAAGACTTTTAAAAATCGAATTAACCGTTTTTATAACTCATCTAAAAACTAAAAACATTAAACCTAATATCCAAAAAAATAAAAATGAACAATATTTATATCTACCCCTTATCACAAAATTTAAAAAAAAATGTTTGGACAATATAATATTAAGCTAATAATATTTAGTAATATTATTAGCTTATTACTTAATAATTAATATACAGGGTGTCCCCAGAAATAAGTGCAAGTATTTTTACTGGTAGTATAGTTCAACCCCAGAAACACGCCTATGACGTATTTTTCGCGAAAAAAAAATTTGAAAATTCGGATTTTTTTGGAAATTTGTTTAGTTTTTAGTTAAAAAACATAATTTCTTGATAATATGGCAACATAGGTATTAGATTGAATTTACAAGAAAGAAAATCTTAGCAAAAAATATATTTTTTTTAAATTTCAAAGTAAAATATCTCCGTTATTTTGGACTTATTTGAAAAACGATAAAGAGAAAATATGTTTCTTTTATCGATATCTACCACCCCTTAAAATACTTGCACTTATTTCTGGGACACCCTGTATTAATTATAGTATAGCTATACTTTGCAAAATACCGTGCAAAGACTGTATAGAAATAGAAATACCGTGCAAAGATTGTGATGGAGTCTATATTGGCCAGACAAAACAATATCTTGAAAATATATTTAAAGGCCATAAATATGATAAAAAGAATGCCACTGCATTAACAAATCATGAAAGTTCAAATCAACATTCATTCAACTTTGAAGAAACAAAAATATTAAAGACAGAATCAAACCAAAAAAAGCGCGAGTTTTACTAAATGGTAGCAATTCAAAAAAATAAAAATGCTATTAATGACAAAAATGACATTAATAATTTAAATAATATCTATTGAATCTATCCTATAGATAATGCAGCCTGTCCATCAACAAAAAAAAAGACATTCCGGGGACAAAAAAAAATGTCCCCGGATTGTCTTTACAAGAGGAAAAACTTTTTTATTATTGACATTTTGAGAAAAATACATAAAAATTTTTGCTTGTTCTAAAATGTTAATCCCGTTTGTACTTTTCGAAACTTCCAAGCCATTTTAGAGAAAATTAAGAAAAACATGAAAATATGGTTGAATTTTTTGAATGGTTATTATTAACGTTGATTAATCCTTGTTAGCACCAGTCTGTACCAATGACATTTGTACAGACTGGTGCTAACAAGACGGCTTCAAGAATAAAGTACTCGAAAAAGCCCACTATGATTGGGCGAAGCGACGCATAAAATATATTTTCCATAATTAGTTATAAACCTCATACCCAAGAAAAAAAAACTATATACAGGGTGGTCCGAACTGTATTCCGGAAACTTCGGCAGCATATTCTGCAGATAAAAATAAATAAAAAAGTTCGTATAAATGTATGTCCTAAAATGCTTAGTTTCGGAGATACAGGGTGTAGAAGTTTCATTTTTATTTCGATTTTTTCCAAATAATTTCTGAAGTAAAGTTAATATTTGAATGAAAATTGGTGTCTGGGAGTTTTTTGAGATGAGAAATTTGATTTTGATGTCAATATGGCTCCTACTAGTAGAGGGCGCCACCTACGTATTTTTTAACCAGTTTGAAGAGTAATAACTTTTCGTCCGTACCTGTATAAAACTACTGAGTAAAAAAATATACATTTACGACGTTTTTACGTAAAAAAGGTCTATCGGTAAAAATCGCTACGAGTAATGGTTTTCGAGATATTTGGAATCGAAATTATTAATACCAGTCATCATTGACATTAATTAAACATGTTGACTAAATAGTAATTAAACTGAAATCATAAATTTGAAATATTTTTGTGCCAAAAGTTCAACAGAAACTGTTTATCATCATTTTTTGCAGAAAAATTTACGATTAATTTAAAAAAAAATTCAAATTTATTATTTCAGTGAAATAACTATCTATTCACCGTCGTGTTTATTTTTCGTCAATAATGACATGTATTGATTATTTCCATTCTAAATATCTTAGGAATGGTTGCTCGTAGCGATTTTTAAAAAGAGATATTTTTTACATAAAAAGTCACAGAGATGTATATTTTTTCGTTCGGTAGTTTTATACAGCTACGGACAAAAAGTTATTACGCTTCAAAACAGTTAAAACACATGTAGGTGGCGCACTACTAGTAGGAGTCATATTGATATCAAAATAAAAAGCATATTCTGCAGATAAAAATAAGTTAAAAAGTTCGTTTAAATGTATGTCTTAAAATGCTTAGTTTCGGAGATACAGGGTGTAGAAGTTTCATTTTTATTTCGATTTTTTCCAAATAACTTCTGAAGTAACATTAATATTTTGATGAAAATTGGTGTCTTGGTGTTTTTTGACATGAGAAATGTGAATTTGATGTCAATATGACTCTTACTAGTAGAGGGCGCCACCTATATATTTTTTAACTGGTTTGAAGAGTAATAACTTTTTGTCCGTACCTGTATAAAACAACTGAGTAAAAAAATATACATTTACGACGTTTTTTACGTGAAAAAGGTCTCTTGGTAAAAATCGCTGCGAGTAATGGTTTTCGAGATATTTGGAATCAAAATTATCAATACCTGTCATCATTGACATAAATTAAATATGTTGACTAAATAATTATTAGACTGAAATCATAAATTTGAAATGTTTTTGTGTCAAAAGTTCAACAGAAACTATTTTATCATCATTTTTTGCAGAAAAATTTATGATTAATTTAAAAAAATAAAAATTTCCCAAATTTATTATTTCAGTGAAATAACTATCTACTCAACGTGCTAATTTTTCGTCAATATAATGGCATTCATTATATTGACAATATAATGACTATTCATTCTAAATATCTTAAGAACGGTTGCTCGTAGCGATTTTTACAAAGAGATATTTTTTACGCAAAAAGTGTTGGAAATGTATATTTTTTCACTAGGTAGTTTTATACAGGTACGGACAAAAAGTTATTACGCTTCAAAACAGGTAACACACATGTAGGTGGCACCCCCTACTAGTAGGAGTGATATTGACATCAAAATCAAATTTCTCATGTCAAAAAACATCCAGACACCAATTTTCATCCAAATATTGACGTTACTTCAGAAATTATTCTTATTCTATATTATTATTAATTCTTACAGCTTTAGTGTATATTAATAAATAATATTTTCTTGCCTTTAGCTGTGTATTTTTTTCTAATTTCGAAAAATCGAAAGTAGAGAAAAAATTAAAAAAATAAAAAGTAAAAAGAAAATTGTCTTGCTTGTCGTAAAGGGGGTAGGCCCAGAAACCGGTTGTGGGAGTGGAGCTTGGTTCCCCCCTTTACGACAAGCAAGACAATTTTCTTTTTACTTTTTATTTTTTTAATTTTTTCTCTACTTTCGATTTTTCGAAATTAGAAAAAAATACACAGCTAAAGGCAAGAAAATATTATTTATTAATATTATATATATATATATATATATATATACACATCGACAGGTCAACTCTGTGTATAGGATTTTAACGTGTAAGACAGTGATGTAGGCAGCTTAATGGCAAATCAAATGTATTAAAAAGAGAAAAAAGTTGGGTGGGTATGGGTGGGTACATTTCTTCTGAGCGGTATTGCCAGATTTTGCATCAAAATTTCAAACCGCATAAGTAGACGTTTCAAAAAAATGTCGCATCTAGGGTTGGATCTGGATTTTCGACAATTAGTTACTCATTTTACTACAATTGTAATAGATTACATTTAGCTTAGATATATTATCTTCATTTCTGTAGTATACATGAAGATTTTTAACATAGTTTATTTTATTCTAATTTCTTTAAGACTACGATAATATACTGGTCGGCAAGAGAAAATCTTGGGTCGTTTATTTTAGTCATCATTTACCTACATGTCTAGAAGTGAATCGCTATGGCAATCTTGTAAGTCGGGGAGAGAAAATTATTATCTATCCACTTAATCCGGAGCTCAACTTCATACGCTTGGGAAAATTCTTGCTCTTTTCTCTTTGTTCATTTATACAATCACAGAGTCTATAGACTCTGTGCACTACAATCGGCACCCAAAGCCGTGTGTACATTATCTAAAAAATATGCTGTATTACGTAGTAAATAGTGCAAATTCTATTGTCGACCATTCTAAACAGTATTAAATAATAATGGAGTGAGCCAGTGTGAAGTGAGACATTAAATGATTGATCTTTTTGTTAAATTACGTGGTATAACTTAACACAATGATGAATCGTTTAATGTTTCATATGCACCTCCATAATTATTTAATCTGTAATCATACTGATTACAGCGTTCGACAACAGAATTTGCGCTTTTAGTACGTTTTGTAATTAATAGATTATCTGTCTTATTATGCAACTAGGGATGTACGTGTCTACGTAATAGAGCATCAGCATCTCTCTCAATATATCGTATTGTACTGAACACGTTGACACACGAGAATCAGCAGCCAAAGCCGTGTGTACGCTTCATTAAATAAAATTCAATAACCAAAAAATATGCTCTATTACGTAGTTACGTACATCCTCAGTTACATAATAGGACCGATAATCAATTAATTACATAATGTTGTAAATATCACAAATTCTATTGTCGACCGATCCGGATTAATTGGATAGGTAATAAATTTCTCATTTTTCTCCCGTATTTTATAGTCTTTTCTCTTTCAGTATATCGTATTGTACTGAACAAACGTTGACTTTATTCTTCATACACACGACAATCGGCATACAAAGCCGTACGTTGTACGTTTTATTAAATAAATTAACCTTTTTGTTTATTTATTGGTTCGTTTATGCTTTATTTAATGATTGATATTATTTTGTCAAGTTATACCACCAAGTGCTATAAACTAGTACAAAATTAAAAAACTTAATTTTAAGTAAAGTTCTTTGAAATATATCTGTATTACTATTATGAATGAAAACTCTTATCCATTTTTAATTTGGAATTATATTAATTGCCATGTGTCATGTTTTTATTATTATTGTCAATTTTCTGCGGATAGCTGATAAATTAATCTATTGTCAATTCAATATGATTATATTATGATGTTCAAATACCATTTTGTTATTCATAAAAACGGCCTTTTTATTACTTCTCTGTCATACTGATCCATCAATAAATATTTCTTACGTGTTGCAGCAGACCAGCAAAATTTATTAATTTTATGGTCCTTTATATTTACTCATCCCTGATTCCATCCAATTATGGCCGCTGATGAAGCGGGAGGTAGACGTTCGCTTTCGGTCATAGGCGTACTGAAAACTAAAATTTCTTATCCTCGTATTCAGAATTATAAATAGCAATAAAAAGGATAAAGATAAGTAAAACTTTATACTGATAAGTTTGCTGTACCAATATTAAAAAAATTGGTAGTAGGAAATATTATTTCATAATATTATGACATGATAATGTTATAATGTAATACTATAAAGTAAAGTAAAAGATTTGAAGTTAACATCTCCTTTTTGCTGCCAGGGCTAATTTGGACGGGGCCTACTTTGTTTACGCGGAATCCGAACAGCGGTCCTCGGTCAATGACCGAGCAAGTGTCTAAATCGACTCTTACTCACGAGATATCCGATCTCATCCGGCCTTGAACCGGCGTGAATGAGCAGTGTGTGTCAAAATATTTTACACTTTTGCCTTTATTGGACAACAGCACGATACAGAGTTTCGAACTGGTCACCCGTCTATCCACTAGTATCGCCTTACGTCGCTTAACTTCGGTGTTCTAATGGGAACCGGTGTTTCGACGTAGCTGGACCGTTGGTTGCCCGTAATACTATAGCTACAACCGTTATAACACTAGTTATACCACCCCGCATAAATTCAGTATTATTATAAATAAGTAATTTATTTCACACCCCTTAAAGTGTAGCACAATTAGAATCATAAAAACGATGCCACTTAACAGTTACATAATGTTTATAATGTTAATTTTAAAGGTCGTTTTACATAAAAATTGTTTATCTGTTTTTATTTATGATACAAAACCCGCTTGATCATAAAACTTTTTGATCATGTCGATGAGTTTTTTTTTTATACTGAGTATGTATGGGTTGGTATGGGGCTTAAGAAGCAGCGTGGTGAAGGCGTTGTTCCACTGTTTCCATCTTAAACATTGTCAGCTGTCATAAAAAGATTATTATTAAAATTCTAATAAATTAAATTTTACAGAATTCATAAGCAAAACTTTTAAACTAAAATTGGCTGTAATACTAAATCTAAATGAAAATAAAATATTAGTACGCCTATGACTCAAGAGTTTGGTTTGGTTTGGTGGCGACACGTGCGAAGAGATATGCATGGCTTCCACATTTCGAGAGGCGGGTGAGACAAATCAAGTGGTGGGAGAGAATATGGCCGTAGATGCCAGGTCTAGGAAATATTCCCTAACATTAAGGTTTCTATCCAGGAAATACCTTTTTAGAAAGCATATTTTTGGACACAATTTAGTGTGTGTATTTAATTTGTTTTCTCAAACTTGGCATTTCTAAAAGTATCATCAGATAAATATTTTAAAAGAATATTTTTTGTTGGTTGATTGACCGTGCCAACCAGGCTTCAGGAAATTTTCAAACTTCATCTGGCAACACTGACAGTATCGAAGTCCTAGAACGGTAGACAGAAATCAAATCAGTCGGATTTTGAAAGGGGTTGGGTGTACATCATTCTACAATATATTTACGATTTTGAAGGTTATCCATACATCTCGAGACGTTTAATCTTTTAACAATAAAAATAATTAAACGTCCGGTTGTATCTATACTGCTCATGTTTTTGTTGCTGTTTCAGCATAAGTTAAAACAAGCATTAAAAAAATGACTAAAAATCAACTTTAAAAAAGGACAATTAGCAAAATAATTATAAAAAATTAAATCAAAGGTTCAAAAATACCTCCCTGTTGTGCTTCGCAATAGCCAAGACGGTTATAAAACTCTGACCTAACTTTAGCTAACATAACAGCGGGGATATTTTCTAACGACTGAACGATTTTTAATCGCAGCTCGTCAATATTCATGGGTCGTTCATGGTTATGGCCATAAATGGAGTTTTTTACATATCCCCACAGAAAGAAGTCATTGGGCGACAAATCAGGAGAACGTGGTGGCCAATTAATTGTGCCTTGTGTGGAAATTAGCCGATTGGGAAATGTGGTTTGAAGGAACAGATTTACGTTCCGCGCGTTATGCGCAGGACAGCCATCCTGCTGAAACCACACTTCCTCAAAATTGATTGGCAAATTTCGAACTGCTGGTACAATTTGGTTTTGTAGCATATCCAAATATTTGGCAGCTGTTAACATACCATCAATAAAAAAAGGCCCAATGATATGATTTTGCAGCATGCCAGCCCAAACATTTAGTTTTTGTGGATATTGTGTCCGCAGTGCCATACTAAGGTGCTTATTTTCTCGAGACCAATAACGTACTATCGAAGGATTGTGGTAGCCATGTAAGGGAAACGAGCTTTCATCTGAGAATAATATATTTTCCAAAAATAAATTATTCCGATCGGCTCTTTCTCTTACAGCCTCGCAAAACTCCAGACGTCTGTTACAATCTGCGGGAAAAATTTCTTGCGTGGTACTGATTTTGTAGGACTTATATCCATGCTTTTTTAAAACCCTGCGCACCGTTCGAGCATTGCAACCAACTTGTTCGGCTATATTTCGGCTTGAACAAGGTTCGCTTGTTTCGACCGCGGCACAAATATTAATTTCCTTGTCGGGAATCACCTTTTCTGCGCCTTCCTTATTGTCACAATTTCTGCACGCCGCAATGCAGCCTGTTTGCTCAAATTTATGGACAATGTTGCGTACAGTTGTGGCACAAGGCCCAGGGCGATCTTGAAAGGTGAACACAAAACGCCCAATGACCTCTTCCACACTAGACGAAATGTAAAACCATTTAACGATATGCACCTTCTCTTCGGTCGTATAAATAGCCATTTTTGAAACACTTAACGTACATACCGAAACAGCTAGGCGAAAAGAATGATGCAAAAATAGTTTGGATCTCAGGTGATCTATTTCCTTTCCCCACCCTTTCATCTACATAAAGATGCGTATTCACTATCCGAACGAACGAATGCTACTATCCAACGAGCGAACGTTCAGTCTTGTTCGCGCGGTTCTATAATTTTCATTCGTTTGCGAACGTCTCTGATATACCGACTGAAAACGGATGATGGAGCGAACCGAATGGCGAACGGCCGCATGCATTCGGTTTGCTGTCCAAATATACCGAATTTCATTCCTTTGTTCTTTCGGATAGTGAATACGAACCTTTAACATAAAGCACCGCCCTCTCAATGCGTTCTCCCACCATGCTTATGCTTTACCTTTGCCCACACCCGTAAAAACCGGCAACACTGTATCGGTCGCACCGGCTTCGCCGGCCCCCTTTTTGATGCTGTCTCTGTTCTGTCAACCGGTCATTTATATTATTCTCTGTCTTACACGTTAAAATCCTATACACAGTAATCAAATGTATATATATATATATATATATATATATATATATATATATATATATATATATATATATATATATATATATATATATATATATATATGCATAGATGGTTAAAGAAAAAAAGAAACAATTAAACTATTAATGTATATCCTTAGTCTGCTTTTTATACATATCAGTGCGAGAATTCCATTTTTTCTTACCTGTTCATAAGCCAATCCTTCTATTGAACCTTGCTTATCCACAACCACTCTGTGATCAGTACCATTAAAATACACTGCTTGTATTGAACCTTTTTGTATGTCTGAGTAGAACAATCTTTGGTGTTTGTAACTAAAACTTAAACCTAAAAAATAATTAAAATGATTGTTAACTGATAAACTGATTTTGAGGTATTTCTTTGATTTCTACCTATGGCATTTTTCAAATACGTAGAGTTTTTAATAGGTGGATATGGAGAATTGTGCAAGTCCTGATCTCCTTGCATGTGGATAGAATCTATGCTAACCACTTTTGAGTAAGTTATAAAAGTCTGGAAAGGTACACAGGTTTGTCCATTTTCTGAAACCATTCCATGAGAGCAGACACACAAGGGATGTGTACCATTGAACAAACACAATTGTTCACAGCCTCCGTTGTTAATGACACAAGGATTTGTACCTCCTAGATTAATAATATACAGATTATAAGAAGTTTAACTAACAAATTTTGAACTACCTTGTCGCTTTTTTGAATAAATTTGAATGTCCGTCAAAGACACTCCTAATCCTTGAGCCAATATGGTGAAATCTGAGAGATTACTGACTGAAGCTTTTCTTATACTGCCTTTCTCAAATGAGGCGTCCATCCAATACAGGGCATTCTCAAAATAAGTCAGACCCATGATTTTTTCGAGAGAATTATTCAGCAATACCTACAAATAAATTTTTATTAAGTTTAATAAGTTTTATTAATTTGTAATACTAACAGTGTGGTTTGTGCTGTCATATTTAATCATCTCTATGGTATGTGATGCACTGTCAGAAAAGTATATCACTCCATTAGCTGTATCTAGCGCCAAATCTATAATTTTCTTTGGTTTATTGAGCAGGACGGTCCTTGTTTTACCGTCCAAGGTTACCAATTCTAACCTATTCAGTCCAGCCCAGACAAAAAGTCCTCTGGCGGGATCTAAAGCGATGGCATTGGGTTTTTGGGTATCGTTGAAGAGGAGGACATGTGCTTTTGTGCCGTCCATACGTGCTACGCTTATGGTATTTCTTTTGGCATCACACCAGTAGATATTTTTGGCGATCCAATCCACCGCCATGCAAGTTAGCCAATCAACAGGTTGGTCGTCCACTACTTCGTTTTCGTCCAAAACAAGAATTCTTTGTGTACCTTAAAGAAAAAACAAATCACCTTATAGTTATTAATAAATCAGAAATGCTTACCATCTCTTTTGATACTAGTAATTTGTCCACTCTCGGAATCAGCCCAAAACACGAATTCTTCTTCAGCTAAGAAATCGATAGATGTAGCGCTAGATACCTGGAAATTTGTCATTATCATGTTAGTATCATTGAGCGTAAGTCGGGTGTATCTTAAATAAGTGACTAGCATTTTTTTGACAGATCAAGTGCAAGTATTTCAACTGGTAGAATAGTTCGAGCTCAGAAATACGCCTATGAGGATTATGTCGGCAAAATCAAAAACTACATAATAATAAAACATATTTATAATAACTTAGAAAAAATCTAAAACCTTATTCAATCTCGAATTTAAGGTTTTGTATTCACAGTTTTAGCTGTATTCACAGTTTCAGGCTAGGTTTTGTATTCACATAGTTTAGTAAAAGGTAAATCTGCTAAAAATATGCATAAATATTGACTTGACTCGATAATTAATAAAAATAAAACACTAAATCACCACAATATACCTATACACTTTTACCTTTGCACCAAGTTGCTGATGATTTAAAAAAAACGCGCATCCAGTGCAAAAGTAAAAGTGTTTAGTTTCCAACCCCCAACTGTAATCAATAATTTATAACAAAATAGTTATTCTAGTGAAGCTGTGTATTTCTCAAGGCGCTAGGAATATGTGCGGCTCTATAGGCGATTTTGCAACTTTATTTTCTTCATCAAATTTGGGTCCAAAATTGATGTATTGCCCTCCGTAGTCGTGACTCTAGCCGGAGAGTCGGGAAAACGCGCATCCGCGCATAAACAGTGGACTGCATGGCGTATTGCGTAGGTATTAATAGTAGGGTTAATTCTGACACTTTCTACCACATGTATAACCCGTAACAATTTTATTATTTTAATAAAAAGATGTGTTAAATAATACCTCAATCTCTTTTATTGTATCGTATCGGCGTTGGAAACAGTAAATCTCATGCAAATTTTGACCTGTCCAAATATTGGCTCCTATGTTTATTTTACAGGAAAGTCGTAAATATGCTTTTTAAAGGTCTGCGCATGCCATAATTGAACAATTTTGAATAAGCCGTTTGTAATTAATTTAAGAAAAACTGCATCTGTTTTTAAATTAAAACTCAACAGGGAACAATATAAAACCAGACCAATGTCAACATATCCTAAGTTATCAACCTAGTATAATTTTGTCACTGTGAAATGTAATTTTAAAATATATTAATTTTAATATTTAACACTAATAATACTTTATTGTTTTATTAGCTACACAATTGAGGGTAAATTCACCATGATAAAATACTAGAATACCGGAAACATATTAGGCAGTGTATTTGCTATGTTTTCAGTTAATTTCCCTGATAAACCAATTCATACAAGGTCAACAATAAAAAAAATTGATTGCTGTTTAAAACGAAAGAATCCGTGATAAAGAACTGGTAGGCACAGTAGATCACCAGAGCACACGAAAAAAATGCACGAAGAAAGTTATGTGTCCATATTTCTCCAAATTTACCAACTCTTAAAATACTTGTTCTTATTTAAGACAGAGTATGTAAACATGGTAACCCACTATTCCAAAAATTAAAAAGCAAGACGAGCCTAACATTTAGAGAGACTGTTTAGGGACAATGAACCACTCTGCATAAAATATTTACCTTAGAAATAGGTCCTAAGACTTTGGTCTCGTTGGAGCCATTAAGTGGTCTTCCTTGAATATCCCAACCCAAAGAAAAGAGTATAAAATCTTCTATTGGAAGGCATTTGTATTCATTTTCGGGGTCCTGAATGTATCCTACAAAACAAAAGAGTTTTTTCCCATGTATTTATGTAAATACCGATCTGGTCATCGAAACTGCGTAGTCGGGATTTTAATGTGTAAGACAATGATGTCGACAGCTTGATGGAAAATCCAATGAATTAAAAAGAGATAAGAGTTGGATTGATATATTTTTTCTATGAGGTATTGCCGGATTTTGTATAAAAATTTCAAACCGCACAAGTTTATGAAAAATGTTGCATCTAGGGTTTGAACTTAATTTTTCACAATTAGTTACTCATTTTACTACAGCTGTAATAGAAATAGATTATATTTAGCTTAGATATATTATTTTTATTTCAGTAGTACAGGAATGTTTTTAAAATAGTTTATTTTTTCTACACACAATTACCCAGAAAACTACCCACAAACGTAAAAACCGGCAACACTGTATACCGCTGTTTATTTTGTCTCTCCGTCTGTCAACCGGTAGTTTATATTTATCTCTGTCGCATGCATTAAAATACAGACCACGCAGATGAAGTGATCAGGACTAGTATATAATATGTTGTTTTACTCACCTGTAGCACATCTACATTTGTATAGTGTACTTTCTTTGGGCAAACATAAGTGTTGGCAACCGCCACGGTTCACGGTACACCTGTGAATATTTTTAGTACCTATTTTCATAAAAAATATCGTTCATTTAAATTACTTCAAGAATACTTACCTGGCAAACCAGTCTGTTCTGTGGCATCATATATTCTAAGAGCTACTACGCCACTGGTATTGTTGCGCAAAGAAGATATGGTCATATTGTGGCCTTTGGTTTTGTCGATGACGTATATAGATTGGTCTGCGTCGTCAGCATAGTAGATCTTGCCTTTGTATACGGTTATGGTGGTAACTGTGACATTTGATGGTAAGCTTAATTTTGTGACGCCTGTACCTTCTAATGTTGAATATATAATCTCAAAACCGCTTATCCAGTATAATCTATATATTAACAACTTATTAACATACTAAACTTACTGTAGCGATCGACAGTTAAGATAGTTACTGACCTGTCAGATTCAGAATCGACGACAAGACCCTTGGTATCCGAACTTAAATTAGGCACTAGGGTTTTTTTGTCAGATCCGTCAATCGTGCTGCTTTCCAACAAACAAGTTTTGTTTTCGTGTCTGATCCAATAAAGTTTATATTTTAACGGCTGGATTGCTACGGACACGATGTTTTGATTTTCGATGAGCATGGCAGTGTATTCACCGTTCAACGTGGAAACCGCTGAAAACCAAAATAAAAACGTTAAATGATATTTTTCGAGCAGTCGTGAACAAGTGAAACCGACGGGATTCTGAGTACAATGATACCCCCGATAAATTGTTCCATTGCCAACTGAAGACATGGATAACCTTTTGTACACTCTCCAGAAGGTGTGTAAGTAGTAATACAAAATATTGCTAGTAATAAGCTATGTAGACATTTTCCTTACCAATTCCGTTTTCAAAGCCGACAAACAAGAGGTGACATAACCAATCGACTGCTAAACTGGAAACGTGATATAAACCAGCATCAATAAGTGTCTGAACAGGACCCTGAGTCAAATTCACTCTTTTTATAGCGTCGATGTTTGAATCGGCCCAGTACAAGCTCTTATTTCGAGCGTAGTATTCCAGTTGCACAGAACTGAGACCTTGGGAAACACTGATCATTGGTATGATGTAGTTGTAGGGTTGATCAAGATCCACTCCTCGTATTTCGTTATTTCTAGCTATTAACAAAACTTTTTCGTTTTGGATGCAAGTTTTGTTGTCTTCATGCAATCTAGGAAAAAAAAACGATTGAAAAAATATTTCAACGGATTTCAACAAAAGTTTTAGGCTACGCGCATGCAATTTTTAGTCGGTCGATTATTTGATCGGCCAACTGGTCAACTGCGCTCACAGACGCAATCACACGATTCGTCGAAATCATAAATAATAAAGGGCGTTAGATTTTATTTATAATAAATATTTTGTAGATTTCGCGTTTAAAATTAAAATATGCTTTACCATGTTTTGTCCCGTTTTTGGTAGCCAATTACATAAACGAAAAATATTAATTTTGTTAATTTTTGCCGCAATGCGACAATGGTACTACGCTACTAGAAGATACATATCAATTTAGGTTGAAAGTTGCTTTCAGTGAGCGCAGACAGATTAAAACGCATATTTTACAAGTTAGTTGGCTCTAATAGTTACAAATCTGCAACTAAATAGTCGGCCGACTGAAAATTGCCTGTCAGCACATTGCCTAAAAATTGTCTGTCATTGCATAGCCTTACCTTGATAGATGGGGACAATCACATCTATAGCTGTCGTTTACGTGTATCAGACACAAGTGTGAACAACCGCCATTGTTTTTGCCGCATGGATTTTTACCTGGGGGTTGCCGGCTTGGATGGACGACTTTAATATCAAACGGTTGCGTGAGGGTTCTCTAAAAAGTAGTTCAAATGTCTCAGAGTCGCTATAGTTCTTATCGCGTAATTTTTCAAGATATCAAATCAAATCAAATCAAATCATTTATTGCATGTTAATAGATACAAGTATCCTTACACAAAGTCATATTTTGTAAAATGCAAAATTATAAAATAAGCACAACAATTATCAAACAGTAATTTAAAGTACACAAAAAAACAATAAATACACAATGTAAATGTTTTGACCTATAACCATGCTATAACCCTTCACTGCTTTCTAAAAAATCAGTAACACTAAAATAAGCCATATCAAGAAAGTAGCTTTTAATTGTCGTTTTAAATTGATGTCTTGGTAAATTTCTGATATTTTGAGATAATTTATTAAAGCATGCAGGAGCATAATGAAGGCTGGAGTTCCAAGATCTTCCGAGGCGCAAATGAACAGGCCTTATATTCATTCTGTTTCTGGTTGCATAATTGTGTTGTTCATCATGCGTAGTATATAGTTCTAGGTTATCCTTTACAAATAAAAGACACTGGAGGATATAGCAACATGAAAGTGTCAGTATTCCCATTCTTTTGTAGGCGTTTTTTGTATCTGCTTGATAACTTAAATTTGACAAAATTCTCAATGCTTTTCTTTGCAGTCCAAACAGTCTGTCAGCATGAGCTGCGTGACCCCAAACAAGTATTCCATAAGTAAGCACCGAGTGAATGACAGCATGATAGGCAGCTACTAACACATCACTCTCCACACACTTAGCCAATCGCCGAAATGCATACATGCTCATGGAAACCTTCCCTGCCACATAGTCTATGTGACTTTCAAAACTCAGTTTTGTGTCAAATTTTATTCCCAGAAATCGGACACTGCAGAAATCTATTTTATATTTTGTTTTAAGAGAAAAAATAACTCTTTCTGTTTTAGTGTCATTCAGGCATAATCGGTTTGCCTGAAACCAGTCACCAACATTTAGCAAAATCGATTCAAAATCAGTTTGAATCTCTTCAGGGGATTTCCGAGCACATAAGATAGTAGTGTCATCGGCAAACAAAATCATATTATTCTGAAGTGTAGCCACGGGTAAATCATTAATGTAAATTAAAAACAATAAGGGTCCTAATACTGAGCCTTGTGGAACCCCATATTTTACAACACTCACATCAGAGAGCGTACCGTTGGCTAATGTTTGTTGAGATCGGTTTACAAGATAATCAGCCAATAATTTCGAACTCAAATTATATACTCCATAATATGAAATTTTCTGTAAAAGTATGTTGTGATCAACACAATCAAAGGCCTTGGTAAGGTCACAGAAGACAGAACCAACATAGTTACCGCTCTCAAAACCCTCAATTATATCTTCCATCAAACGAATGCAAGCCATTGTTGTAGATTTTCTTTTACGAAACCCAAACTGATTCTCTATGAACAAGTTATTAGATTCAAAGATGTGTTAACTGGTGTTTCAATAAATATTCAAAAATTTTTGAAAGTCTGGGTATTAAAGCCTATAGGTCTATAATTATTCACACTTTCAGGATCACCTTTTTTAAATACTGGTACGATTTTTGAAAGTTTTATACAACTGGGATACGTACCATCTCTTATACATCTATTGAATAATTTAGTTAGAGGATATATTAATAAATTTATTACTTTTTTAACTAGTGGAATGGTCATGTTATAAATATCTTTACTATGCTTATTTTTTAACGAATTTACGGCGTTTCGAGTTTCTATGAAAGTTACCTCTCTAAAGAAAAAATATAGATTTAAAGGTTTATTAGAAAATTTTGTTATATAGTCAAGCGCTGTGCGATTTTCTACGCTCAGAGACTTTACAGTATTTACAAGTCAACCGGCTGCGTAAGAGTTCGCTGAAGAAAAGTAGTTAAAATGTCCCAGACTCGCCGTGATAAGAAAAAAGCCTTCACGACAATTGATACCAAGTGTGTCACTAAAAAGATAAACGTATTTTCCGAGTAAATGACAAAGTATCACCTATCATGCTTTATTTTGCGAATTATAATGAAATATAGTTTCATCTAAAGTGCAATTCATCTGACAATTATTATAATCTATAAGGGTGCTGCTATCTATAAATATAAAGAAACTTGTTCAATGCATCAAATACACAATAGGCCTTACAGGTTCACTTGGCTCGTGAAAAGGCGCCTAAAAGTAGTGATGGGCAAAACTGTTATTTTTAGATAACAGTTGAAACTGTTATAGTTATTTATAAAAAACAGCTTAAAATAACAGCTTAAAAATAACAGGTTTCTTTATTTTATTGCTAAATATCTGAAAGAGTATGAGGCGGTCACCGCCAGGCGTATTAACGCAGTTGCAAGTTGCAACAATGACGTGCTCGGTGGTAGTATTTCCAGGGTGTCATAACATTTCTAAATATCGATTGTTATCTAAAATACCTCTCTAAAAACGGGGGTTGTTTACAAATAAGCGCTGTTTACAAATTGCGATATAAAAAAGCCAAAATGCCGCCACTCGTCTATATCTATAAATTCCGATCTACCTACGCCCTACCCCTCGATCCGCGTAGATTCTGAATTGCGTAGCAGTGTACAGGGTGCATCTCAGTCGACGGGCGAGAAGCTCTTAGTTATGATTTTACCATATGCGGCCAAAAAATAGCAATATAAGAAAATGTGTAGTATATTCTTCATAAGTAAACCAACTACACACTAGAGTTCGAATTAATTTTACACTTAAACTACCATGTACAGTTTGAAAAATATAGGAAGAGACTTGGGGATAGCACCGGTCGCGCACACGATAGAGAGAGAACGCATTCGGCGGAAGAGAGATGCAGTTACGCTACGAAAAATCTGATTGAAGCAAATTTGTGGGATGTCCACTGCGCATCGGGGGGCGTCTCTTATTTTATATTTCTCACGTATCTAGCTATACTTGTTAAGTTGTACCCGCGACTTTTTTTACCACTCTGTATCCCAGAAATTAAGATGTTTAGGACATACATTCATATGAAGTTTTTCTCTTAGAATAGGTTCAAGAATCACCCCCTCCCCCTTAAATATAAGCATGTCATTAAGGAACACCCTGTATAGAAGTCCGGCCACTTTTTTCAGCGGAACTTTCGGCTTTTGGACGCCGGACTCCTATATCTATATCTACAATGGTCGCAGTCCCCGATGCTGGCTGGATTCAGTGCGCGATTAGCTTAATACCGCAGTATAGTAAGATTTGAAGGACTTTTCAAATTCTATACTAAGGGTTACTAAAAATCAATGTAAGGATAACAAAATACTAACTTGTATGACCATGACGTCTCCTCCAGTCCATTTGTTGGCTCTGACCACACTGTTGGTCCGCCAATCTGTCCAATAAACGTAATTTTCGTACAGACTGATGGCAAATGGATGAGAGAGAAATTCTTGATTGCTTATAACCAAACGGTGATCCTTTCCATCATAGTTACAGGTGTGAATTGAATCTGAACGAGCGTCTGCCCAATAGACCCTGATTAGTAAAAAAGAAAAGTATTAATATATACAGTGTGTTATATTTAACTATATTGCCTTCTCATTGAGTAATCTAATGTTAAACCATTAGGCCATCCCGCTTTGTAAAATTGGTTCATGAAAACTATTACTGTACGATCCAAACCAGCTAAAGAACAACGTTCTATTCTGGGTGAAGAACTATCCCAATCCGTCCAAAACAAATACCTACAAAAGTATTTTTGTTACATTAAAATAATTGAAATACATATCGTCTCAAAAGTGGCTCATCCCTATAACTTTTTTATTTTTTTTTCAGATAAAAAAACGAGATTTGGCATGTAGTAGTAGGTATGTTAGTATGACATAAATTAGGATTGATTGACGTATTCAATTGTTTTTGGTCGCTTCCAGTTTCACCGAAAATGACTACGAATTTTGATTTTTAAATGGCACCTTCGGTATTTTTTTACTTTATTCAATAGAACATGACATTCTGAATAGTGACATATCATGACATATCAGATGTCAACTTTTGACATTCTCGCTTAATAAAAAATCGTATTTTAAATTTCAATCTAGAGTGCCATGGCTATGTTAAAAACACTAATTTTTAATCAAGGAGCGTTGGAAAAATAGATTTGATGGTCTAATGTTTTTAGTGCTTTATCCTGGCCGGTTAAAAGATGCTCAAATCATATTTTTTATTATATCTCAATTTTTCCAAATGGAACGAGGGTGGCTCATTAGCATATTTGGAAAAAGCATCTTATATATATTATACTACACACCTGGTATTTCGAGTCGAAATACCAGGTGTCGAAATTTTTGTTACAAACCGCATGTTATAATTTCAAATAAACCATATGCGAAATGTCAAAATTTAATATATGATATGTCATTCTATTCAAAGTGTCATTTTCTATCGAATAAAGTAAAGAAACACCCAGGGTGCCATTTAAAAATCAAAAGTTGTAGTCATTTCCGGTGAAACAAAAGGTGACCGAAAGCAATTGAATAGGTCAATCAATATAGTTTTTTTTAACTGAAAAAGTAAAAAAATTATGGGGGTGACTGGACCACTTTTGAGGCGCACCCGGTATAGTTATTTTCAATTTTTATGAGTTAAAATTATATTCTCTTTTTTTTTCTGAATTCACAATTAAATTGCTAATAAATTTTTTAGAAATATTTTCAAGCCATTGTAACATGGCACTACACAGTATTTTTAAGTACCCATCACGAGGATCCACAGCTATAGCTCTGGGGCTTTCCATATCTCCAGCGACAAAAGTTCTTCTAAAACTACCATTTAATTTTGCCACTTCGATCTGATCTAGATTGCTTTCTACCTAAAAATATATTAAATTAAATTATCTCCTTTAATGGAGCTAAAAAATCAATACCCAATATAAATTCTCTCCAATCCAATCTACTGCCAAGCCCTCAGCTGTTGATAACCCTGTATGTACTACCACTTCTATATTTCCCAAAGAGCCACTGACCACTTGTCCTCTATAAATTTTGTCATCCAAAACATCAGTCCAAAACAACATATCAGACCCGTTGTTGTGGTAGAAATCTAAAGCAATAGTATTTTTTAAGCTAGATATAAAAGCTTTTTGACCAAAATTGTGTAGGTCGATGCCGCGAAGTTCGTGGCGATTCGAAAATGCCACAAAAGGTTGGGCACCGTCAGTACTCTTGCAAGTAAAATGATCTTTTTCCAGAGCGTAGCCTTCAAGACACGTACACCTATAGTCTGATTTTCTGGGAACGCAAGTTTGTGAGCAAACACCCCAACTTTCACAAGGGTGGGTTTCTGAGCAGTGGGTCCTATCAGGCTGAAATAAATAATTTTAATTATTTTGAAGAAGTAGATATTCCTTTTACAAGAGAATATTCAAAACATTCTCTTTTAATTTTAATATCCCAAAATGAATAGTCACTTTTTCAAGATAATATCTTAAAACAAACATTCTCTTCTGAATGTTTTTTTAAGGATATTCTTTGTTGGAAAACCCATTCTTTCAGAAATATTCTCTTGGAAATGGTGCGTGCAATTTCCTTTGTAACGTCCTCTTGAGAAGATGGCATTCCTCTTTGAGTACCAAAAGCGAATAAATTCTTTGTTTAATATCCTCTTGGAGATTTTTTTCAGAAATATTCTCTTATAAAAGGAATATACACTTTTTTGCACATTTACTTCTCAAGGGAATACTTCCGAATGAGTATCCTTTCTCCGTGGGAAATTAAAAAAAGAATATTCTCTTTTGAGAAGCATTACTATTAGATATTAAATTTAAAAGAGAATATCTCAAAGAGGAACCTCTTCCACTTTAATATTCTTTAATATTCCAAATGGTATATTCTACCTCCAAGAGAATATTCAAGAAGAAATATTCTGTTGAAAAATATTCTGAATATTCCCTTGAAAAATAAAATGTTATAAAAGTTTCTCTAAAAGTAATAGAAATTATTTGTTGAATATTTTCTTTTAAAGAGATCCTTCCTCATTCCACAAAACCAGTTAAAATATCATATAAAGACCTGCAAATGTAATGGCTCAGGACAGGTACAAACGACGCCTTCAGGTGCGTTGTGACACTCGTGCGAACACACCAAACGCATATCACACATTTTGTCTGGGCATCTCATGCCTTCATCAGTACCATCGACGCAATCGGCACGATCGTCGCAAAGTTGTTCCACAGAGATACATTTAGTGTCGTTGTCGCACAGTCTGAAATAAAGACGCTGTTAAGCTTGGCAAAGAAACTTATTGAATAGGAACCTCTTTCTACTACCTATTAGGGTATTCACAAGAGGTTGGAGAGGCCATTGTTACTGCGCAGTTTATTTTTTCATCACTGCCATCGGCACAATCTGAAAAAACAAAAAATCGTAAATAGGCTTAACCAAAGAGTCTTTTAAATTGTACCTTTTTTACTATCGCATATTTTGTCTGCAGTTATGCATTTGGTATCGTTATCGCAGGACTTATTTGGCGGCGGACAGTCGCCTTTCTGTTTGAACTCGGTTGTGTTCCTCATTTTAGCTGCGTCGCAATTTTTCTCGTCAGATCCATCAGCGCAGTCCAAATCAGAGTCACATACAAACATCTACAAGTATATCATCAATATGTTATAACTTTAAATTTTAAAAACTTATATATACTTTAGGAATGCATTCATAATTAGTACACTGAAACTCGTTGGTTTCACACTGTTTCTTATGACAATCTCTCTCATCAGCCGCATCTGGACAATCCAAAACTCCATCACATCTGAAAATGTAGAATTAAAAAGATTTGCATCATATTAAAAGTTACATTATTTCATATAATATACCTGGCGCTCATTGGTAGGCAATCAGCTTTGGGGAGGCAAACTATCTCCGTCAGAGGATTGCATTTGACGCAATTAATCTCGTCAGAACCGTCTTGGCAATCGTTGATATTATCACAGTAAAAGTGGCTTGAAATACACTGACCATCCTATAAAATTAATCACATAACGCAACTAAATCAGATAATATACATATAATTGGTTTGAAACAGTCTCTGAATTTTTTTTCTTCCAAAAAGAATATTCCATTAAAAATAATGTTTTATTCCATTAAAACTATTTGTTAAATGCCCTTTCTTTAATGCATCATACCGACTGCGCCATTTCTTATGCATGGTATTTCTAGCTAAAACTAAGTTATCGCCAGAAATAAGAAAAAAAAATAAAAAAAAATTATATACAAATGCTGCCATATAATATATATCTACCAGATGATCTAATGTGCGAAATCCATTACTGTATCATAATCCTACAATATTTAAATATAAATATATTTTGTGCATATACCGAGCATGTAAATTCGGTGACGTCACATGTGTTGACCACGCAATCTGCCTCATCACTGTCATCTCCAGGTCCGCAATCGGCCATACGGTCACATTTCCACACTGAGGGGATGCACCTTTTCGAAATCTTGCAAATAAATTGGTTTGGTGGACACTGTTTTGGACACTTACTCGCATCTTCATCGGTACCATCTTGACAGTCCTTTTCGCCGTCACACACCCACTGATGTGCTGTAAAATTAAAGAGCAATTTTGTTATGTCTATCCAATGGCAGGTGTTTCTATAGGACCCAAGCGACTGCGCAATTTTTACCGGGTAATATAGACTTGGTGCATTCTTCGCCGGTACTGCCACCATTGGAGAATATCGTAAACAACTAGTATATACAAATACACGGGTTTAAATAGCGAGTATACGAAAAATTTATTATTTAATTATTCTAAAAGTGTTAGGAAGTATAATTTGTGAAAATTCTAAAAAAAAGTAAATATTTTGATAACTTCAGACGGTCTAACTTGTATTATAATTTATTATTGCAGTTAAAAAAACTTTTTAGATGAGTTCAACTACGGTACCGAGTTTGATTCTTTTTCGTTTATTTTTTACTACCCGAAACAGCGATACATCACACAAACCTCGTACCTGAGTGTTTTATAGTCTCAATAACTGCACTAGCAAAAAACTAAGATACTTAAACAGTATGACAAAACCACGATTTCAATATTATTTTAATGCGATCAACATGACGGCGCGGCGGCGTGAAATACAGACTGATAATTTCTGATTTCTGCCGTTGAAGCGCTGCGGTCGGAATTCGTTGAAATCAACTGAAATGCACCAAGCCAATAGGGCCTAAATTAGTTTTTAAGTAACATATTTGACTTCGCAAACCTACTAGACTAGCCCTGGTCACTTTATTTCCGTGGTCTGTACTTTAATGGATACGACAGAGATAAATATATACGATCGGTTAACAGATAGAGAGACAAAATCAAAAGCGGCATACAGTGTTGCTGGTTCGTACTAGAAATAAAATAATAAAGGAAGATTTTTTTTTTGAGGAGAGGAAAAATCTTTTAAAGACATCTGTCGGATATTCATGACAGATAGTGTGGGATTTCCACCATTTAAAAAACCTCATCTTTTTTTTCACTACATGTTGGAACTACCGGTGAGTATTACTTCAGCATGCAGCGCTGTCTTCTATTTATTCCTTCTGTCTTCTCTTCAGGTTTCTAATATCTTTTTTGGCATATCGGATACAGAATTCCATACAACTCTTGACTTTACATTTGTTCTATTATATTGTTCGGGTCTAATTTCAGTCCTACTTCGTACTCCAGTTTCCTTCACTCTCCTATCCAACGGGGACACGAGAAAAAAGTATGCTCTACATCATCTTGTGTGTTTTCGCAATAGTGACAGCTTGGTGATTCTTCTATTTTATACCTATAGTGGTATGACATGAAACAGCCATGGCCGCTTATCAGTTGTGTTAAGAAGAAATTCAGGTTTCCGTGCCTTCTATTAACCCAAGGTCGTATATCTGGGATCAGTCTTCTTGTCCAAGTTCCAACACTACTTGTTTCCATCCATCTTTCTTGCCAAAAATCTAGGGTGCGATGTTTTTCTAATATTTTTACTGTTCGCTCAGCTTTATATGTGCGACTCCTCTCCCCTGCCTGTAGATCTATGGGTACCACGCCTGCAATCACTAGTAGACTCTCTGTAGACACCGTACGAAAAGCACAACATATTCTTATCGCCAGCTTCCTTTGTATTTTCGTAAACATATTTTTGTATTTTTTTACCTTTAGGACTTCATGCAATATTGGTGCTGCGTATAACATAATTGAATGTGTTACCGCACTTAGCACTTGTCGTTTCACTGATGATGGTCCATTTAATAAAGGAAGATAATATTACAAAAATATATCTAGCTATTCAATAATGTTTATTTATGTTAGGCAGTTGTGTAAGAATCTATTACAGATGTAGTAAAACGTCCAACCCTAAATGCAAATTTTTTCGTAAATACCTACTTGTGGCTTTGATAAAAATTTACTGCGGAAAATGCCACATGAAATATAAAACTGCGAATATCTACGAAACCGTTAAAAATGTTAAATACTCTAATTACAAAAATTTTCATTTTTTATTCTCCATATATTGAAAAAATAATATATAGGGCGTTCCATTTAAAAAGACGAAGAAAAATTATTTTATATTTTAGAAAGTTTGACGTAGAATTTCGAACATCCTGTATGATTTACGATTACCATATTTATAGCAAAGTAAGTAGAGATCATCTAAAGTAAATCCCTATTATAGTTTTGACTTCAGAACAGATTTTTGTATTTTTAATAATTTTTTTAAACAAAAATAAAATATTTATTTTTAATTTATTTATTAATATCTCTGAAACTATCAAAATATATTTAGTCATATCTTAGGAGTATGTAAAGTGATATGAAAGGAAGCCAAAAATACAATAATACCTATATAGGGTGTTCCATTTAAAAAAATCATTCTGATCCACTTACACTTTTTTGAGCCACCCTATAGAAGTTAAAATATTTTCCTAAAATACATCCTAGTACATACTTAAACAAAATTCCGAAGTTTTTTATTCTAGGAGCTAGAGATGCCCGACGCTCTATTGCCGGACGCTGTGTTTCTAAGGTTATAATACTAAAGAACATACATATGCAGGTGGTGTTATCACACTTGAATTGCCTTTCTCCGCATTTGAAATTCTCACAAGGTCCTCCAGGATCAGTGCTTTCGTCCGAACCATCTCCGCAGTTATCTATACCATCGCACAGATATGACTTCGGAATACACTGGTTTTGGCCTGGCAGGTCAGTTTGGCATTGGAAATCATCCTGTAAAAAATGAGTAGCAAAACTCATCTGTTAAAAACTTTACTGGGTAATACCTTAGAGCAAACATTAGGAGGTTTGTATTTTGCAACTTTGAGACATTGTTTGTCTTCGATGTTGTAAGAAAATCCATCTTTACAACTACAAGTTACAGAGCCTCCCGCTGTTTTCAAACACAATTCGGGACAAATACTACAATTAGTTGGCATCTCAGATGTCTAAAAAAAATAAAGTGTCGAAAATTGGAATAGTTACATGCAAGGATCATGTACTTACTCTATTTGTGTCAAAAATTTTCAAGTCCTGCAAAAATACGTTACTTTCGTACACTTTTCTCAAACCATTCTCTTTCTTGTAACTCATAACCGCACTTTTTAACACTTCTACGAAATAGAGCGTGTTATCGCGTCCAAAAATCAATCTTGCAGGACTATCAATAGATTCGTCTATAAAAAAAAGTTACAATTTACATTAGTTTTACTAAGTTCATCTCTTTTACTTACTAAGTTCAATTCTTCTATCTTTTCCCTCCAAAGTTATACTTTGTAAATTTCTTAATTCCTTGTCAGTCCAATACAGTCTACCAGCTTTAGAATCTATAGCTATTCCGCTAGGCCAGTCAACACCTTCGCTTAAGAATTCTCTTTCCGAGGTACCATCCATGTTTGCTGTCATAATTTTACCTTTTCCGGTTTGCTGTATACCCCAGCTCACCCAAAACATGATTCCTGAAAATTATAAGAAAACTATCATTAGGAAGATTACCAGATTTTACATATCCTACAGATTGTGCAATTTTTTATACACCCTTAAATTAAAACTTTAAAGACCAAATATTACCTCTGCTAGGATCCAGAACGATTGATGTAGGCCTAAAAACACTGCTACTGTGAAACAGGGTTCTAGATATGCTGGTATTAGAGAGTTTGACGACACCGATCAAATTTTTCTTCCAATTATTGTAATATAAGTTTCCCGTGGTCCAATCTAACGCCAAATAATCGCATTGAACATCTTTTAACAGAACTCTACTTGAATTTACCTAAAAAAACATTACTTTAGGTGTAAAATCATTAAGTACTCTTCGAAGTCTTACTGAATCAATTAATACAGTTTCCAAAGTTTCATCTTGATCGTTGGCATAAATAATACTCTTTGAGGTAGCGTCAAATTCCACTGCTCTAGGTCTCCTAACCTTCATGATAGGCACCATGACCTCTCTGCCTAAAAAAAATCAAGTTCAGATAATTCCATTGGATTTTAATGATAGAACCTAAACCTGTGCTCAAGTCCACGCCTCTGATAGATTGAGGTACGATTCTAGTGATTAACATGAACATATCTGGTGTTTTTATAATGCATTTATCGTCAAATAAGGTATATCCTGAAGCGCATATGCATTTTTTTATTGCCACCCCTGTTAAAGTCCAGCTGGGAATGCACAAGTGATCACAATGTGATGTTTTACAAGGATGTGCCACTAAAAAGATACACACAGTTGAAAAAAGAGTAAAGATGATGTAATTCACCAAAAGCATTACCATCTGGTTGTCTTTGTCTATGAAATACGTGTAGATTGAACGGTCTACTGATATTAGAAATCACACTATAGACCAAGAGATTTTTGTTCCTTTGAGAAAACTTGTTGAATTCCAAAATGCTGTTGTTGTACCATGACGAAAAAAAGACCCTATAAGTAGATTTAGTTTAGAGAATGAAATATACAAACATACAGTGATATACCTGTTTTGAAAGACACTAACACCATAGGCATTTCTTACATTAGCTCCTCTTGCCATGGTCTTCCTGTTTTTTCCATCATAGTCTACTTTTTCTACATAATCTAGATAGGTATCGACCCAGAATACATACTTTGTTGGGTAGTCAACTGCAACACCTACAAAAATAGTTTAGTATGAAGATTATTAATATTTTTTTCTGATATGAACTAACCATATGGATAAACTATCTTCACATCAACAATTGGCTTTCTCCCTGTTCCATCTAAGTTGCACCTCTCCAGCATGGGTGGGGATGTGCCCCATTTAGTAAAAAACATATAACCAGTTGTTGGATCCAAAGCTAAAGCCCTGAAAATAAATTCGTTAAAAAATGTAGTCAAAAATTTTTGATAAAAAGAAACCTGGGTTTGGCCAAATTCTGTTCAACTAGAATATTGCACCACTGTAGGGCATTGTTGCATAGGACTATTGTTTCTTTTTGGTCTTCTAAAAAGTACCAGTTTCCTGATACCCAGTCGTAGGCCATTTGTTGAATAGATTCCACCTAAACATGAATGATCAAAATAAGAATTTAAAAAATGTATACTTATTTACCTCGACCAACGGTGATTTAACCTGCAATGTCCATCTTTGATTTAAATCGTTGATGTTAGCACAAACGATATATGATTGACTGACGTTATTGTGAATATAACAGATAGTATGATCCCTGTATCAAAAAATATAGTATATAGTAACTAATATAGGGCTTATATAGATAAAATTGTACCTATGAATAAATTCCAAAGCATTGCTGTTTAGAACTTGCAAGGTTGAATTTCCTGGCCATGCTTTACCCTCCAAAGTCACCCTTTTCAATTCAGATTGAGTGGAAAATATCAAAGATGGTGGTTCAGTTGCTGGTACTATAATAGCCAATTCATTTATAATTATTACAAAATTATTTCAATTATGCTTATCTCATTTTAGTTAAAATTGAGTAAATGTAAGAGTTCTGAATTATAGTCTGTCCAAGACGACATCCAAAAAATGACAGAAAATACAATTTGCTTGTCAATTAAAATGAGTCACAAACTTTCACTGTGCATTAACTGTCAGGGATCCTCCCATTGGAAGACTATACAGGTTCGCTGATATGTATCGGAACGGTTGATTATTAGGTAAAATATACAAAGGTATAGCAAAAAGCTAAATACAAAAGTTATAGGGTTTTTAAATGTCTATTAGCTAGTAGTAACTTTAAATATATAGGGTCGCTCATCAAGTTGTGGCACATCAAAATTTATTCTTTTTAAATGCAACCCCTTGTATATTATTGCATATTTCAATTCTTCCTTTAATTCTAAGCAATAATCGTAATACACCTTAAATTCAACCATTTCCGAGTTACGAAGTTTTGATTTTGAAATGCTAAACAAAAATTTTGTAATTTCCAAACTTGATTTAATTTCATTTTATACATCTATAAATGCTAACTTGACAATTAATGTCGAATATTATTAAGTATCACAGTTTCTGCAGAATGGCATCGTTAAATGAAATCAAACGCATCGAAATTTTAATGCTGATAGGGTATAAGTAAGTGATATTTTCAAAAGTCAATAACTCGGAAACGGTTGGTTTGAGGTACATTCTGTGTATCTCGATTTTTGTTTAGAATAGAAGGAAGAATTGAAATATACAATAATATAAAAGGGGTTCTATTTAGAAAAATGAATCTTTGATGTGCCACGACTTTATGACCGACCCTGTATTCTTAAAGTTATTATTATGCTTTTACTTTTATGTTTAACTTTTTCCAGTACCTCGTATATTTTACCTAATAATCGACCGTTCCCATACATATCAGCGACCCTGTATATATTTTTATATAAAAATATTTCTTTAGTAGGTCTGATAAATTTCAATAACAGAAATATAATTTTTATTTGCCATTTAAAGTCAAAAATTGACGACTTATTTGAGTTGGGTGGCACAAAAGTGGCTCACCCCTATAAATTTTTTTATTTTTTTCAGATAATAAACGAGATTTTGTATGTTAGTATATGACATAAATTAGAATTGTCGCATTTAATTTTTTTTGGCCACTTCCTGTTTCACCAGGAATGACTACAACTTTTGATTTTTAAAGGGGGCCCTCGGTATTTTTTTACTTCTACTATTGACATGTTCGCATATGGTTTATTTGAAATTGTAACATGCGGTTCATAACGACAATTTAACTCAAAATACCAAATGTTTGGTACCAAATTATTTGTAAAAATTAGCGCCGGGAGGCACGTATAGCCGCCCATACTAAAATATGTTAATAAAAAGTTGGTAGGCAGTTCTTTTAGTTTCAAAGTAAAGGAATTTTTCCATTTTTTTTTATCTCAAAAACTGCGACTTTGACTGATTTAGATGTTATTATAAATTTTGTTGCAAATATTATTCCTAATCTTAAATTGAAGACCGCCTTTCGCTAGCTACTGTAATTTTGGAGTTACGATTTTTTAAATTTTTAACCCCCTCCCATACCATACTCCTAACCAAACCCCCACCCCCACCACTAATGGCCAGATTCTCGGGTGCCACAGTATTTTTGTGCCAAATTTGGTTAAAATCGGTTTAGCAGTTTTTGAGTTATCGTGGACAGACGGAGACAGGAAATATTTAAAAATGAAAATATTTTGTATTTAGGTCATTTATGACGCAAATAACTCATTTTAAGTAAAGTAAAAAAAAAATTTTTAAGTGAAGTAAAAAAAAATTCCTGTTGGTATGGTCGGCTAAAAAATGCTTTTTCCAAATATGCTAATGAGCCACCCTCGTTCCATTTTGGATTATGATTAAAAATAAGATTTAAGCAACTTTTAACTGCCCAGGACAAGACACGAAAAACATTAGATGATCAAATTAAATCTATTTTTCAACGAGTTTTTAATACAGTCATGGCACTCTAGATTGAAATTTAAAATACGATTTTATTTTAAATAAAAATGTCAAAAGTTGATATATGATATGTAATTCTATTCAAAATGTCATTTTCTATCGAATAAAGTAAAAAAAATACCGAGGATGCTATTTAAAAATTCAAAGTTGTAGTCATTTCCGGTGAAACAGGAAGTGACCGAAAACAATTGTATACGTCAATCAATCCTAATTTATGTGATATACTATCTTACCAAATCTTGCATTTTTATCTGAAAAAATAAAAAATGTTCTAGGGGTGAGCCACTACACACCCGGTATAAATAAACTTATTTTTTTTAATATAAATATGTAAATGGCGTTACTTTAAAATGTAAATTCATTAGTGACCCAATTACCATACAATAACCATTAAACATACATGCATCTGCTAAAATAACTGGTTTAACAATTTTAGTTTATCTTTTCTATCTAGCCTATTAATGAGCTAAATTAGGTAATTACCACAAAAAAAACATTTACTGGAAGCTAACAAAAACGTTTCTTTTTCTATGAAGCTGTTGTTCATTTATCCCAAAAAACTATCAAAAATATAAAAAATTGAAGCCACAAAAATTGGTAAAACATTAATACAATTTTATTAAATAACGCCCTAGACCAGTGATATATGAACCAACCAAACCAACATCATAATTTTGCCCTTAAGATGACTTGGCAAGAACTTACCATTTATCGCTATACAATCTGTCCCATTTTGGATATAGCCTGAAACACATGAGCACTGGTAGGAGCCCACGTTGTTAGTGCATATTTGGGAACAAGTATCATCATATTCGCATTCATCTGCGTCAACACAGGTACTCCCTTCGGGTCTTTGACCAGAAGGACAGTAACACTTTGGACCTATGGATATATAACAAATATCAAGTAATAATATTATTAAAAAAATATTTAAATATATTTTGGAAGTTTTTTGCATCTATTATACAGGGTTGTTCACCATATACGACACGAAGTATTGTAGCTAAACGATTAGATTTTTACAAGATACAGAGCGTCCCAAATAAATAAAAAATATCAAAGTTGTATTTTTTTAAATGGAACACCCTGTATATTATTATATTTTTAGTTTCTACTATTAAAATAAAGGTAAATTTGGTAAAGGTTTATTACACTTAACCTTTACCGTTTTTGAAATATTTTCAATTTTGTGAAATTGCAGTCAAAATTTTAAGGCTTCATTTCTCCGAGGGTATCAAAGTTTTTAATACTAAATATTTACTGAAGTTTATTTATTGATCAGTTATTGTGTTGCAATAATAAAAATTATACTACCTTATACAGAGTCTCTAAAATTTTATTTTAAATAATTACTAGCTTTAAACGGCAATAACTTCTTTAATTTAAATGGAACACCCTGTATATTTTATGAGAATCAGATGCACAATTTAATTGTCTATCAAATTGTGTTATACCATTTTTACCTATCTCTTTAAGTTTCCACAGAAAACGCATTTTCTTGTAATTTAAAACTCATTTATCCCATTACCCATGGAATACTGACAATTCAGATTATTTTTAAAGATGTACCAAATTTTAAGAGTACAGATACTAATATTGGCGATATAGTTTGTTTATTTCATTAAAAAAATAAAAAAATGTTTAAATATTTGTTAAAAAGGACCAATTAATATGATTCCAGTATTCAAACTATATTAATTGACTGTTTGCGTTGATTAATAATAATTGCTCCAAATACTAAAAAACTGAATTTTGTATGTGTATTAGACAGTGTAGTAAAAAGCGAGGTAAAAAGTAACACCTTAAATATGATATTTCATTTTTTGACAAATGCTTATTTATAACAACAGAGACATTCATTTTCATAACTTATTATTATATTGATTTCTGATTCAAATCCACATTTATTTAGAATAATTTATTAACGAACATAATAAAATATTTAATTAATTAGTATTTGGGCGGAAATAATGGTGATATATTTAATTAATGGTATACTTTTTATAAAGATTTAAATAGTTTTCTTTTTACATACAAATGGCTAGTAATATCATTTTGCCAAAAACGATTATATTACTAGCTTGTACATTTTGTACATTTGTGGCTTTAAAAACAATCTTTAAGCTTTAAAATGTCAATATTCCAAGGGTATATTGATAAATGAGGTCTAAATTATAAGAAAATGCATTTTCTACGAAAACTTGAAGGGATAGGTAAAAGTGGTATAATACAATTTGATAGACAATTAAATTGTGCATCTAATTCTCCTAAAATATACAGGGCGTTCTATTTAAATTAAACAAGTTATTACCGTTTAAAGCTAGAAATAATCTATACTAATATATAAAATCCTTAAGTGACTGACATACTGATTAATCACGATCCTGCTCAAACCACTCAACGTAAGAAGCTCAATTTTGGCATACAGGTTGATTCTAGGGTGTAGAGGTTCGATAAGAAGGGATTTTTCGAAATTCCAGTTCCAAGAGGGTGAAACCACCCCCTCAAATATTACAATATTTTTTATTTAAAAAACGGTCAAGTTTCCGAAAAAACGCTTAAACACGTATATTTTTTAAGCGCTTATTTATGAAAGCGCTTGACGTAAAAAGCTGATTTTTGGAAAACAAATTGACTTTAGGGTGTAGAAGTTCGATAGGAAGGGATTTTTCGTAACTCGAATTCTAAGGGGGTGAAACTATCCCTCAAATATTAAAATATTTTTTATTCAAAAACCGGTGAGTTTTTCGGAAAAACTCTTAAACACGTATATTTTACTTTGTTGTTTAACATATTTTAAAATTTTTTATAAATTTATACAGGGTGTTTCATAAAATATGACCATTGAGTAATCACGATTCTGCTTAAACTGCTTGACGTTTAAAGCTGATTCTTGGTAAACGGATTTATTGTGGGGTGTAGAGGTTCGATAAGGAGGGGTTTCTCGAATCTCAAATTCCAAGAGGGTGAAAACGCCCCCCAAATTTTACAATATTTGTTATTTAAAAAACGGTTAGTCTTTCGGGTAAACGCTTGGACAAGCATAATTTATTGGGTTTTCTACATATATTGAAATTTTTAAAAAAATCATACAGGGTGTTCCAAAAAGTTGGGTAATTTCTTAACCACCATTCTGCTTAAACTGCTCGACGTAAAAAGCTTATTTTTGGCAAACGGATTTTTGGAAAGTCAAATTCCAACGAGATGAAACTACCCCTCAAATATTACCAAGTTATATAATAATATCGCCATATTGTTTTTTTCTCATGCTGACATAAATGTGAGAAAATTTTATCCAGTTTGTATGTTAATGGAAATTCTTGCTTTGCTTTATCATCACCATTGCAAATGATTAATTCGACGCGAACGAAGTCGCTGGTACACGCTAGTTTAAAATAAATTTTTAGAAACTCTGTATGAGGTAGTATTATTTTTATTATTGCAACACAATAACTGATCAATAAACAGACTTCAGTAAATTTTTAGTATTAAAAACTTTGATACCCTTTGAGAAATGAAGCCTTAAAATTTTTACTGCAATTTCACAAAATTGAAAATATTTCAAAAACTGTAAGGTTTAAGTGTAGTAAACCTTAATCAAATTTACCTTTATTTTAATCGTAGAAACTAAAAATGTAATATACAGGGTGTTCCATTTAAAAAAATACAACTTTGATATTTTTTCTTTATTTGGGACACTCTGTATCTTGTAAAAATATTTTTAAATTGTAGCTCTAATAGTCCTTCAACGAACCCAAAACTAACAATTTGTAAAAATCTAATTATTTAGCTACAATACTCTAGAATTACTAGACAACTGATAAAGATAATATTTGTTTTCGCATATGCTACTTTTTTTAATCTAATTTAAACATAGCGCAAAGGCTATCATGTGTTATTTTAAGTAATAGTCTAGTTTACATAATATTTTTCACAGAAACCGCATAAAAACTATTTAAACAGCACAAACAGATATCAACATGATTGACGTCTAGTATTACCATTTACCATGATGGAGCCCGTGGTTATTAAAAAAACACAATCACTTATAGAATATCTAATAATAAAACTATATTTCATAACATAGTCAAAAAAATTTTAAAAACTGTGTACTTCATGTGTTATTTTAAGTAATAGTCTAGTTTACATGTTATTTTTCAGAAAAACCATATAAAAACACATTTTCTTTAGAAAGTCATTTTTAATAGCACACAAAAATTGATCTTTAAACTTAAGTCTAATTAAACAGCACAAATAGATATCAACATGAGTATTACCATGATGGACACCGTTGTTATTAAAAAAAAACGCAATCACTTATAGAATCTCTAATAATAAAACTATATTTCATAACATAGTCAAAAACATTTTAAAAACTGTGTAATTAGTAGAGAAAATTAAAAAAAAATCACTATTCTTTGTATTGTTTGTTTACCTAATGGTGTGGGTTTACAACTGTAAGAACAGTGTGTTTTATCACAGGCGAAAGTTTCGTTCCTGCAATAGTCCCACTCATCACTATTTCCGGGACAGTCCCCCAATTTCCCATCGCAAAATAGGTCTAAGTGGGCGCAAGCTGGCCCATCTGGACAGGGAGCCTCATTCCATCTGCAATGGGTCGGCTGGCAGTGTTTCGGATCTTCGTCCGATTTGTCCACACCAAATTCCGAGGACGTCTACCAATTTAAAAAAAATATATTGTTACTAGAATAAAGAAATAGCTAGCCTAGGACTGAAGGCATTTTGTACAGGGTGTTCCACTAAGAACAGCTCTCGGCTGTATCTCGGAAAGTATTAGCCGTAAGGCCTCCGGAAAAAATATTTATAACTAAAGGGGCTATGAGAAATTGCTGGAAATTATTTTCAAGTTTGTAAAACGGCCGCTAGAGGGACAACTGCTATGGAAAATCAGAAAATAGAATTTTTACAGAATTTTGCCTAGATAATGGGTACTATAAATAGCTTCATAATCTTCAGTAAATTTTGGATTTTTTTTGTTACAACCAATTTCCCCTATCTGCTAAAATAAAGTGGTGGGGGAAGGTTACACCTGTCTTTATTTAAATGTTAATAACTCCGGACTGGATGATCAGAATCCAATAAACGAGTGCTCGTTTAAAAGAGCGTTTCGTACTCTATAGTATACCATAAAATAATAATAATAAGGTTTTGAACGTAAACGCTAGGGGGCGCTTTCTGACAATTCAACAAACATAGCGCGTTTTTTCAAAAAAATTAAATATGATAGTATATGTAATTTTAGCTAACAGTAAAGAGTAGTAAAAGCTTAAAAAGTTAGCGAAAACCGCATCTTGATATCTTCTTTCAAACCGAAGATATTAGCAAAATTATAATAAATACCAAAAAATAAGCCCTTAATTACATTATTTTTACAACACGGTATAAGTAGCCCTCTTGATTATGCCCATTCTAATAAAAAAATAAGATAGAAACAGTTAGTTTATTTTAAAATCGACGATAGACCAGAATACCATAATACCAGATAAAAGTTCCTTTTGAGGTAATAGTATAAACGTCAAATTGTTATTAGATCAACATTTTGATAGTCTCAGTAGCGTTTTTTATCTTTTGATTACTTTTTCAAAATGCCCAATGACTTCAACTACTTCAAATAATAAAGGCATTTTGAATGTCGGTTTTTTGGAGAACCAAAAAAAAGAAATATGAAAAGAATGGTCGAATTTCCAAACGGGCCAACAAATCGCATCGACGAAGCATATAAACGAACCGACCCAGCGGATAGTGAGTATGGAGCTTTACTGAGAGACGATCATCAGATTACCGGCGCTAGAGACTTCACTGAAAAAAAGGATCTCTCAGTCGAAATGAATATGACTTTGACCCAAAAGATTGGCGCTTTTCAATAGGGCCAAGAACGACGTTTCTTTACCCAAAGCATTAACGATCTTTTCATAAGCTTTAAAAAATTACTTTAGAGAATAGAAGAATCTATCTGTCCAAAGTATTTCACTCTTGACCCAAAATGAATATGCAAAGAAGTTCTTGCTACAAGAACAATATATAGTCTCTTTGATTTATGCAAAAATTCTTGATTGAAAAGGGACATTTCTTGATTAAAGAGACACTTTTCTTAAACAAATAGCGATACTATTGACTCAACTAAAATTTATTTTGATCTAAGAGAAGTCTATACATCATATACAGGCATATTACGAGGTAAGGTTTTCCTGGTCTGTAGTAAGTAAAGTGATATTATTTTCCTCGATAGTAGTTATTTCTGCTTCTTCACTCCTTGGTATTTTTTGGGGTGGTTCATCACTCTACAAATTACAAAGAAATGATACATCACGATTAATCAAAGTAAAGCAAATAAATTATATTAAAATTATAAGCTATTTGGTCACATTTTGAATTTTTTAATAGAACGACTTGAAATTTGTATAATTTATATAAATAAAATTTTTGTAATTATTTGTAGAAAAAAATCGATACCTATATTCTTATTCTATCTATAGTCACACATGCATTATCTAAACAGGTGCATTAGGTAAATGTCTCTTACCTTCAAATATAGCAAATAAATGCTCTAATTTCCATTTTTTCAGAAGCTCCTTTAAAGAATCCATATATCCTAAAATTTGCCCATAAAAAATGACAAATGCATGTTAATAACGATCACTAATTTGTTATACGATATGCGTTTAAAAAGCAAATTATGCAAAATTCCAAGTGGAAAATTCCAAGCAACAAAACCCGTGCGTACTATGATCTATGATGTACGACTGATCGGACTGCCGACTGATTGTATATATCGTCCTTCGTCATCGTCTTTGCGTGTTGTTGTTATTTTTCATCAAAAGAGTATTTAGCTATTGGAAAAATGACCATGTTTCTTGAATGAAGTACTTCCTAGCGTATTTTTCTTATTATCTTAAAACAAAGTAACTTGCACTTGGTTGAATGAAAGTAGATTCAAGAGAAATTTTCGAATTTTTCAAGAGAACCAGTTTTCTTGAGTTAAGAGAGTTTTTCTTCAGGCAAAATATTTTCTTTTACGCTAAAATAAATTCTCTTGCCACTAATTTTTTTTTCAAGAACGATGACGACTTTAGTTCAAGTCTATCTTTTTTATCAGTGTTGTAAATCTAACATATTTCACAGATATGATATTCACTAATTGCAATCTCGGAAATGTTTGGTAATCCCGGAGTTTATTCCGAAATTAGAAGGAAATTAAAAGCGGAACTGAAGAACCTGGAAGGCTCCACAGGACAGTGTCTCCTCAACGAACACCTCAGTAGATTGAAGCTGAGAAACAACGGCGAAAGGAGATTCTGTGGAGAAAATGGGGAAACACCAAAACACCTTGTCACTAAGTGAGCCGAGACGACAACCGTTCGTGCCATAAACTGTGGTACGGTTGATGTCGAAGACGCAGAGTTGGCCTCTGTGAAGCCGTCTCAGATACTGACTTTTGTCAAAGCCCTGAGACTGATGTATGATGAATTATAATTCGTTATAACTCAAGGAAAGAGAACACACAATAGATCTGTAAGGTCGCGGTGATTAACCCGCCTAAATTTTGCTACAGCATCAGCAGCGCCATCTTAAGTCTTCCCTCTTTTATGACCTCTTTTCAATACACGAAGATAGTTCTCCTTATCACTACCCTCCAAAATTATGGTATATTCATACCATTTCATACACGGAATATGCAACCAAAAATATGTTATGTCCTAAAAAATGCTTATGACTCAACGCAATGTTAGTTGCCTACCTCTTGGCGTAATCATTAATGGCTATTTTTTACTATTTCCGGTGTTTCAAAAAACATCTCTCGTGGCGAGATTCCTCTTGTAAAGATAAGGTTTACTTTTTATATCAACAGTTCGACTGTGCTTTGGTCGTAACTACAGGATTTTTTTTTGCTCAAGGTTAGTTTTTTAACATGTTTTTTTGATTCATTATAATTTTCTTCTAAGTGTTTTTAGCGTTTCAAAAATGAAATTTTGAGGGTAGAATTTGTATATTATAAGTGCTAAAAAAATCACTGGACAATTTTTCTAAAGAAAACCTGTGCACCATTGATGAGATAAACGTAATTTTATTAATCATAATAAATATTAATAAAATTAAAATAAAATGAATAAATAACTATTTACTAAATATAATTTATTATTAGATTTTATTAAGATTTATAATGGATCTATAACACTGATGTTCTTCCATATCAAATTCAATAAAAATAAAGGTGATTAAGATAACTACAAAAAAGACCCACTTTTTCAACATTTTAATATCTTGTAACTTCAAAACTGTGCATTTCACCACCTTTGTTTATAGGAACTTTTTTTCATATTTTCTGATAAAGAATAAATTAATACTTATCTTTGGTATTTATTTTGGCCAGTTAATGACATTAAATATTTAAGGTTGCTATTAGACTTGGATTAAGGCAAATTAATAAAATTGCGTTTATCTCATCAAGGAGACCGAAATCGATAAAATATCAAGAGACAACTTTTAATCCACATTACAGCGCTTTCAGATGGAGCGGAGCGTCCGCGAGTTCCCTGAGTTTAAATGAATAATTTCACATGGGTCGCGTATGCTCCGTCCGGATGATTTCGTCTGACGGCTATCTTGAAAAAACAAGTACAACAAGCAACGCTGTTACAATGCTTTCAGGTGGAGCGGAGCGTGCGCGACGGACCGTCCGCGACTTGGAGCAAGTACCATGAGTTTATATGAATAATTTCACATGGGTCGCGTATGCTCCGTCCGGATGAGTTCGTCGACGGATATCTTGAAAAAACATCCGCGCGGACGCCACGGTCCGCTCCATCTGAAAGCGCTGTTAAACGATCTACACAACTGTTCTAACAAGAAAATTAGAAAAATATTCCATATACATGTCGCTGATAAATCTGTGGACATTTTTTAGCATTAAAACATGTCGCACTTGTCGTAACTTTTACCTTCAAAATTTCTTTCAAATCTCTAAAAGCACTAGAAATAAAATTATAATAAATTGAAAATCAGATCTATCTAACCCCCTGTAACTATGTTGATGATAAAAAAGCAGGATCGGACCTATGTTGATATAAAAAATAATCTTAATTTATTATATGTTTTTTGGAATACCCGGTATATGTATAATAAATCAACAGAATTTTTTTAGGTTCCAAATTCTAAAGGAGCATTCTCACGACTCGTGTACTTGACAAACATTTGTAATTGATATACAGGGTATAAACGGTGCGTCGGGCATCTATACAGAATTTCTAAGTTATTTATTATAGGAATTACGCCGCACTCCCGCCAGACTCTGTAGGCCAATAAAAAATACTTGCCAAGTACACGAGTCGTGAGAACGCGCCATAAAAGAAATAAATAACTAGAATATTAGATACACACCCCGCAATCGGCTTCATCGTCACAGACCCACCCATTGGGCAGGCATTTGCCAGTCAGAGCACATCTGAACTGCTCTGGGCGACATGTAGTGCTCTCACAGTTGCTGGTCTCGTCGGATCCATCCTCACAATCCACGTGGGAATCACAGCGCCAATTCTGGGGTATACATTGACCGGACAGGCATTGAAATTTGTTTGGGCCACAAGAAACTGAAAAAGATTGATTATTTATCGATAGATTTCAACGTACATACTTTTAAAATTATTATTGCATCGACAGTCGACAGCGTTTTAAGAGAAAATACGGCGCGAAATCACTTTTTGATTTAAGCCGAAACACTAAAAGTGGTTAAAGCGACCACCTCAGCCCGGAGATTGACTTTAACGCTTGTTCGCTGCTCGCGACGAGCATTTCGTTCGGAACAGATACGCGAAAATCTCGTTTCGAATGTTCGGCTCGATGTGCTCCAGTATTTTTTCAGCTTTTAAAAAATGTCGGATCTAAAAATTGGGACTTTACGTTTATTCAAATTTTATATACAGGATGCTACAAATTCGGGGGACGAGCATTGGTTTCTCGGTAACCGTAATAGATACGAACGTGGTTATATTGGGGCAAAGTTGCGCTTTGGGATGTCCACCAAGATGCCATCAAAAAAGTTTTAAAAATTTCAAGGATCGCTGATTTTTTTGAAAAAAAAAACTTTTTATTTTTTTCTGTCGTTCCTTTTTAGAAAATCAAAAAACTAATTGAACATTCTCATAGCCACATTATTAGGGCTATCTGATAGTATTTTAGATTTTCAAATTAGCTAATAATTTGTGAGATATAGAAGCCAACCAAAGTTTTTTTAAATACGGACTTGCATTTTTTATTCGTTTTGAAAGAACTCGGTCTCCTGACTAGAATGATATGCCACCGAGTATGCCACACTTAATTTTTTTTTTGTTTCAGACATTTGAACACAATTTATTTAAACTATTTTTTAATTGTTTCTGAAACTTTGAAACGCGATTATTCGGCAACCTCTGGACAAAAAGTAACAATGTTCCTATACCACTGAAAAGAAGCTAGCTCTGAAAAGAGAATTAAACGCCTTTTAAAACGATGTGCCACTTGACCCCCATTGCCATTTAAGATTGTAAGGGTGATATATAAACATCCTAGGGACTTAAAAGAAAAAGGCTAAAATATCAATTTAAAGTGTCCCCCTTACAAATGAAATTGACGTGTCTTTCAGATTTTTCATATTTTTAACTGCAAGAAAGATATTAAAGGTGGGAAGTTTTAAAATTGACAATTGACACACTGTATAATAATTTGGAATGCAATCGGAAGTCTTTGAGTTCGTCAATTTTTAAACTAAAATTAAAGAAACGTTGTTATCTCAGCTGACATAGACATTCTTTATTCTTTTTCATCTCTCTTTATATTTTTATATTTTTGTCTTTACATTTGTTTGTTATTTAATTATAGTAACATAATATAACTCTTTTTCTCGTTCAAATTCTATGATTTCTAACTTACTATATTAGTTTTTATTACAATTTTCACACAGTTCCTTTTTTGCATCGTGTTATAATTTAGTTTATTATTTTTTATGTAAATTACGTTGCAACATAAACGTTATTATTATTATATAAATAATAAAAAAATTTATGAACGTAATGTCGTTTCCAAAATCAGTTATTATTATTATTATTAATTAAACATATTTGCCGCAACTTTTTGATCTCTGTCTGTATATATATATATATATATATATATATATATATATATATATATATATATATATATATATATATATATATATATATATATATATATATATATATATATGTATATTAGGAAAATTAGGTTTTCATTAAAAATATGATGAGCCTAATGATCCTGCAGCAGGATCTTAGCCTATAACTACAATTAAAGTGATTGTATCTACGTAATATAATCTAAGGTATCTACTAGAAATTTGATTGGAATACGTACGTTCACCGAACCAATACTGACTTGTAATGTAACAATTAGCTAAAAAGACGACAGCCGATTGGAGCACCGTTGTTGTTCGCGAGCCGCTCGGTTCGTCGATTTTTTTCCGGCATTGACTAGCGAATGCTCGTTTTGTAACACGTTACGTTACAAGACTCGGCTCAAGTCAATCTCCGCCTACATTGCGTAAAGCGTTAGGTTTAAGGACGAACATAGCTATGAATGAAATTAAGTTGCGACTTAAGACCCTATTTTCTAGGCTATAATATACTCATTTTCCTATTTAAATCTGATGTCATAAAGTTAAGTAACTACATATACAGGGTGGTCCGAACTGTATTCCGGAAGCTTCGGCAGCATATACTGCAGATAAAAATAAGTAAAAAAGTTCGTATAAATGTATGTCCTAAAATGCTTAATTTCTGAGATACAGAGTGTAGAAGTTTCATTTTTTATTTCGATTTTTTTCCAAATAATTTCTGAAATAACGTCAATATTTGCATGAAAATTGGTGTCTGGGAGTTTTTTGACATGAGAAATTTGATTTTAATGTCAATATGACTCCTATTTGTAGGGGGCGCCACCTACATGTGTTTTAACCGTTTTGAAGAGTAATAACTTTTCGTCCGTAGCTGTATAAAACTAAGGAATAAAAAAATATACATTTCCGTATTTTTTTACGTAAAAAATGTCTCTTGGTAAAAATTGCTACGATCATCTGACGGCAACTGTTTTCAAGATATTTAGAATGGAAATAGTCAATACATGTCATTATGACAGGTATTGATAATTTCGATTCCAAATATCTTGAGAATCATTACTCATAGCGATTTTTGTCAAGAGATATTTTTTACCTAATAAACGTCGTAAATGTATATTTTTTTACTCAGTAGTTTTATACAGGATGGACGCAAAAAGTTATTACTCTTCAAATCAGTTAAAAAATATGTAAGTGGCGCCCTCTAGGAGTAGGAGTCATATTGCCAATTACCATTGTCATATTACCAATTTTCATCCAAATATTGACGTTACTTCAGAAGTTATTTGGACTAAATCGAAATAAAATGAAAATGAAATTTCTACATCCTGTATCTCCGAAACTAAGCATTTTAGGACCTACATTTATACGAACTTTTTTGGTAATTTTTATCTGCGGAATATGCTGCCGAAGTTTCCGGAATACAGTTCGGACCACAAATATGTTGTAAAAATCTGTGTTTATCCGATTTTAGAATGTTTTTATATGATGATTTTGATAAATAATTTTTATTGTCATTATCGCGTTTAATTTACTGCTCTGGGTCATTGGGTATTATTTAAACAAATTCAAGTAAACATTAACCGATATTTGTAACAATTAAAAAAACATAAATGATGATAAATAAGTCTAGTGCAGCTGGTGCAATATTATCTTTTCTTTGGAACTACGTACGTCATTATTTTCATTTGCATGAATATACAGGACGAAAAATTATTTAACGTTTTATTCACTCAATAGCCTGTATTTAGTATTTAATAATTATATAGTTAAACGAACATACGTATAAATAAAATATTTAAGCATTTTAAAGACATTAACCACATACAGCATAACACTGTAACATCTGACACATTTTTAAGTTATTTAGTCTGCTGTTAAACATATTCAAGTCGTTATAAAATAAATTAATGGCTCATTTCACATGGTAACTGATAAACAAAATTTCAAACGTTCGTCATCATTTAGAAAACGATCAATTCATAAATGACAATAACAAAAATATATAGTCCAACAAGACTCAATTTTAGAGAAGTTTGAAATAATAATAAAAACGATAATTATTAAATATAACAATTTTCAGAAAGAAATAAGTTTGTATAATATGTATTCAAAACTGAATACAATACAAGATAATGCAATATATATTAAACTGCAAGCTGCAAAGTAATTGATGATTCATAGTTCACTCTCAATAATTTAAGTGCACCAACAAATGCATCTCATAAATTGGTTGCAATGGAATATAAAAAAAATAAATCAAATTAATACTTTTAACAAAGGTATGATAAGTAAAATAATTAACGAGAAATTGAAAATTATAATATGACATACAATATACAGGATGTCTAATAAATATCACCATAGTAAAAAAGACATATTTGGTGTTTTATATTAAAAAAACGGAAAATATTATTCAATAAATATCAATTTAGGGTAAAGTCGTAAAGTCTGTCTAACGAGAATATACATTAGTTAGTTGTTACATTAAATATACATAGAAAAACATAATATACACGGAATATATTATTACATACATTAGTTAATTTATTAGTTCACAGGTAAATGGTATTTTCTGTCATTTTTGGATTTCTGTCACTTCTGGATGATGTTTTACAGCGCAGCGGATATACAATAGTGTACCACGGCTGTACACTGTACCGTAGTTCTGCGTTCAGTCGACAGAGTGAGTGGTTACCGGATACAGTCTTACCAAAACTACTGATTAATCCGCAGATTTACGGATGTTGGGTACAATACGTTAATAATATGGATTTTGTATCATAAAACTATTTAATATAATATTATGGTACGTATATATCGGCGCGCTGCGCCACGAACGCGCAGCACGCGCGCATCGATTCGCCTGTATTGGTACGTGTTTCAGGTTGCGCGCGCTCTGCGCGCAAACAGTTTCCCGCGCCGCAAACCATCTCGGTTTTTCGACGCTCCGCTTTCTATGTTTGTTGTTCAATTGGGACGGCCGGTGAAATCACCGCGCGCATTTATCAGTGACTATGTTGTTTCTTTGTGTTTTCTTTGAATAAATTACCTTTTTTGTGTATTTCTTTGAATATTGTTTATTAATGGAGTGTTTAAAGAGTCATCACTAAAATTGCGTACTTCTTCTCGGACGATAGAGACATGATTAACGACTAAACGAATGTTCGCGCGATTTCTATGGATTGCAGGATGTTCGTTAAAACAATAAAAAATATGCGGCGGTGCCCGGCGCGCGCGCTGCGTCTTCGCGGCACAGCGCGCCAATATGTACGTACAATATTGATACGTGTAACCAAGTTGGGCGCGCTTCGCGCGCAAACAGCTTGCCGCGAGCCATCGCTCCAATCGGTTTTTCGACGCTCCGCTTTCTATGTTCGTTGTTCAATTGGGACGGCCGGAGAAGACACCGCGCGCATTTATCAGTCACTATGTGTGTTTTCTTTGAATAAATTACCTTTTTTT